TCTCTGGGCAAGCAAGTCATGACTTGATACCCTCCAATAAACGATCTAAGCTTGGATATCATCCTGTGTAGCGGGCACATGTACATTTCCTGTGATTTGGATAACAAATTCACTCACCTGGTTTCTTTCCGGGTCCTTCTCTGTAAAATTCTTCACCTGTTTCTTCCGGAGCTTTCTATGAGTATAGTACTACGCGCGTATGCGCACGCTGCCTTATCCCTCTCTCGATCCTCTTTCTTCTTCCCTCAGATCTCCCAGAAACTCCCTTAAATCCATGAATCTGTCGTTTCTTCCCTTGTTTTTCCGTCTTATGTCTGTTCATGCCATTTTGCGTTTCAGGCGACCCTTGGCTGGCCATTTTTATTGGTGCCTGATTCCTCAGGAATCAACACAGAATGGAACCCAAACAAAAGCAGATCTCTCGCGACCCTCCCTCATATCTTCATACTTTACCTCGCAAACCATTTATTTACCAAGAATGCCGGCGCAGCAAAAATCCTATCTTTGACGATATGCTGAACCCTGTGGCCCTATCGTTATCTCCATCCTGCCATGACGCCATTTCTTGGTCCCCGGACGGCGAGATTGCTATCGCTGCGGGTGAATACTTTCAAGTCCTGGTATGTATCAAATCATCTCATGAGCTTTGATATGACTAACATTTTGGCAGACTCCCAAAAATGGCCCCGATGATGATGCCGCTCCCAACTCAACTCAAGATTGGCTCGTGGCTCGTGTTAGAGCCAACTTGTTTACGAACTCTGAATGGCCGAACTACCTTCCGGGAAATCGAGATGATTTTTCGGTCGCCGCAGACCTTTCAGAAAGCAATGTCGTCAGTCTAGCTTGGTCACCAGCAGGATTAGGCAAATATCGACGTAGTGTGCTAGCCGTGCTGACGTCAAATCTGGTACTGTCCCTCTGGGAGCCCATTGGACTTAAGAAGCAATGGACTAGGGTCGCCGTCGCCAATCATGTGTTTTGGCCACAGCTGCAACCGTCACATGACCCAAATAGTCATGGCTTTCGGAAGGTTAACATTCGATCTTTCGCCTGGTGCGAGTCTTTGAAGCCTTCAACGCCTACTGCAGGCTCTTCCTTTCTACATTCCCATGAAAGTCGCTGGGGCATCCCACTGCTAACGGTGGTGAACGACTTTAACGAAGTCATGCTGGTGCAGGTCCGCAGATCAGACCCAACAAATAGCTCTTCCAAGCCTTATGATCTTCAAATCCTGGCGCTTCACTCTCTAAAGTACCTGGAAACAAAGGGAAGCCGGGTCTGCTCTGGGTCACTATTCGAGAAGGCAATCAGAGAGAAACAACGTACTACTGAGCTCTCGTGTGGTCCGTGGCAGATTTCACCCGCGACGAGCCCAGGCAACTTTGGCTGCGCAGTCGCCATGATAGCTGCGGTATGTGGAACGCAGCTTCGGCTAATGAAACTCCAAGTCACTATCGGAACCTCTCTCGGAGAGACCTCGCAACAGTACATGTTGGCCACAGATCTGATAGAGCATCCTTTGGACCAGTTGAATTCGAAATGGGCATATCACAACCTCGCTGGCCCTCTTCAGTGGCTCCATACTGTACGGTCGATCTCTTACATCCATCCTGAATGTATTATTCCGCTAATAAAACCTAACAGGGATCGTCCACAACGATTGCTCTGGCAGTGGGCGCCATGGCAGGTTTCATAGCGGTATCCATGCCCTATGATGCATACACGGGTAGCGTTACTAATTCCGATGCCTTTGAATTCCATGATTACCCGATCTATGAGCCAGAAACCGAGGACAACAAAGGCTGCCGAGTAAGGCACCTGGAGCCGATTGCTGGTATGTTATACAAAATGTATATTGCCCTTTCGGCACTGCTGACCTGCTCTAGCAATGCTCGCTTCCACGAATCAAGAAAATGGCATATGCAATCTCCACATAGGCACGCTCGGTGGAGTTGGCTTAATTACAGAACTTCGCCAACTCCAAAGCGTGAATGCTCTGCAACAGCCAAAATGGAAACGCATGATTGAAGAGTTCCAGGATGATTATGACTTGGAGCACGACTTAGGTGGAATGTCAGTCTCGAGGATCTGGGGACTCGCAGGCCATCGCAACATAACTGCAGCTATCTTCACTTCACATCCCACGGACATGATCGAGTATCGCATCACCTCTGACGACAGGTCTATGATTGTTTTTTCAGAGGAGGGCGAACCCACGAGAAACACCCAAGCCCGATTTGCGGTGCACATCCCCGATGGTCAAACCTCCGACAACGACCAGACAGGGGAAGTGATACGCTTCGTGCTACCTGGTGGCGATGGCAATATTGAACCTGACACGGAGAGCCAACGCCTGATTTATGCCGTTGCCTGTCGTGCCATTGTGGGCGAAGAGGACAAGTCGCTTCGAATTCGCGCTCGGCAGTCTCTGGAGCGTCTAGCAGTAGTAACAGGTGCGGATCTGAGCGATGAAATTTCTAAATGCAACGGAAGTCCCGCTCCGATATCTGCGAAGTCAATGGATCAACTCAATGGCCCAGGCGGCCACATTTACGAAAAGTGCGAAGTTTGCGATGCGGCAATCGGGTGGCCGAAGGCCCAGTCGGCCCAGTGCGCCAATGGCCATGTTTGGGGTAAGTTACCTTATGGTTCACTTGTTAGCCCAAAGATGTTAACCTTTTTCATATAGAACGATGTGGACTGTCCTTCCTTGCCATTCAAGAACCTGGCATATCCAAATATTGTTTTGTCTGTCGCAAAGAAGCCCTTGATGAAGAACGCGTGGCATGCGTGCGTGGGGGGAAACAGGGTCGAACATTCGATGCTCTATTTGAGACATTTGATACCTGCTTGCAATGCGCAGCCAAATTCCAGGCCAGCTACTAGGTGTCCTGGAACAGGATTTGCAATGATAACAGAATATCTCCTTGGGGCCAACGGCTGCAAACAGGATGGGTTGTTAGGTAGCCTGAAAATGTAACATGATAATGCCATAATGATTCCAACGAATAATCATATTCATGTCTTCACAGAAAGCTATCTATGTCAGCCCAATAAGGGATCCCGCAATAGGATTCCATTCGTCGTCCCATCGTCGAGAGCTTTCTTTTTGTGCACCCAGGCGAAGACTCTCCAATTTTTCACTCTCGCCGAACAGGTCGACCAGGTGCTCAGCCAACTCCTCCGAGCTCCCAAATCCCAACCCATTGACGCCCTCGGTGACCAACTCGGGCCATGCTTCGAAACGATCCCATCCCACAACAGGAAGACCAGCTCCGAACATATCTACAACCTTCATGGGGAGATCTACCCCACTGCTGCTAGTATGCAGACTGACCCCTAGAGATGCGGATGCCAACAGCTGAGCATAATCTGGTACACTCAACCACGCAGTTCGAATTGTGACCTTTTGCAGCTTGCTTGTCTTTTCAAGAGCGGCAATCTGTTCCAAATACATTTCTTTTTGTGGGCCCTTCCCTGTTATGATGGCCAAAACATCGGGGAGGTGAGGCTGTGTTGTGGTGGCCAGCTCAGAGTATCGAAGAAGGGCATCGATAAGGACTGAGAAATCCTCATCCGCAGTCCATGAGGTTGAACTGACCAGGACCTGGAGAGACCCTGCTTTCAAAGAAGAATGAAATTCTTTAGTTTCCGGTAGAGTCATTAGGAACTCTGTCCGTGCATTTGGATCGAGGATAGGATTGAAGTGGCTGGCAGGACGGTCGTGCAGTGGCAGAACAGGGGCTTGGAGATTGAAATCCTTCCTGAGAACGGATTTCATAGCATTCGTGACGCACAAATGAGCCGTAGCGGATTTGCAGAATACCTTCTCATACCACATCGACATTTTCACCAATGGATGGCTTTGGCCGAGTTTCAATGCGAGTATGGAATAACCAAAATTATGCCAATCAATGATAAGCCTGGTTTGCCGCAAGAAACAGATAATTGATGCTACAGCCAGTGTAGGAATGGAAGGCGGATTCTTTTTTTTATCCCCGCAAGGGCGAGTCAGTACTTGAAATGATTATTGAGACACTTCCTTTCACAAACATACCTGAACCAAAAGCCATTGAGACGGTTTTGTAGTATATGCTAGGCACTTCCAGAGACAAGCAATCTGGAATAACACCTTCAATGGCCCGTAAATTGTAAATAGCAGCTTGTTGCTAGTTTGTAGGAGAGCAGGATGCGGGCGAAGCGGAACAATCGAGATGTTGGGGTTAGATATGATATCAGGATGAGGATCAGATTCTGTTCATAAATGTTAGTTAGAAATTCTATCTTACAGTCTCTATGGAGAGTTTTGTACTAACCATTATACCCAATAATTACCACGTCCGCGCCTTGTTTCGCAATGCTCAATGCATGATACTGCATGCGCGGGCTTCGACCAATGTCGCCAAGAACAAGGATTTGAACACATGTCTTGCGCCTTTTTGCGTCATTGAGTCTTGGAGGAGATCCTGCTTGTTCTGGCTGATATTGCGAAGGGAGTAACAGGATCAACACAGTGAGGGCGCTAGACAGAACGAACACTACGCTGATCAGGGTCTCGATCATGATGGCAATGGCACTTCAAGTATCCCGCTCATGGCATTGACCAGCTTTCAATCACATCAGCGGCCCATGGAGAGCTAAACTACAGGTCAAGTAGCTCAAGGTGGAGTATCAACAGTTCAATGTTTTGAAAGCGCGTCGACATCTGATACGTAATATCTGATAAGGCTTCACGTGATTCCCCTTACACGAGAACCTTGGGACGATGGGCTTTTCCCCGACAGTGGCAATCTCTTTGTGAGCCTGTACTGGCGCTAACTTCTATATACTTTCCTTTATTATCCTATTCCGCAATGCTGTATCTCCTGACAACCTGCCCGCTAATCTGAGCTCACGTCCTCGCCCGCTCCACCCTCCCCGGTATCTTGGCAGTACCCCATCTCCTATCCTGTTTGCTGGACCTTCCAGCTGCTGCGCATCGTCAGCATCTGAAGACCATGTCGACGGGGGCACCGTCGCTGAGCGTGGATCTCACACCACCCTCCATTGGACACAATCATAACCATGGTCATAGTCGCAGTCATGGCCACTCTCGATCCAACCGCTGGGCGCAACCTCCGCCTCCCCTCTCACAGCCAACTGGTACCAGCCTTCATGAACACCCGGAGCCAATCAATGCTGTGAAACCGAGTTATTCATATGGTCATACACACCAACCATCGGGCCACGGTCACACACACACGCACTCGCACTCCAGTACACACCACAATCATAACCATAGTGTGTCGTCTGTCCACCACGATGTGCTAGATGATCACCATTTGAAAGGCTCCAATGGTGTTCATGGAATGTTATCTGCGGATACCACTATACAGGCAGGCTATAGTTCAGAGAATGTGTATGTTGGCTAGAATGTGATTTGCAAGTAAAGGCTGACCCTAATCACAGCAACGAGCTTTTGACCAGCGCACTCATCGTCTTGCCGTGGGTTGCGCTTTCTTGGTACCAGAGACAGTGCGCCCAGAGCCAAAAGCTATCTGGTGAAGGTATACCTGGTACGACAGCGAACATTCCTATCGGACAAGTTGGTCAAAAGACCTGCCTTTTGACAGCGATCACCCTCGTCCTCTTCGGCTGTGGGCAAATACTACGGATCAATTACCAGAAGGCTGGCACATCCAGGCTCTCGTCTGTCAACTTGCCGAAACTAAATGTGAAGAGTGTCCAAGCCTCGTTTTCACAAATTGTCTCAGTAGCACTGCCAATATTTGCAGCACTCAAGATCGGAGGCTTTTTGGTTGCATTTGCGCTACTCCTTGCGGCAGCATCAGGAGTCCCAGCCATCGTCAATGGAGCCTCGCGTATCCAAGAGAAATACAGTCGAAAGATTCTATCCCTTGCTCTGTTAGCGGTGATTTTTATATCGAGTTTCCTCGGGCTGAACCATCCATGGGATGTATCTCCATTCATTGGATATGCTGCCCTATTAGGATCTGTGTTCATTGCCCCACCTCCGTTTCCCTCCCTCCGTCACAATGGACCTATTCCTGAGCCAGGCGTTGTTGCTGCACAGAGCAAGACTTCACGCTCAAGTCACTCCTCCGTTGTGGTTACAACTGATGCGCCACTGGCAGTTATTGGCGGGTCCTCCCTTGCACTTCTGACAATACTTTTCAGCCGAGGATTTATCTTCAGTGTCTCTAGTCTGATATATCTCCTTATCCCCACGGGTATTTTGGCTATCTCTCTCATCATATCCCTGCCCCCAAGCCTCCGCTCCCCCCGAAAGACTGGACTCGCCATTTGCGCCGGAGCTGCAGCTTTTCTTTGTGCCCCACATACCCAGGATGACTTGCTTATGGTTTATGCCACACGAGGTATCTTGGCCACCGCGTCTTTCTTCGCCTCCCGAAGGGATGACATTCATTTGCATCTGGATGCGCATGCGCATAACAACACGCACAGCCATTCACACTCACACACAACCTCGGAATCCTCCCGGGTATCAAAGTGGCTTCTCCGTAAAAGCGAACCTTATCCGTTGCTGCACAGCATTCTCAAAGAGAAGGATTCTCGTAGCATCTTCTACTTTATGTGGTAAGTCATGAAATCTAGAAGCTGTCACTTCTGGATTACTGTTAACATCTCGCAGCCTGAATTTCACTTTTATGCTTATTCAATTATCATACGGGTTCCTAACCGGATCACTGGGGCTGCTTAGTGACAGTATTCACATGTTTTTCGATTGTTTTGCGCTTGTTGTTGGCTTATGTGCCGCTGTCATGAGCAAGTGGCCCCCGAACGCTCGATTTCCCTACGGCTATGGCAAGGTTGATACTTTGTCAGGATTTGCCAATGGTATTTTTCTTATGTGAGTATCATAAAAGCGGTGCGCAGGGGCCAATTCTAACATCATACAGGATTATCAGCCTGGAGATCGTTTACGAGGCGGTGGAACGGCTCTCATCGGGGAGTGAGGTGCATCGTCTAGGTGAGCTATTGTTTGTCAGCATTGCTGGACTCGCAGTCAACTTGGTTGGAATATTCAGCTTCGAGCACGGTCATGCTCATCACGGCCATGATCATGATCATTCCCATGGCAATGAGAACATGCACGGCATCTTCTTGCATATTCTTGCCGATACGCTTGGTTCAGTGGCAGTCGTTATTTCAACCATTCTCGTGCATTACTCCGGTTGGGCCGGCTACGACCCATTGGCCTCATGCTTCATCGCCATATTGATTTTCGCCTCGGCCGTTCCTTTAGTTAGCAGCACGGCCAAGTCATTGCTACTCACTCTGCCAGCGGACACCGAATATAATGTTCGGGAAACACTAGCGGGAGTTAGCACTTTGAGAGGCGTGGTTAGTTATACGGTGCCTAAATTCTGGCTTGATGATACAGGAACAGTATCTTCTGGACATGGCCATTCTCACGACCATTCTGGTCATGGGGATTGTGGCCATCACCATGATCATAAGCAGCACCACGACCATGGGCATTCTCATGATCATAGCCATGATCACGCTCACGATCACGACCATGCGCATGAGAAGAAGCCTCAGAGCATTTTCGGAGTCATCCACGTCATCGCGTCTCGGGGTGCAGATTTGGAAGATGTACGTCAACGGACCATCGACTTCCTTCGAGAGAAAAACATGGATATTCTTGTCCAGGTTGAACGGGACGGAGATGCGCGCTGCTGGTGTGGAGGTGGGAGCAAGGGCTTTTGATTGGTGACAACTGTTTCATCTATCAACGGCTGCTCTCGGAAGGGAGCCAGGATTTACGTTGCGTTTACTATCGTTTTGCTCCGGCCGATGTCTATATCTCTCTTGTACAGATAGGATTGGGTCGGTTCGCCGAAGAATTACACCAATCAACAGCACATAGTTTCCTCCACGAGCTTCATCAGAAGTGGAAGGCATATATTTCAATGATTCAATTACGAAACCGAATCTTTATCGCATCACATGTAGCCGAAATCAAGGGTGAGACTTGTACGACCCGTTCATCAGCTATTGACTGCCCCCAGCCCTGCAGTTCAGACAAATGGAGTGCAGCTCTGTCTGTGCCCCTTGGGCCAGATCTCTAGGAACTGCGACACGATACTCCTTCACGTCACACAATCACATTAAACCTCGGGAGCACTTGGCGTGAAAGTTCGGGTCTACCTATTGTGTTATTCTGCGAAGCCCCCGTTCCAAGTCTCTGGAGGCTGCCAGCCTTGTCGGCCAAACCAGTGCCATTAGCCAACTTGTTGAGCTGCAGCTCCAGGAAAATACCCTCCAGCATCCAAGGCCGCACAAATGTCAGAGTGACATTGAGCCCTGTCCTACCAACCACTCGACTTCCAGGTTTGAACAAAAGATGTTACGGCATTCTATATACCTTCCGACATTATCGTAACCCTAGCTAATCCTTTGTGTCATTCTTCTACAGATCCTTCTATAGAGATATTAGCCACACTACATACCCAAATCTCTTGTCCAGCTTATTCAATGTCATCAGCTTCGACCGCAAAAATACAATATGCCGACGAAGTCGTGCGAGGAGGATATGGAAAGATATTCGAGGGACATACAGTCTTCCTCACCGGAGGTACTGGGTGCTTAGGGGGTTGTCTCCTGTATAAGCTATCTTTGCAACTGCCAACTCGCAAGATTTTCGTCTTGGTTCGAGGGAACTCCCAGCGGGCTATTGGAAAATTGAGAAAATCAATGCCAAATCATGCAGAGGCAATTTTAGCCGCAAAGAAAGTCGAATTTGTGGTTGGCGATATGAAATTGGTGGATTTTGGCATTGAAACAGATGTCCTTAAACAACTTCAAGATCAAGTAACGCTGGTCATTCATACAGCTGCCAAGATCAAGCTTGAAGGTCCCATTCGTGAGGCACTGGAAAGCAACTGTCTCCCTGCGCTGGAAATGGCACGGATTGCCTCTGAATTCCGGCGACTGAAACTCCTCATCCAGATCTCTACATCTTATGTCAATAGCCACCTTTCCGACGGCCCAGTTTTGGAGCGGCTATATCAATTGGGAGGCGAAGAAGATCCAGAGGATGAGCTTGCATCCATCTTGACGCTGAGCACATCACCACATGTGGGCAAATTCTCGTCGACATACACCCAAGCCAAACATCTCATGGAACGTTTACTACTCAGCCGCTTCCCTCTCCTTCCAATTCTACTGCTACGGCCAACAATATTCGGTCCTGCGTTTAGACACCCCTACCCGCTATATGGATCGGAGGATTCCACGCCTCTCACCAAGTTTACTAGGCTCTGGTTCTCCGATCGGGGTACCACACAAGTCTGGCATGCCACCGAAGGCTACCAAACAGGCACCAATATCCTGGACGAGATCCCCGTGGACCTCGTAGCAAACGCGTGTTTGTTGCATGCAGCAGCACGGACGACAGGTATTGTCCAGGTTGGTGCCCAGCTCTATCACCCGATTACTTTTGATGATGTCTTCCGACTGGGCTTTGAAAATGCCACATCTGCAGCCCAGCGAGAGTTCCCGAAAATCATATTCACCCAAGATCGCACCACACCGCAGTGCTTTCTTGCTGAGTTGATTCAAGTAGGAACCCGCAACTGGTTGTTCGATTGCGGGCGGTCCTACTGGCTCAAGCAGGTGAGTGGGCCATTGAGCATCCAGGTGTGCAAGCATGAGGCAGATGCTCTAAATTTGGTACGGACTCATGATGTCCTCGGGACTGGAAAGCAGAAATCTCGTATCTGAAATGAGCTGCAGGGATACCGGAGGTTGTATAATATATGTATGGAGTTGTTCAATTTGTGAGCTACTCCGATGCATAGTATTTACAATATTTTCAATTGAGCACGGTTTTCTTAAAGCAAGGGGCGCGAGTGACAGATCAAAGTAGATTTCGGGAAGATCCCAGGGCTTGCGGTGGCCCGAGATTCAATGGCGATCTTGCCATGTAGATCTTTAGGGGCACCTCAGCTTTGCCATTATGATTGCAATCCATGCACGATACATGTGACAGTGCGTTTGTTATTCAGGTCCATAAGCTATCTAAGCACAGCCTCAATCTCAAAATGTTAGTATTTTGCAAGCTTTCTCGTGATATCTACGAACTAACGTATTTCACCACCGAGTGGCCACAACCACCGAGTGGCCACCCCACCCAAAACGCGTCAATTAATTTAATCCCTTCTTCTTCAACCACCCACTATGCCACCAATTCGCTCTCAAAGCTCGAAAAATTCAATTGAGCAAGAGGGTAGGCTTTTATTAGCTATCCAGGCTTTTAAAAATGGAGATATCAGTAATATTACTCTCGCTGCTCGCACTTTCAATGTGCCGCGTTCAACTCTCCGCCGCCGCCTTAGCGGCGTCCAAGACCGCGCGACTTCTCGCGCTAATTCGCATAAATTGACAGAACTTGAAGAGGAATCTCTTGAAAAATGGATTATCTCTATGGATTCTCGTGGAGCAGCCCCCCGGCCCTCTTCCGTACGAGAAATGGCGGATCTTCTTCTTCAATAACGTGGAACTACCCCGGTTCTTTCGGTCGGCGAAAATTGGGTTACGAAATTCGTGAAACGACATCCTCTCCTCTCCTCCCGATTCTCGAAACGGTATAATTACGAGCGTGCGAAATGCGAAGACCCTAAAATCATTGGGGAGTGGTTTAATCTGGTTCAAAAGACGATCCTTCAATTTAGAATCGACCCCGATGACGTTTATAACTTTGACGAGACCGGTTTCGCGTTAGGATTAACCGCGACCGCGAAGGTTATTACGAGAAGTGATATAACCGGTCGGCGTAAGACTTTACAACCTGGAACTCGCGAGTGGGTGACAGTAATTGAATGTACGGGTGCTTCTGGCTGGGTGCTTCCTCCGTGTGTGATTTTTAAAGGCAAAGTCTTCCTCGAATCTTGGTTTAAAAGCGTCCCGAATGACTGGCGCTTTGAAGTAAGCCCTAACGGTTAGACTTCGGATGAAATTAGACTTCGTTGGCTCGAAAAGCTCTTTATTCCTTCGACTTCTTCGCGTACGAAGGGGAGGTATCGGCTTCTAGTACTCGACGGTCACGGAAGCCATTTAACACCGAAGTTCGACGAAATCTGCGAATAAAATGGTATTATACCAATTTGTATGCCTCCGCATTCCTCTCACCTTTTACAACCTCTCGATATCGGCTGTTTTGCGGTACTAAAACGTGCGTACGGTCGGTTTGTTAAATTCAAAATGCGGAGTGGGATAAATCATGTCGATAAACTTGACTTCCTCGAAGCATACCCACTTATACGAATTGAAGCTTTTAAATCAGAGACTATTAAAAATAGCTTCGGAGCAGCTGGTTTAATACCTTTTGCACCCGATCGAGTGATTTCAAAGCTTGATATTCGTCTTCGAACCCCGACCCCCCCTCCGAGCCGGGGTAGTGATTGGGACCCAAAAACCCCTTCGAACTACGTCCAATTACAAAAACAAGCTTCGTCAATTAAAGCATTGCTTCGTATAAGATCAAGGAGCCCTCCAAGTCCTCTCAATTCCGCTATAAACCAGGTTTTAAAGGCGTGCCAGATCACTATGCAATCCGCCGCACTTCTTGAGAAAGAAGTAAGCGATTTACGCGCCGCCAACGAGAAGCAGAAGCAAAAGCGCACTCGATCCCGAAGGCAGATACCCGCCGAAGAAGGCCTCTCAGTTCAAGAAGCATCTGCATTAATTATGCAGCAACTGGAAGCAACTGAAGCACCTTCCCCCGCCGCCGGCATACCTAGAGAATCGGGTTTACAACCACGTACAAAGCCCCCCCGGGGATGTGGAATATGCAGATTGCCAGGGCATAGAAGAGAAACATGTCCAGATAGACCAATTAGTTAGTTGAATTAATTTAATGGAGTTTTGGTTGAGAAAAATGCATTTAAATTTAATATGTAGGGTTGGGGTGGCCACTCGGTGGTTGTGGCCACTCGGTGGTGAAATACGTTATCCGTCAAATCTTGGGAGATCAATTGCCGCTTTTAGGGTTGAACGCGCCAGCTCCACCACAGTTCACTCTGTACTATTGAAGCGTCTACCTCGATTATCTGTATCACTGCCGATCGTGATAGTTTTTGCCTTTCTTTTCTTTTGTTGGGCGAAATTATTAGCAATTTTCCAGTACCTACGGAGTATAAGTAACCCACAGCATCCTCCGTCTTACATGTATAGAATCTCCTCAATCTGACAACCTTCATCTTCTTTCAACGCCCAATTCAAACCATCAAAATGCAGTACAAGCTCGCTTCTATCTCCCTCCTGGCCGGTATGGCCTCAGCCATTCCTTCCTCCTCTCCCTCTCCAACACCCGCTTCTCTCTCTCCGAGCTTCAGTTCTATGGCATCCATAAGTGCCGTTCCCTCCGTCTCCGCGCCTATTGCTTCCAATACCCCCGGCGTAGTGAACCCCAAGGATTACGACTGTGTCTACCGCGGCTGGGGCTGCGACTGGAGGAAATCCGAATACGGCTACGGCTCCGACTATTGCGGTCTTTCTCCCTTCGAGGCCGGTCAGCAGCTGAAACGTAGCAAGGTCGTGGCTGTCTCCAAGGATGGTTCTGGTGACTGTGCTTCCAAGGCTGGTAACATGTGTTGCCAGGTCCTAGCGAAGGAACCATGCAGACGTGGCGAGAAGTATCTTGAGTGCAGGAAGCCAGAATAGGTATGTGTAACGTTCAACGTGGTTGAATTCATTGCTGATGAGTCTATAGATTATGCGATTTGATACTCCATGAGTCAGACGTTCAATCAAAATTGTGTGGCATGTGCAACATAAAGTGTATACTGCTGTCTGGGTGGTTCAGGCTATGGATAACGAGTATTGGTTACCTGGGAATGTGAGAGGATAATAGGACGGAATTTATTAATATTAATTTATGGAGCTGGTTTGTGCACAGTTATTCTCCTTTTCCTTGTTTTTTTTTTTATATACTTTACTATAGAGACTCGTGCCTTAGGTGTTATACACTGCATTGCGCAAGAATTAGGGCAATGCATAGTGGGTCGGTCATTGAATCTATACTGCGCGACTTTCAAAGAAACCTGTGCAGATCTTGGCTCTTTGAGCTCCAGATGTATTGTTGATACAGTTTTAGGTCTTTCATCAGAGTCCCATCTTTTTCCGGGGCCAAGCCACAGCGTTAGCCCATTCCATGTCTCCGGGATGCAATGCATCCAATAACTCAGAAACCAATGCCCGGCCTGAGTCTCGAGCCCACCAATGCTGACCATCAAGCTCTCCGAGCAACACACCCCAGTGCATGAGGATCAACAATGCTAACGGCAGTCGGCGTCGCATATTATCCACGAATTCCTTGTCGATCATAGCAAGCCAAGCCAGGACAGTGGCAGCGTCAACAGAATTGGAAACTCTGGTTGAGAACTGCCGCAGGTAGACAATAGCATCTTTGTTGACCCGATGCTGCTCGGGGTCGATACTGGCGAGGGTCTCGTCATTCAAAGTACCGAGTCGCTCAAGGGCATCCCGCGTGTCATCATCTAGACTGGGTGATTTAGATTCCCAGTGGTTTCTTCGACGGGAAAAGAGCTCTAATTTGATCCAAGATTCACCAATCCGGTGGATTTTTTTCACGCCTTGCAAGAGTTCGAACACGAAGACAATATTTTCCGTTATGCTTGAATTTTCTCCGCGGGCAGCAGTGACTCTTGGTAGAGCAATGCCTAGAACAGTAGTGACAATGGACTGCGCCAGCGCAGCCTCGCAGTTCATTGGATTGATATGGTCGACAGCTGCGCGATACGGCGCAAATGTGAGGTTGTGATATTGGAGGGCGATGTCAATATATACCAGGGATTCCGGTGGTTCAATTGTGGCGGCGATATGAAGAGCCCCCAGGGCCAAAATGCCATTCATTAAAAAATCATACTGAAGAGCCAGGCGAGGAATGGCAATTTGCCACACAAAATGCTCCGACTCGGAAGAGCAAAGACTCTTGTAGGTTTCGGTGGAAAACTTGTGCATAAGTTCCAGATCCCGCATCCCTGAAATAGTTGAAGAACCGGAAGCCGCTAGGTTAGGGATCCTCGACCGTAGGGGAGTTAGGTCTACAATAGCCAACGGGGCCGGCGTCTGGCTTTCTCGTGAATTGGACCGAGGGGGCGCTCTCAAGTATGTGCACAAGAGTTCCCGCGAGATACAATTGGAGCATGGTGGCCCCTTCTCATCACACTACAGCCCGTTAGTCCCGTCATTGGAGCCCGAGGTAATCTATTGGGCCCTGAGCTGGAACTAACCTTAACGCGACGTCTCTTACACTGGTCGCAGCCTTGGCGTGATTTTGTATGCGTTCGGCGAGGAGGCATCTCGGAAACCTCGGTACCTGAGAATCCATGAAATCGGTTGGCTTGGATCCTTAAGAGTCCAAGCGCGGGGAGAAAAGAAGATGGGTCACGTGGATTGGAACTATAAAAAGAGAATTCTTGTTGGATGTCTTGGACTTTTTCTGTTTACTTCTCATTTGACATGACCTACAGTGTATCCTTGATCACATGTGCCTCTAGAGAGGATTTGCTATAGACTCCAGGAAACAAAAGGCAGACTAAGAAGATATACCAAAAGCAACAATTCTCCGACAGGATGCGTCTGATAGAAAAACAAGTGGATCCCGATGTAAGCGACGTGGGGATCGCGAGAGCGAAAACGAAAACGAACGAGAACGACAATAAACAACCAATAGGAATACAAGTCAAGTCTGTTTCATCCTGTTTATCCAATTTAGGGCTCCACCTGCTAGAATTGCAGTCCTTTAGCGCTGACATGCCCGAAAGTTGATAATTTTATGATTTGATATCAATATTCTCTTTCCCTAGACCTGTGTAAGACTCTAGGCTCTTTTTTTTCTCTTGGCCTCATTATCTCACTCTTGGGACTTACACCCAGCTCTGTCTCATTCCCCTTCTTCCTCTACTTCATCTCTCTTTCCTTTTGATTACAAATCTCCCCCAACATGGCGAGCTACGCTACTTGCTCAGAAGTAAGCCTACTATGTCCTGTCGAAAGCACAACATACGGTTATTACCCCAGTTTCGGTGGAAATATATTCTTCACAGCCTTCTTCGCCCTGCTCGGATTATGTCAAGCCGGTCTCGGCGTCTACTACCGAACATGGACATTCCTGATAGCTCTCCTCGTCGGCACATTAATGGAGATGGCCGGCTACATTGGTCGAGTGCTTATGCATGATAACCCATGGTCCGGACCCGCATTCAAGCTTCAGATCGTGTGTCTGGTTCTCGCGCCGACCTTCGTCGCGGCCGGTGTCTACCTGACATTGAAGCATATAATTCTGAGCCTGGGACCCGAACACTCAATCTTGAAACCGCGTCTTTTCACCTGGATCTTTATCGGATGCGACATTGGATCTCTCCTTTTGCAGGCTGCAGGAGGTGGTGTCGCTGCAGCTGCTGGAAAAAACGACTTGAAAATGCTCACAGCAGGCGACAACATTATCATTGCCGGTATCGCGTTCCAGGTTGCGACCATGGTTGTGTGTGCATTCTTCGCTGTTGTCTTCTTTTGGAAGGTCTACAAGAGTGGTGATGGATTTTCGGGAGAGAAGAACCTCGATACTGGTGCTTCGCCAATTGTTCCCAAGTGGATGCCGTTCGTCGTGGGCGCCGAGGTCTTTGCCTATCTCACGGTTTTGATTCGATGCATTTATCGGTAAGAGTCCATGTTCAAGTCCAAACAACGCACTTTACTGACCACGATATCTAGTCTCCCGGAGATGGCTGGTGGCTGGGGAAACCCGCTGATGCAGAAGGAGAATGAGTTCCTTGTCTTAGATGGAATGTAAGTGATCTCTTGGTTCTTTTGAAAAAAAAAGAAATCTAGGGAATTCTAACTGACGTGTCATCAGGATGATTGCTCTGGCCTGTCTAGCCTTCACTATCTTCCATCCCGGAATCTTCCTCCCATCATTGCGCTTCGCACCCAAGAACCGCACATAATTGTTTTCTTGTCTATTGGTTTTGTGTGCATGGCGTTATTTTAGATACTTTCTTCCCAGCACGTTTGCCTATGCCAGAGATGACGGGTTCTGCTGAATCAGGGTGCCCTGTCCATTTGGCAATCTCCCACAATGAACCCTTAGAGATTAATTACTACTTTACATGTGCTGAATTTACGTCAATAATTCAGAAGCTTGTTCGGAAATAGATTTGTTCCTAAACTAGTGAAACAAAGATGTTAGGATGAAACTCCAGCCCTCATGAACATCGCAAAGAAATGCACCGCAAAGGAACCAGAGATCAAGAGCATGGCAAAGCATTGCTCGCTCTGTGCAATAAAAAGAACCACCGCTCAACGCGGTACATTGAACAAGAAAGAGAAAGAAAAAAAAGAACCCCGGCAACACCATGTTAAACCAGATCATAACCCGCCATCTTAGATTGCCGTGAAAAATTAAATCGTGCACTAGTCGTCCAACGTTTGACGGACACACCGGCGGACGCGCTTCTTAAATTCTGCAGGGTCATCACGCCATAGACGAGCAGCCTCCACATTCGCTGGGCTTTCATCGTTCGGGCTGGAAAGCATAGAAATGACGGACAGTAGGATCGTCTCGGGGGTTTGCACGGGAGACCAGCGTTCGGCAGCCGACTCGTAGCCGTATTTGTCCTCCTCGGGTGGGTGCAGAATGGAAATACAGACATTGCCGTTCTCATAAACTATCAAGGCGCAGTCATATGTGAGTAAATTGTCTGTGATAAGTAATTCAACAGGAACCACATACTATTTGGGTGAAAGATGGGAGATTCAAACTTCATCTTTGGTGGACGGTGAGGGTACTCTGCTGGGAAAGAGAGACGAGCCCGGAAGAAACCACCTATGCAAGCAAACTTGTTAGCTTTCTTCAATGTTCAACACACTTGCAGCAGGAAAGCATCCTAGGCGGCGTTGTGTTTGCCACAAGACCAGCGCAGGAATTCGATTTCAAATCTAGATATAACAGAATTATGACATACCTCCATATAGCTTCACATCGTCCGATATCATGAGCATAACCTCCCATTCGAAAATGTCGTTATCGACCAAGCCGCAGCTAATTCCGGGAATGTCCTTATCAGACTGCATCTGCTGCAGTTGGCGGGACAGCATGCGCCCGGCGGGAGAAGTCGCCATGCTGACAATGGGGATAGAGAAAGCAGAAGGTGGGAACGTGAAATCTGGTCGATATCGGAAGCCGATTTCAATGTTGAAACGAAGGACAGAGAGGAGAGGGTGAGGAGAAGATGAGGGGCGGAAAAAGAAATGAAGGCGGTAAAGCTAAAGCGGGGTTTAAATGACCTAGATAGGGAGGCGGTATACACTATGGGCATATAATCAGCTACTGTACGGACCTGATTTGAGGACCTTAGAAATGCAGGATGTTTGAATCTTATAGTTCATAAGTTTAAAGACTATTGTATAGAGTAAACATTTCAATCAATGATATAGATATAGCAAAGGCATCAATTACACAAACATTCCACATTCTTCACGAACTACTACCACCTGAGATTCATCGGATCTCAGTGGTTTTTTACTCAAAGCTCAGTTGGATACGAGGAGCATCTGAGTCAATGGGCTTGGCGGTCTTGAAAAGCAAAAAGATCTCAACACCAAATACGAGAGTGGCGAAGATAGTAAGCGCCACCTGCATGGCAAATGTCTTACCAATAACCTTGGCGAAGCGGACACGGGCAGCCCAGTCAAAGGTAGTCCATGCATCCATGAGGCCAATCTTACCACTGCCACCGGTGATGGCAGGGCTGACTTTGCCGCCGAAAGAGCGATCGAATGGCACAATAGTCTCATCCTCCTCGGGCAGCATGGAGGCAGCCACACGGACAAAGATAACACGAGCAGGCATGGAGATCAGGAATGCTAGGATGACAGGAACCACACTGACGCCCAGTAAACGGTACAAGGCCACAATAGGTTGAGTATCCTGGTCGCCGGGAGTATCGAGCCAGCCAGCGAAATTAGCAACGGCCATAGGGATGAAGAAACCAGCAGCGGTGAGGACATCCTGGAGAGCCGCAGCGGGGGCAATCTTAATCCAGGTCTTATAGCTGGGGATACGCTGGTAGAAGCGCTTTGGGGAGGGCTCGGAGATGACAATGTGCACCCAGGCCATCTGCCAAGTAGCCAGAACAACGCTGATGACAGACTGGACGACAAACTGGAGCATGTATGAAGAGACAGGGAAGAAAGATGAGAGGAAGCCACGGGCCACGTTATAGGCCATAAACATGCCCAGTCCACGGAAGCGAGACCAGTAGCCAGCACGGGAGCGCAGGTGCTTCACGGTGGTGCGCAGCTTGCTGGTGATGGGCTTCAAGGGGGTAGGAGTAACCAGCTCAGGATCTTCCTGGCTATTGACTGGCTTGGTGGGATCGGGATCGGAAGTAATGCGCACGTAAATATCGGGGTTGGTATCTTCAACTGCGGCCAGAGTGGAGATCATCATTCCGTAGGTATACTCGATCTGTCGGGCGTTAGTTCCATGAGATTATATCTGGAAAATTGCATTACTTACAGCCCAGAAAGCAATACCAAACAAGGTAGCAGTAATGACAAACAAAGCGACCAAGCCTGGATTGGCTTCATCGTGCTCAGGCTTGTTCGAGGACTGCATGTGAGTGACAGCAAGCTCGGTGCCCCGGCGCATAAGGACATTAGCGACGGACATGATGAATCCGACACCGGTGATGAATGTATATAATCGATGAAAATTATGTGGAAAACTTCCAAGGTTGAAGAGTAAGAATGAGATAGAGGGGAAGATGGGGGCTTTTATTTGATACAAAGGTAGGCAGCAGGGCCACTAGCGCCGGAGCCAGCGGGTACTCTGGCAGTACTTGGTGTATGCTCGTGCTCCACTCACAGTTCGAGGTACCCGCCATGTACCTTTGGTCAGCCTCACTCCAGTTGTAGTTGGAATTCGAAAACTTTCCTCTCTACTCTGTACTCCGTACTCCGTACTGAGATAGCCATATCTTTACTTATTATTTAACTACTCAAAATTCACAAAATTAAAATGTATAAAAATAGAACCCCCTTGGATTATCGGCGTCCAATTTCTCCGTGCCGGCCAGGCATGGCCCCCGACGTATTATTAACGCTAAACCCAGGCTGTGCGAGGCTGCTTCGGATAATCCTTGCCACTCGCTCCTTGGGCCCCATTCAGATATAGCGCATACTGCAAGTGAAAAAAAAGACTCCTGTTGAGCCTCAATTGTTTCAGGCAAAGTGGGTATGCTGCGTAGATCCATCGCCTTCTACGAATTATAGTGGCTGATAAAGTTTGTCCAAAGCTTGTACACATTCTAGATCTAATGTGACATGGCCAACTCCCAAACAAAAAAGACCTTCTATAGAATATCGGAAATCAACCAGACATCTAAAATAACACAAGACATGATCAAAAAGATGCGAGACCAATCAAGTTCAAATCACGGTCACAGACAACCATCCGTAGATGGAACACAAAACGCTTCAAAAAGAGATCAATCAAGGTATGTACACACACAATCATTCTCATCAACTTTAGTCAAAGAGCTTCTTCATGCCCTTGTGTGCCAGCTCGACGCCGAGGAAAGTGGCGGCATTAGCAGGCACCGCACGAGCGAGAGCCGGTCCGAATCCAGGGAAGAAGGCTTTGAAACCGCCGCTAGCGTAAACCGAGCGGATAACACCACCAATGGTGGGCTTGCCCGGTGCGCTCTGCAGGCGGGACTTGATGGTGTCAATGGGGAAGACGGGAATCCACATGGCGATACCGGCAGCACCACCAGCACACACAACGGCGGATAGGGAAAGCTCGCCCGTCACATTGCCTTCGGCATCCTTGGGAGTCAAAGTGCGCTTGATGTACTCGTAGGCTGCGAAGTAAGCCGCCGAACCGGGACCATCACGCGCCAATGTCATGGCGCTACCACGGAACACGCTGCGAACACCACCTTCCTTGTACAGCTGGCGCACAACATCCATACCACCAGAGTACTTGGGCTTCTCACCCGGAGCCAGGGTCTTCTGGCCCTGGATCTGGAGGAGGACTTTGACACGCTCGAAGGGCGCCGTGATCAGGGTCATGGGGATGGCGGAGAAGAAACCCGCAGAAGAGATCTGTGCAATGGAGTACTGCGGGGTATTGTTCTTGATGGGGACGGTGGAGAACTTGTCCACGAGGGTCTTGCCCACGTCGTAACCCTAATGAATTGTTAGCATTTCTTCCAGCCGGGCGCTCGCAGCTAGCTCTGGGCACCAAGAGAACCAAAAAAACAAAAACGTACCCAAAAGCTGACAGCAACTGTGAGACAGGGATTGTTAGCTCATAACTCGACCCATTGCTAATGTAAAGCCATTATAGCTGAGGCTAGAGAACTTACACATGGGAGTAACTCCAACAAGTGGGGCGGAGACACCGGCATACAATCCCTACGAAACCATTGTTAGTTCGGTCGCGAAGTAGTCAGTTTGCTTGTGATAATCTTACTCGAGCCAATCCTTCACGGGCAACTGTCCTCCTGACCACATCCATGGCACCTGAGTAAATGCCCTTCTCGGCCGTCTGCAGGCGCACCTTCACCAGATCAAACGGGTGTCCGACAACCACAGCACAGAGACCACCAGCAGCACCAGCTGCGAGGGAGCGCAGCTGTACAATAGTCTGGTTGACGGCCTTGGTCTCGACGGCCTTGATCTCATCTTTCAGCTCCTGCGAGGGGGAGGTAGAGGTGGACATTGTGGGCGGGTCGGAGCGGGGAAGAGATAGGGATGGAGATGGAGGAAGAGAAACAGAGGAAGAAAGAGAAGACAGGACAGGAGCCAAGAGTAAGACGTAGAAAGGTAATTAATAGTGCAATAGGAAAAAAATATCCGAAGATCTCGCGACGATGGAGACAACCCGACACACCGAAGCCGACTGGTCTTCCCCGGATCAAAGTGTACCTCGGCTCGGTAACGGAAAAACCGACTTCCCGCGGTAGATAGCAGGGACGTCAAAGGCAAGTCTATAGTACTAAAGCACAAAATATTGTAGAATTGGAATGATTTGGTGATTATCCTTTACGGATTGGGCTTGTATTCTCTTCTTATAATGTCGGTAATTTCCGAGTGCGTCAGGTCCGGGTGAACGGGGGAGAGCTCAACCACGCCACATTTTCCCGCGGAATAAAGGATGGCCGTATTAGGGCTAGATTCTATTACATCTCTCTAAAACGCTTCCTAAATTGTATAGATGCAGGCAGATATAAAGTGGTTACATTGTTCGTTGCACATGTGCCAGTACTTGAAAACACCAGTGGACCCTCCTAGTATATACTTAGTACACCGGTCGCAATAATCACATGGAAATCCACGTGCTCATTAGTGGGACGCTTTATGGATACAAATAAAACTTATTGTACATCCATACATGCTTTGTACATTCATGTAGTGAGAGCTATGGCTATAAGGCTATAGTAAGTATTAAACTCGGACAATTCAGGTAAAAATGGTAATTTCGTTTACTATTCAACGGTTCAATACTTGGCGCCGTATGCACACTAAGATCGTGAGGAATATAAATACAATAGTATAGATTTCATTCATTAAGCTCAATTGACATTAAATAACAGCTCCGCAGAGCAAATAGAAGACAAAACATGATGGAATCCATCATGAACCCGTTCCATATTGTACCTGTACAAGCCAGACAACGGCGATACCTGATTCATACCCCATGAATTACCTCGGAGAAACACGAGAGTGGACTCTACGCCTTCACATGGAGGAAATTTACAGAGCGAGGATAGCGAGCATACCGAGGACACCCATAGCACCACTACCAACAGTGGCCATGGGGGCAGCGGCACCCTCGCTGGAGGAAGGAGCAGCAGAGCCGGAAGCAGAGCTGGAACCGTCGCTGTCAGAGCCGGAGTCAGAGTCAGAGCCAGACTTGGAGCCGGAGCCGGAGCCGTTGCTGTCAGAGTCGGAACCAGAGCCGGAGACAGCGGAGGTGGTGGTGGTAGTGGCAGTACCGTTGGCACCGGTGCTGGTGCTGGTCTTGGTGACCATGGAGGAGCCGGAGCCGGAAGCGCCAGAGCCCTAGAGATATGGTCAGTATGATTCAATGGAAGAGGAGGAAGGATATCTTACAGTAGCGGAGCCGGTGGCGGAGCCAGTGGCAGTGGCACCGGAGCCGGTGGCAGTCTTGGAGCCAGAGGCGTTAGTGGCAGTCACGGAGTCAGAGCCAGTGGCAGTGGCATCGGAGCCAGAGCTGGTGGAGCTAGAGTCAGAGCCAGTGGCAGAGCTGGACTTGGAGTCGGAGCCGGTGGCGTCAGAGCCAGCAACACCGCCTGTGATATAATGTTAGTTGGCTGGATCAAGTGTTGGGGGAATGATCAATAGTAGTTACATACCAGGGCACTTAGCGACGGCCATAGCGAGAACCTTCTCGGCGTCATCGCTGGGGCAGGCCTCCTTGGTGCAGTCACGGATACCGAACTTGTAGTTATCGGACTTGCACAGGCAGGCGATATCATCAGCCTTGCAGCCCAAGTCGGCAGCCTGCTTGCTCATGTTGGAGAGACACATGGACTATAGACGCGATAGAATTAGCATCGAGCTTGATTCAATATAACGAGGAACAGTGTACTCACAGCACACTCAGAGGCGGAGACATCAGCAGCGCTCACACCAAGGGCGGCGATCAAGGCGAAAGCGACGGGGGAGAAGGACTTCATGATGAGAAGAAGGGGTGAAGATTATAGAGCTAGGTAAAAAGATGAAGTTTTAAGGCAAAGTGGGAACTGAAAGAAATCCCGAGATGGGGACAGTCTTTTTATACAGAAAGGCCCGAGAAACAAAAAAAAACAAACTCTGCATCAAAAAAAAACACCAGCCACCTGCCCCAGACTGTAAAATTGAGACTCCATATTGGACAAAAAGGGACGAAAGTGGACGAAGCTGGTGGTACAACCCAATCATCACGCAGGATCGGCTATGTGGGTTGCCTCACAAAACCATGCAGTTGAAATTGGTATGGTACCCAGCCAAAGTGGCGATGAGAGACAGACCCTATTCTCGTATGAAGTCATCAACCAGGCAAATCTTGGATCTGCCCTCTGAAATGGGGATGGATCGCCCCAGAGATAGCTCGCACCCCTTCTCTATGTCGATCTCATAGGTTCATCCAATCGCCAGGGGGCCCCATCGGAATTGGTTTTTCGAGGTTGAGTCAAAATTGGGCAGCTCCCATTTTACCGACGAGGTACGGGAGGTACGGGAGGTACGGAGTACTCCGTAGCCATTGGCTACGGAATATAACCAAGGTTCATAGTAGTTCATCTCGGATAATGAACAATGTGGTAGAGATCCTGATCCATTCGATCCAAATCTAGGTGGGTTTTAGTCGGAGGAATCCGATCGCACTATTGAAAAATGAAAAACTCAGTTGGGACACCGCTGGTTGTGGCTGAGCTCAGCCACACCCCATTCTGTTATATTATATTATTGTTATTCCTTCAATTTTCTATTGAGGCTTCAGATTTGTCAAGGGATACCCCCTGCGTAGAAGGGGAGATTTAAGGTGCAAATAATAATTGTTATCACTTTCTCCTCCCTTTTTTTGCTTTTTTTGGCCTTTGTCTTTTTATTTTTCTCCCTAATTAATATTTCGCAGATCGGAATCAAACATCCACCTTGGATGTGATATGCCCCTCTGACTCCACATCGTCGAAATAAAATAAATCAAATTATATTCCACCAATATATAGAGCTATGTTGTACGGAGTACTCCGTACTGCGTGCCATATCTTAATATATTAAACACTGTACATCCCTGGCCACATACGTTGGGACAAATCCCCTCAAAGTTTTTATACCTCGACGGCGTCACGTGAACTTGTGACCATGGTAGTCCTATTTTGAAATTGCAAATTTTGTTGTTTTGATATTTGATATAGTCTAGGATTATGCGCCAAGCGCGTTGGGCATCCTCCGTATATGTCGAGCAAATGCAGCTGTACGGAGTACTCCGTTCTCACCGGCATATTACCGCTGTTTTCTCAGCAGCCTGCAATTGAAGCTCATATTCATGCAGACGTCAATGCCACTCTAAGGATTATTTACCTGGGAACCTGCATGGTCTCTCCCTTAGTCCCTGGACATGTTTCAGATACCGCTATCCCGGATTCCCTATGCCCTCAAGGCTCACGTTCTGTCTAACAATCCACCAGCTTGACAACAGTGGTGTCGCCTCTACTCTATAGGGCCATGGGGTATAATTAGGATCACAAATCCAAAATACACTAGTACTACTAATAGTGATATTGACGTTACACTGAGTATAGCGCTACTGCCTAGACGCTTATCTGGACTTCCCCGCTTCAAAAATCCAACTTCCTTCAAATTTCCAGGGCAACCTAGAGATTTCTAATTATTACACTGCAACCCCAGTTCCGTTTGTATTTAAAAAAATGGTTCTCAGAAATACAGAATCACCATTGACCTCGGAGTTCGATGCCTTGGTAAACCAACAGATGAACAAATGGAAAGTCCCAGGACTATCCATGGCAGTGGTGCACGGCTCCAGCACCTGGTCAAAAGTATGGAGATAATAATCTACTTGATGAGTACAGATCACTAAACTAAGTTCCAGGCGTATGGATTGGCTGAGTTGCCAAATCGCAAGATGACCACCGATTCTCTTTTCTCTACTTGTAGCACCACAAAAGCATTCACTGCAGCGGCCATGTCTCTTGCCATTGACGATAGCAAGAATACCGAAACTCCCATTGGCTGGGACACGCCAATTGCTTCCATACTAAGAGATGATTTTGTGCTGGAGAACGACTATAGCACAATGCATACTACCATAGAAGATGCTCTATCGCACCGCTCGGGACTACCAACCCACGACGCTTGCTTAAGTCTAGTGCATCCCCGAAGATCCCTACGCGAAGCAGTTCGGAATTTGCGCCATCTTCCTATGGCCTATGCTCCGCGCACTACCTTCTCTTACAACAACAACATGTATATGGCGGTATCTCATGCATTGGAACAAATCGAAGGCAGGGCTCTCGGCGAGACTCTCAAGAAACGCATCTGGGATCCATTGGAGATGAACGATACATATTTCTCCGTGACAGAAGTCTCGCGGGACCCATCTCTTAGTCCTCGACTCGCCCGAGGCTACACCTGGGACCCAGATACAAACACCTACATTGCAGAACCATACATGAACGATGTCGCCGTGACCGGAGCCGGCGCCATGGTGAGCAGTGTACTCGAGTACACCAAGTGGCTACGTACAATGATCTACCAAAAGGGTCCGGTCTCAACACACGGCCACGCAGAAATCTTGAAGCCACGCACGGTAATCTCAAATTCGGAAGTGCTAGTCGGGCCCCCGACCTGCCTAGTTCATCTCTATGCCCTGGGATGGTTTGTAGATACTTACCACGATGAGCCTTTCTACTGGCACAGTGGAAGCTGGCCGGGGTTCGGCATCATGGTGGGCTTCTTACCGAGCAAGGGCTTTGGTTTTGCCATGATGGGTAACACGACCAATGCCCGACAAGCGCAGGTTGAGATCTACATGCACCTTTTAAATCAGATTTTCGGTGGGTCAGACATCCTGCGCTCAGTGGACCGGGCGGTTGAACCAGAAAACAAACCGATCAAAGCAAAGTCTGAGTGTATGGGAGAAGCCATCAAAAGGCTTTATCCTTCTCTGCCTGATCCTGTTATTTCCCATTCGCTACCGCTAAGCCAGTATGTGGGGAAATACGAGAACCCTGCGTACAGTTCTATCACTCTGTCGCTCAAGAATGGATATTTGGTTGCAGATCTACTGGACCGTGCTATACCTTCCCTTATCACTCTCGCACATGTAAGCGGGGAGTTCTTTGTGGCGCATCACTACCAACCCAAGGAAATTGGATCGCTATCTGGTTACTATGCAACGGAATTCATAGTGGGTTCCAATGGGATTTCCACCGCGATGGGGATGGATGTGGAGCCCGCTTTAAATGGAGAGAAGATGTGGTTCGATCGCAAGGCTTGATGGCTTGTAATTCTCGGTTATATTCGATATAGATATATGTTTTAGATCTGAAGCCTTGGCCTAAATTGATAAATTTCTGATTATAGCAAGATATCAACCTCAACACTAAATTTAATTAAACCATAAAATTAAAGCTTGTTACCAAGTGAGACATCCCGTGGCGCGAAACACAGCCTTCATCCAGCCCGAGGTCGGGTCCGGTATCCAGCCCTCGGCGACACCGGACCCGACCTCGGGCTGAGTCCGCTTCCGGTGGAGTCGAGCAAAAAAGTTTTTTGGATAAAAGCAAAAAAGATAGTGACCGACGCAGGGATCGAACCTGCAATCTCTTGATTCGTAGTCAAGCGCCTTGCCATTGGGCCAGCCGGCCTTGTTATTGTACAATTTTGTCCAAATGTGCACTATATTTGACATATTAATGTTGGGTATGTTTCCATACAGATGATGCTCATTTCTAGGCATGTGGTGTAATAGAATCATAGATAGGGACCAGCAATAAAAGATATAACAAAAATGAAAGGAGAAACAGTGGTATGGTAGTAGGTTAATGACAAAAGAAACGCTGTAAAAAAAAAAAAAAACAGGCAAAAGTTATACGCCGGCGATATATATATCGCGGGATTGAGTCATACACTCGACTCAGAAACATCCGTCATGTAAATCTGTGATAACATGAGGCACTTTTCAGGAATTGTGCCTTCTTCCAATAATATAATTCGTGGCCTGCGGCCCAGTAGCTTCCGCCACTCAACGCGCTCTCCCAAGGTCATCAGCAGGTGTCCTGCGAGAAACCCGACCAAACAACCCATCACCCCGATGACAATACCTAGCAAAGCGAGGATGATGTAGCAGAAGATGCGCATAGGGAAGCTCCCGGGCTCCGGGCTGTAATGGGGACGGCCGTCTTCAGGGTACTGGTTTAGGACAGCCGGAGTGGACCAGACTGACAAGAATTGAGTCTTAGATCCAGAGTTGGTTACAACTTCAGTGTTGACAATTTTGTCATTACCGCGTAGAGCGGAAGTTTTCATGACCGGGGCTGAATTGAGGATGGTTGCCTTGTTCTTGGCTTTGTCGAAAATGATACCGAATTGTGACCCCCAGTATTTCATCACCCACGGCCAACTCTTCTGGGAGAACTGATCATCTTGATTGCCGCTGCGAGCTGGCTCAATCCGGAAACGGGCCATTTCGTATTTCCCATCTTGGCAGATGTGAAGTTGGATGGCCACTGCATGGGGTGATATCAGGTTGCCCTGCAGATCGAGAAACTCGAGTCGAACAAGGGTCATATCTGCTATGGTTCCCGTTTCGTCCTTGTGGATTGTTTCGGTCTCGAGCGAGTAGGATAATTTCAGGATCTTGCCATTGTATGTATTTTGGCCTGCGTCTTCGTAGAGGGGCAGTTGGAGTAGCATTGTCGCTGATGGGGGGTAGACTTGGTACTCATTGGCGTATAGGCCACCGTCTTGAATAGAAAAATTTATAGCCTATACTGTATTAGTATAGGAAATGAATTGATAGGATACCACTTACAAGTTCCCCTGTGACGCCAAATTCGAGGTCATCAGGAGAAGGAACGAAAGGACGTCGAAGTGGATCAGAATTGGAGTGCGGGATAAAAGAGGCAAGGGCACTGCCTAAGCAGGCAAAGGTCCACAGCAGCTTCATGGTGTAAAAGAATGAAGTAAAGGGCAGGAATATGTCGAAAACGAAGAATAGAATGGAGTGTAAAGGACGAACCCTTGGCGAGGAGAGACCAAAAGAAGAGAAGAAAAGTCCAGGGCTTCAATCTTCATCTCTGGGTGATAGACATATAGCTATAGGAAGGGCAATTACCTATAAAGTTTAGCGTTGGTTTACGCCCTCTGGGCACGTTTCAGTCCTTTGGGCTACTATTATTGACTCTGTGTCTTTGGCATCTTCTTTTCTTTCCCCTGCATAAAGAACCTTGATGGTTTCATGTTTACTTGCACCTCTTTTTTCCCTTTCAATCTCGACCGAACTCGAAAATGTAAATATGAGAGGTATATATTTTTTAATTCCTATGCTTTACCAGTCTCCTACTATGGCCTAGCCTATCATAGTGACACTAACACGCTAACGGGCTTTGCTCTAGCGTAGGGGATCGACGCTGCTTTTTGACCAATCTAACCTTTCTTGGCCAACCTAATATGTCCTAATGGGGTCCCTGGGGCTATAGATTGACATTATTATTCAAGACCTTTCGACTGCCGAACCCCAATACGGAAGTTGGTCAAGCGACGAAAAGTAGTAAACACAGGTTATCGTCCCACGATGATTGAAAATGCTCGCATCATTGGACCCTGGAAATCCATGTATTATTGGCCGAGTTGTGATAAATAAAGTCTTAAGAACTTCAACACCCTGGTCACGCTGAAGTTTTGGGGTTTCTTTGGAGGATTCTTGCCAAGTTCAGCTCTTCGTCTATTTCATTGTGCAATTGCGCTTTCTCTCAATACGAATACCCGAATCTGCTTGACGCTATATGATGCCGCACAACGTATGCCATGTACTCGGGTAGTAAGGATGTGAAAGAGCACCGGGCAGCCCCTTCTAATGTTAGATTTAGATAAAGTAAAGAAGCGAATTTGGATCCGCAGGGTATTCTTTATCAAAATAAAGTAAAGAAAAAGAGAGTCGAAACCAACCGAGTTCAAGGCTAACATTTGGTACGAAAAGATAGAACTTATTGTAGCTGCAGTTATATCTCATATTTGACGCAGAAGTGACCTTGGGCGGAGTGGTTAGATCTACGGGTTTGATGTCTACCTGACTCTAAGTGCTGGGCATTTGTTGTAATGATAAGAGGCTTTACTGGTATGGGGAGCATTACGAGTACTTTTTTTTGTCTCGCAAAGCTTGATCACTCTCGCTTAAATTCACAGTCGATCAATACCCACCGATCCATGCATTCCACAGGGGCTGTGGCAAGCCTTGCACCCAGCAAAACCCGAAATCCACATCCAGCCAAGCCCGGGAACTGCCTATTCAGGAAGTGGGAATATTTTCAGAATCGCGACTTGTTGTCGTCAAGCCTGCCGAGGGAGACAGGCATATTCTTTTCATTTGACTTCAATGCTGTAGAGTTAGCCATCCTAATCTATTACTTTCTTCACTATAGTCCAGTCGGCCTCAATCTACAACATGGAGTTTGTACGGAGCTTGTGTGTGAAAGATATCTTTTCATTCCTAATTAATCATTTCGTGAAGTCGAACACTTTAATCCCACTCTGAAGTTCCACCAATTGATCATGCCAATTTACTAACCTCATGTACATCGTGTATATAAGACAATAGAGGACTCAGGTCGGTTTATAATATGGAGCAGACTGCCAGAACTGACAGCGTGGGTTATTAGTCGGGTCCTGCATTGGCTGGATGGTATAATTGCCAATGTTGATGAGCTGTGCATGCTTGCCATGCTTTCGGAAGGCCGGTGCTAGACGAGATTTTGGCGCGCCATGCTGAACAAAGCTAGTGAAATAGTCCTGCATAGCCAACGCCACGGTCACATTGGCGACATCCGAACCTGTCCCATTGTTGTAGAAGGTGTAGGAGACATCCTGTCCATGGAGTGCAGGTGGAATGCTGAACTCATACGCATAGGTCTCATTGTAGAAAGCACGGTTGATATAATCGGTATTGCATTGGAAGATAAGATCCGAGATGGCGAGTGCCGTGCGCGCCACTGAGTCGGTGTATCCATAGGAGCCGTTATAGACTGGTGGGTAGAGGACATCCAAGATAAAGTCGGACACGTTTGCTGGGGTATTGGGTGACAGGGTCTTCATTTGAATTCCCAACCCGGTGCTATTGACGCTGTCCGGAGAAGTAAAGACCATCCCTTCATTCGCGTTATGGCCGACCATAATGTTCAGGTTGTGATCGAAATCGCCTCGAAGCAAAAGCTGCCCTGGCAGAGCAGGCACGAAGCTGCCATCCACAGTGGGACCGTAGGTGAACTGTCCCCACTGGGACTTGGTCGCGACTTGGTACGCATTGGCGGCGATCAATTCATGCGATGGTAATTTCCGAGCTTGCTCAATCGTGCTGACATTGAGAATTCCCAAGAACTGTTGCAGAGTGTCTTCTTGTTCTTCTTCGCCAATGATCGGGACCCAGCCCGGACTCTGTAAGATCGCTTGTTTGAAGGGTACAGCACCCCGTGTGCCTCCATAGGCGGTGATCTGATGAAGGATTGATCCGGCGCCAGCAGACTCGCCCATAACTGTGACTCGGGTTGCGTCTCCACCGAAAAGATGAATGTTCTTATATACCCAGTCAAGAGCAAACCGTTGATCGTGGAGTGCTGCGTTGGAGGTGCCATTGGCTGTGATACTGTCACCACCAAGCCAGCCAAATGCACCCAACTTCCAGAGAAATTAGTATTCTCACGGCACAGACTAGGAATGTCGTTTGACTTACTCGATAGTTCAAGGCAACGTATACAATCCCATCATTATTTCCTAGCATACTTCGCTCGATCAACCCAGTTGGGTCTGAGCTGCCCTTTTCTCCTCCCACATACCCTCCGCCATAGATCCACACCAGCACCGGCGCTAAGTTCTTTCGAGATTCTGCGCCGCTACCTTTTGTGCACTCGAATACCTTTTTGGGGACAATGACGTCAAGGAATAGACAGTCCTCCGTGGTGCGTGGGTCTTGCTTCGCCGGCTTGTACTCATAGGAAGAGATGTTGGTGGATGTAGAGAAGGACTGATTGTAGAAGTAGCTCAAGAGGAAGGCCGGTTGGACCTTTGTCGACCATAATGGGGATGCCTGTGGACATATCCTGCCCACAGAGCCGTTTTGGATGTGTTCTCTGTTTTGTTTTGGAAGTACGGGTGCCTGGAATCGTAGGTCGCCAACCGGCGGTGCTGCATAACGGATATTGGTGAAATTATAGAGGCCATGGGAGCTCTATTTCGAACGTCAGGGATATTAAAAGTCAAGCCAAAGAGGACTCATCTGACATTAAATGAAATTGCTTGGTGTCGCTCATATCCCAGATCAACCACAGGTAATTTGGAGGCCAGACACACTGAAGCCAGTGCCAGCAACAACACAATGACCATCTTGACCCCAGGAAAGCAGAATAAGAGCGCGGGGAAAGAGAGAGATCCTAGAGCTTAGGGGCTTATATTAATACTAGCCAGGAACGCCGAAGTCAGGCCATGTTATGGACCATAATCTATGTATTCCGTAGGTTCCGGACCTAGAGTGGAGTATATGGTCCAACAGAGAACTAGATCGAGATGCTGACCTTCTCTACCAATCATCGTAACCAAATCTTAACCATGTGGGAAAACACAGCCAGCGGTCAGTTCCTTTTTGCGACCCAAAATGCGCAATGATGTCAAAGCGAGACATTACTTTGGGGCTCGGCGATAACACACCAATAAGAGACAAGATTCCCCAGAAGCAGGATTCGAATGCACCAACGCTATACTAATTCTGGGGCTGAGCTCCGGTAGAAAGTACGGAGGGAATTGTTGGCGAGCACAGACTTTGCGGGGTACCCTCATCAGCTTGCACTGCAACATCACGCCCGTCAGACGGAGATTCCGAACGCTGGGTATATACGATTGTTGCCTAGGGCGATATTTGAAATTCTCATTTGCTACACAGTGGGATGACTCAAACATCAACCTCGCGAATCTTATACTCGAACATCTGGTTAGAAGGCACTTCATGCTCATTCTGGAGTTTCGCGGCACTCTCGGCACCCGCTGCTGGCACACGGTATTCGAATCGTTTCCCATGCGTTGGCAAAGTTCCGTCAGGCAGTGCATATGGGAAGGGCAGATATTCGGGCAACAAACCTAGCTGCACAAGTACTGTTGCCTGGTCCCATGCAATGTGTTCATGAAACAAGCGATCTCCCCGAATGTTGACTATAGAGGTGAATGGAACGCGAACGTGCTTGCCCGTAGGAGGGATACCGGGGATCCTAGGCCGAGCGAAGAGATCAGTTAATTGCTCGATTCAACCACAGGAACCGAATAACCCACAGCCAATCCATCTGCTTCACATGAGTGAAGACAAATATAAACTCGTCCACAATTCGGTCGGTCCCGACTGTCCGACTAATAAGCTCCAAAGCTGTGTCGTCGGGGTTGTTGAAAATGAAGTGATTGAGATAAAAGTGGCTTAAACGAGCTCGTCCAATGCCTCCTGTTAGGGTTGGCACATGGTTCACGTAAGGCTCTGCGACCATCGTCGCCATTGTCTTTTCGACCGAACGTGACTCAAATTCATAATAGGTATGCTCGTCCCAGATCTTCTCAAGGTCAAAGAATGGACCACCCATGTGCTTCTTAACATATCCGACACTCCGAGTATGAGCTACTCCTGCGGTCGATATCTTGAAATCCGGGTGGCCTGGGATCATGAAGCTGGAGGATGACACGTCGGAGTAGACGTGGGTAGTTTGTCCTTCCTTCTTCTCGCCTTCTAATGGGCTAGACAGCTGGAAAAGGGTTGACTGGAAAAAGGAAATGTCCCAGGAGTCGAAAAATACTGCGGCGACCAGAGCCGTGTCTTGATCTAGTGCACCTCGCAGACTGTCTTCGAATTGGGGAGCATAGTCTTTCTTTGATCCATAGACTAATTTGAAGTCAGTAAGAACTGGCGAAAGAGCCAGGTTGATACTTCCGTACCTATCAACCCAATCTTTTCCTTCGTATCGCACTCCAGTCTCTCTGTTAAGCCACGCTCAACTTCTTGAATGAGCTTCCGTAAAGATGATTTATCAATGGTAGATTTCTCATCTAGAGTGATCTGTGCCACTGTAAAGCTTTCTTCGCTCCATTTTTTGAGGGGTTCCGGATCAAGCGTCTTGTTTTGCTGCTGGCATGTCGCGTAACAAAGAGGTCGTATGAGAATCAGTCCTGGGCCGTGTCCACATCGAGAAAGAGGAGGCTGAATGGTCACATATGGACTTAGTTCCACCTGAGCGGAAGGCGAACCTGACTTGGACATCTTCAGTTTGATCAGATAGAAGTTGGAAGTTGAGTAAATCCGGGGGTTTCCAAGTAGCCGGGGCGATCATTATATACCCGGAGCTCTCTCACCCCCACTTTGGACCTGGATAGTGAGGAGAATGAGATTTAGCCCTGCAACGGATAGACCCCAGAAAATGAGAAAATCCAAAGTCATCATATCATTATTGCAATTATCGCATTGATCGTATTTACTTCAAATGATACCATACACGTGACCTGTCATCGGAGCTCGGCCCGTTGATTTCCACGCGCAAGCTCTCTCCCAAGAGCACAACCCAACAATGAACGCACTTGTCCAGTCTGCCCTGACTGATGTCGAATCTAAACTCAATGCCCTATTGACTAGCCTCACAACATCTCCCACAGCTGCGGGAGCCCCTGCCGCAGCTGTCGCCCTGCTCGACGCGGACGATGCGCTAACCTCCGCCATTGAAACCCTTCGACAGCACCAAGAAAACTACGCAAAGATCCTTCGACTCCGAAACGAGGCACAGCAGCTGGAGGACCGAGTCAAGGGCATCGTGGGGGATATTGAAGGATTCGAGAAAGAGATCCGCACAGCTTGTGGAAACGACAGCGACAGCGATTTCGATTCCGACTCCGATGACGACCTGGGGGGAAAGAAATCATTGCTACGGGGAATCAAAGAGATTGACTACAGGCTGCTGTTGGATTTTGCACGTCGCATCAGCAAATACAACCAGGAAGCCGCAGCCGATGCCGCAACGGGCGTTGTGAAACGGCAAGAAGCAAATACCCTTGCCGATAAAGATGTGACGATGACGGGAGCAAATGGAGACCAACCAACAGAGGAGGGTACAGAGCCTGTCGCATCTGTCACCAAAAACGCAACGCAGTGGTTGGACGAGTCCGCGAACGTTACGCGCCAGGTCTACATGCTCCCCTACCCGATGGAGGAACGGATACGGATGGGACTGATGGGTCAAATTCAACTTGCGACGGGCGACGATCCCGAAAAGGAGGTGGAACGGTTGTTACGCGAAGCTGAGGGTCTTGGGGCCGCAGAACCGCCAGCACCAGCTGAACCAGCGGAAAGCACAAAGCAGGCGGACGAGGCCTCGAAGGCTGCAGCTCATGCTGGATCATCGGCCGCTGGAATGCCGCGGGCGCATGCTCAAGCATCAGCACCAAAACCGAAACCTAAGGCCATGCTGGACCTTGATCTCTACGACCCCGACGAAGATGACGATTGAGTGTTTTTTAAGCGGGCGTTGCATTCGATTTCCATAATGATACCAGCTACAACAGCACAAAAAGCCATTTAAGATAATCTTTTTTCTTTCAACCATGTCTCATTTCACATTGCATATCTCCGAACATTTAATTTGCCGTTACATCTTATGGACCGAAGACTTGGCCGTCCATCCCCGGAACTTCTTGCCATAAAAGTAGAAGGGGATGGCACAGAAACACCACAACGCTGCCAATGACATGTTCAACATGATTGGCTTGACAAACCCACTCTCTTCCACCCATTCGGTGATGAATCTACTGAAGCCATAGCCCCAGAGGTTCTTGTTGACAGTGATAGCTACGAAAATCGAGCCCGCCACAGGCTTGTAGCTGTCAACCGCATATGTGCTGGTAATAGCGGGAAGTGCCGCAACCTGGATGCCTGCTGCAGTGTATCCAATGAAGACGATGATCTATGCATGGACCAGTTAGTTGAACACCCGCTAAGCAAGGAATGATTGCACTCACCTTCCAGTCCCATTTATACTGGTATCCAAATGCAACGATGAAATTTCCGATTATCGAGATGATGACATATGGAATCATTGCCGGCAGACGCATTTCGGGTTCTCGAATACCGCGGTTCTTCCGGGTTGCTTTCATGGAGATCCAATCTGAAAGAAGACCGTTGGTGGCCAAGCCAATGAAACTCCCGATCAAAATAGCAAAATTGAAGAAACCAATCGTTTGACTGCCAAAGTTGTATGGGGGTTCGGCAAATGCTTGGCTCTGGGTGAGATTGAGAGTGAGGAAACAACTGGCGGACCATGACACGACGAACGCGGCTAGCTCGACGATGGGGAAGGTCAACAGTTTCCATGGAATCCAGAAGCTGAGAATAACAGCCTTGATGTTGTTTCCATCCAATTGCCAGAGCTTAAACTGTTGCTTTGATGGGGTGCCTTTGTGCAAATAAGGATCGCGCTCGCCAGTTTCCGCATTCTCGTTCTCTTGCTTGGAGACATTGACTGCTTTCTCTGTCTCCGATCCAACGCTTGCCGACTCAGAAGGAGGTTCCGCCTGAGCAACCTCGTCTGGATGAATCCGATGCCATTTGGTCTCGGGGAAAAGGAAAATCTGAAGTAGGAGCACCAATCCGAGGACGCCGACGTTCAGCCAGAAGAAGCTACGCCAGCCACTATGCTCGGCCATAGGACCCGCGATGATGGGACCAACCTGGATGATATCAGTGACAGCAAAAGCTTTGACCTCCCGAATCACTTGCCATGAGAGACCCAAAATAGGCAGTAAAGTACACTGTATTGTACGCACCACGCTCATGTAGGAAGATGATGTCTGCAATAATCTCTGGTTGAGACGTCTAGAGGGTGAACGGTCAGGTTTGATCTATTGGAAAGAGATCGAGACACACACCTCTGCGGGACCAGCGCCAAAACCATTCAGCACACAAGCGCCCATATAGCTGCCATAGCTGGTCGCCATTGCTCGCCAAATATTGCTGACCAGGCAGATTAGGGTTGAGAAAATCAGGACCGGTCGTCGTCCGTAGGAAGTTTGGATGGGTATCCTGGATTAACCCAGTGTTAGCGAGGTTCGTCAGACCATTTGTACACTGCTAACCCTCACCAGAAGAAATTGCTGAACCCCAGCACCAGAATGCAAACACCTGTGAACTGCACGACGGCGGCCAAATCGCAGTCAAATGCCTCCATCAACTGCGGGAACATAGGAGCCAATGCCAAAGGGCCCAGACCTTGACTGAAAGATGTCAAGGAAGAAATTGTCATGGCGCTCATTTTCCAAAATCGATTCCAGTTCTGCAAACATACTTGGTTATTGATCATTCCAGTCAATTTTCTTGGAAGAGCTGCTTACCAGAGGATCATGAGGATCTTGCGATGGCTGAGGCACCAGCACCCGATCGGATTTGGCGGATGATTTCACGAAATGATGAGAGCCCACGTCTGTCATAATCTCCGTCCCTGGGTAGATCACTGTTCCCAGCTGCTCCTCGATTCTGGGCAGATGGTCAGTAGGCACGGTCGTTACGGGGTGGACAATGCGACATACTGATGAAGAGTCTAAATGCGAGATCTATTAGCCAAAAGATGCAAAGCACATCATGGAGGTGGACTGACCCCTTCATCATAGTTCATCTCCATGTTTTCGATATATCCCGTGAGCTTGATTTAATACGAAGGCGCTAGGGAAATGGCTTTCAATCCTCAGAGTGTTGGCTGGTGTTGCCTTCACCGCGTGTTCAGGTTGGGATCCCCTGTTAGTTATATTTTAAACATAGGATAAAGGGAAATTCGACCCCTAGAGGGGCTGGATTCGGGAAAGCAAGGTGAACAACTACCGAAGCTAAATTTATCCCATCCCTACCCATAAGGATGGCATATTTGTCTTTTCAAGTCAACCAGTAGCAGAGCTCTAGTAAAAGTACCCAGTTCAAGTGATATGCACCTAAACATACTTCATCCATCGTAGCTCCAACCCTATGGGACTTGCGGAAATCCTCCGCAGAGATTCCCCGGATTCCCCGCAAGTCCCAAACGCCTTAAATTTCTAAGATTCTTATAGGTTGAATAATTCTATGTATTCTTATTAGAATCATCTTTCCGCGGTCTGTATTATTGTATTCGGCAAATCCCCTAATCACGTTATACCGCGTTTGGAGTGATGCTTCGCCGCATGTTGTCTGAAGACTGCTTGAAAAAGAAGTAGCATATGTCTAACTTGGAAGCTAATTGCCCAGCCTTGGCCACTTTATTAGCTGTTTCAATCAAGTTCTAAACCAAGGGAGGGTGAAAAGAAAGGGGGTGGGGGGAGACACCCTTGGGGATAGACGTGCATATGCAGCCCTGGAGCAATTTGGCGAAGCTGAGTTAATAACAAGTATTGCTTATTACCAGTTGAAATTACAAGAGCAGTTGCTTATATGCATTTGAAACAATTAGCAAACTGTAGACTATGAGTAGTACCACATAATATGTAGTATGTAGTATCCATGAATGCGTGCCTGAGGCCATATGTTGTTTTCCTTCCTCAGGATATATCCTTCCTTCGATATTTCATAGTCATGTATGGACTTTATCCCGGCTTGGCCATCTTGCGCTCTTGTTACCCTTATTGGGAAGAGTACCACCCCGGAAGATGTTCCGGACCATTTCCCCCACCTGAGTATATTGTATCGGACTATAATTGCGGCCTGTCGCCGGGGTCTTGTTCTTGAATTTCCCGTGGAGGGAGGAATTTCGATGAGTCCAATGATGATCGATAGAGTCATGATCCCCGGATGTCATCTCCTCACCAAAAAAAAGAACCGCCAAGAAGCTTGGTAAAGCTTGTTTGAGCCAGACTGTGTTGTCAAACCGGACCAATCGGAAAAACCTATGCTTTGTCTATAGAGTCGATGTAATCGAATCTCGGCACTTGTCTGAACAACCCCAAAAAGCATTTAATCAGGCTCCGGGGCCCCGGTTTATGCCTGATACCCAGAATGGCGGTTCTTGTCCTTCTGGGGATTATTTTGCTGAGAGTTCTTGAACTATTTTTGTCGGATACTTCACTACAATGAGCCACCACGAAGATCCATTCTCCAATCACACAGACGCAGACGGAGACGTGGAGAAGCAAGATAGTGACTGTGAAGTCCGCTCTCCTGGGGGCAGTCCTAGGCCCAACCGCCAAAAGAAAGAGGGTGCAGATGGAGCTGTCGATGGACAGGCCAGGGAAGAGCTGAAAGAATGGGAGTGCTACGACAAGCTGGGATATTGCTTCCCCTGGTGGAAGAAATGGAGTATCATCTCTGTCATCTTTGCTGTCCAAACATCCATGAACTTCAATGCCAGTTTTTACGCCAGCAGCATCACCCTGTATGCGAAACACTTCAACATCTCAGAGCAGGCTGCGCGCGTTGGCCAAATGGCATTTCTCGTTGCTTATGCGTTTGGCTGCGAGTTTTGGGCGCCCTTCAGTGAAGAGTTTGGTCGATGGCCAATAATGCAGCTCAGCTTGTTCTTCGTCAACATCTGGCAGATTCCCTGTGCCCTGGCTCCCAACTTTGGCACCATTGTCATATGCCGCATTCTTGGGGGTCTATCATCCGCCGGTGGTTCCGTAACGCTCGGCATGGTAGCAGACATGTGGGAGCCAGAGGACCAACAATACGCTGTGGCCTTCATTGTGCTATCATCCGTGGCAGGATCAGTCATTGCCCCAGTTGTCGGTGGATTTGTGGCGACCTTCCTTAGCTGGCACTGGAATTTTTGGCTCCAGCTTATCCTCGGAGGCTTTGTGCAGATATTGCACTTCTTCATTCCAGAGACCAGATGCAGCATTCTCATTACGAGAGAGGCAAGGCGAAGACGGAAAAATGGACAAACGGTATGGAGTGGTGATGAGCTGAAGACATCTCGCATGTCCTTCCGCTGGGTGTTCATGGTTTGGGTACGACCGTTTATTATGTTCGTGCGCGAGCCGATCGTCTTGTGCCTTTCTTTGCTCAGTGGTTTCAGCGATTCTCTCATCTTCACTTTCCTCCAATCGTATACGCCGGTATACAAGCAGTGGAAATTCACTACGATTACCACTGGACTTTCTTTCCTCCCGTGAGTGCGCGACCTTGAATTTAGGTTGGTTCTGATAATCTGATTATGCAGACTTTTGGTGGGCTACTTCATTGCTTATTTCTCGTTCATTCCATGGATTTCCCGGCATTGCAAGATTAGACAGAGAGACCCAGATGCGCTTCAGCCGGAAGCTCGTCTTTATTGGTTGCTATGGGGTAAGTATTCTTAGATTGAGTCTGCTGGTATCATTACTCACTCCTAACAGTGGCTCCTCTGTTGACAATTGGCCTATTCGGATTCGCGTGGACTAGTCTCGGTCCACCTCATGTCCATTGGATTGCGCCTATGATCTTCTCAGCCCTAATTGCGATTGCCAATGTAAGTCAAACCAAACCCCTTTCCTTGATACATGACTGATAAGTTATTCTAATGAAGTATGCCATTTACATGGCCACAATTGACTACATGATTGCCGCGTATGGTCCATATGCCGCCTCCGCCACAGGAGGAAACGGATTCGCGCGTGATTTCCTGGCCGGTATTGCAGCGATGTATTCAGTGCCCAGTAAGTGGCCACACTCTTACAGCAGAATACCCCCTGACCGCGAAATACAGTGTACACACACATGGGTACAATACACCATCTTGAATGGCCTTCCACCTTCTTGGGCTTCATGGCGATCCTCTTCACTATTCCAATATACATATTCTATTGGAAAGGTCCTAGAATTCGGGAATTGTCACCCTTCGCGCAGACCTTGGCTTCCGACAGAAAGAAGACTGGCCGCAGGGTTTCGTCCTGTGGTTCCGGTGATCCAGATCCTGTTGAAAGGTATCTGTCTGAACGTTCCTCAAGTGAAACCAGAACTAGATCGGGTCTGCCGCTTCCATCGGGATAAACACCATTGAAACATGAAGATGGTTTATGCCTCTGGCTTCACGGTGGCTTGGGTTAAGACTCGCATCAGAACGGCGGAAAGAAAGAGCATGCATTCATGATATAGGATATATGAATCGGTTGCATTAAAAAGCTTATCTTTTGTTAATGGAGACATTCTTCGTATTCATCTCTATTTCTGTTAGGTTGGCTTCATCACTGTTAGACTAGAAATAGTTTTTTGTTTTATTTTCATGTAATGTTACAATGAACTGTCTTTCAGACATTTTGGGATTATTTGCCCCTTATGCGTGATGGAAGAATGCCATCATCCCGTCAAGTCATGTCATCGCCAGCACGGAAATAATTCCCGACGAAGCACAAGCGATATTATTCTCGGTATCTGATATGTGTACTTTATCCACAACAGTGTTTGAAATTAAATATAGACATTTAGACATTTAGATACAGTATAGTTGATGACCCCCAGCGTATAAACATAAAAACAAGTAAAATCATTGATTCCAAGATTCTTGGAGTTTCCGAATGGCATATTCGGTAGTCCAGCCCAAATCAGCTTCAACGCCCCGTAGCAGATCAACAATAATCTGATGCTCCTCGCCATTTTCAAGACATTGTCCGACAGCAACAAGAAGCGGGACCATGAATATGCGAACACCACCCTGAGGTCGACCCAATGCAATGCCGCAGACTTCACGGGAACGGAATTCGACCTCTTTCGTGACCTCCCGGTACCCTTGTAAGCGGTCAAATGCTGTAGACGGTGCACTGATCACATCTGCCGGACGATTGAGCAATAATGCGATACGCCCGAAGTGGTAATGTTGCATGGTAGCGGCACAGGCTGTCAAGCTATGGAAGATTTCAGGGAATGGTAAGTAACTACCCTCGACAGCCTTTGATAGGTCCTTGGGGCGTTCGATCCGCACAGAAGAGCGGAACGTTTCGGGAACATTTTCAAACCATGTTTGAAATTCGAAGGATAGTTTGAGCCAGGTATCTGTGTCCGGATATGGCAGTTGGGCGGCGTTTGGTTGTGTGCCCTGGATTTCGGGCGAAGCTGCTGGTGGAGATCCTGTCCACTGCGCGAGCTGTAATTGTTTGGATCTTGCGAGGAAGTTGATGACTTTTGTGACAAGCCAGATCAAGCCATTAGCGGCCTGGTCTTCCAGCGATAGAGGTGACCCATTCCGAATGAGATGGAAGGCTTTTTGATCATTAATTGAGATTCCTGCTGCCCGCCAGAGGGGCAGATTCTCTGGGTCGAAGTGTGTAGGTGAACGGGTGAAATAAGAGCCGAGATAGTCTTGGCGAGCGAAATTCCAGAAGGCGGCTTGGATGCCATGAGAAAACAGGGCCGATTCGGCCGAATGTAAAGCGAGAAGAGACTCGAACAAAGGACGAATGCGAGCAAGTTGCCTGGGTCTCAGCGTTAGTAAAAAGAAATAGCAACCACCAACGAGGATATCTTACATGTGCCACTCGTCCCCAGGCATATCTAAAAGCCTGTACATGGTAAGAAGCGTAGCAGTTGCTAGGAGCTCCTCTGTTTTTCGAATGACCGCCACGTCGTTTGGATCTTCACTCGCGGGTTTTATGCTTGCTTGAATCTGACGAGAGCTGATCCATCGACTAACGATCTCAAAGGGGGATTCCAAGATAGCTGAGCTAGACACAGTGGTGTAGCCATCGGACGTGATATTATTCAAATCAGAGGCTGCTAGGTAATAGTAATTGGCAGCCTTGAGAAACCAGTCAACCTGGGTTGCATTTGGGTAGATTTCCGTAGTCGCAGGGCTTGTGAACATTCCACCTGTGGAAGGCTTGACCCCTTTCAAACGAGCTAGGTGTTTTGCTGCTAGCGCTGAAATGGCATACTTGACGGACAGATTGTTGATGGCTCGAATAGGAACGTGGACGGTGAAAAATTTCTGGGTATCCGACAAGTCCAACCTGGTCACATTATCAATACACTGTACACGCAAAGAGAAGTGTCAGTAAGACGCACCATGGACCTATGATCTCCGAGTAATGTCGAGTGAGGAATGCGATTTCGTGTTCAGTTCCAGTCATGAGCTCCGAGAAGATATCTTGGAATTCATCTTTTTCGCTTCGATGTGATGAGCTTTCGGATATGACCCTTTGGTAATCGGGGCTCTTTTGTGGAATTGCGTTGTAAGTGCTATCAAATGTTGGGAACCCTCCTGCGGGTCCAGTTGGTGAAATTGACTGGTAGATCGGGTTTCTTGTGGATCTGCTGCCTTCTTCGATGCCAGACATGGAGTTGGAAATAGAGATAGCTGGGCTTTCGGGAGCATGCATGGTTGCTTGTTGCGTACTCCCTATAGCAAGCTCTGGTTGGCTAGAAGAGCCAGGCATCTCTACGATCATCGTGTCATTTCTCGAGTCTAACCTCGTCTCTCCCATTTGGAAATGAAGAGCAGGATTATGTTGCTCTTTAGGTTGATTCCATTGCAGAATCTGCTCTTTGGGTTCTAGTTGCGAGCTTTGTGGCTGTGGGTCTGATATCAGTTCTGCGGGGACCTATCACAAAGCATAAGTGCGTGGGCAGAAAAATAGTTGGCAGTTTGACCTACTTTGGGTGAATTGAATGCAGAGCCTGTCCTTGGATGATGCTCCTGATATGGAGCATAACGGCGCCTTACTGTGGCTCCTTGATCGATGAATTTGCGGGTTTGAACATACCCCGGGCATTCTACCCCCGCGGTGGTGCACCGTTGACAATAAGGGCGAGTCTCATCACACTGCCATAGGTTAGCAAGAATCTGCAAATGCACGTTCAAATAAAATCGAACTAACTTTTAGATGTCTCTTTTTGCAACGCTCGCAAGCCTTGTTAGACGGCACCCCAGGCATTGTGCGTTGCGTGCCAGTATTGCGATCTCCAGGGCTTAGTGCTCGGGTTTTGAGGTCATCTATAAATCTCCACTTTGCCTCTTTATAACACACACAGCTACTTCACATTTCGAACATAAGTCAGGCGAAGATGGCAATTCGAGGGCAAGAAATCTAGAATGAATGATGCAAGATGCTTGGCTGTAAGGAGTGCTTACATAATACCCGGCGATTTTTCGTTTGAAACTCGGAATCTGGTCACGTTTTTAGCTGTACATCCTGTCGTCATCTACTTCTCTTCTACAAAAAAACCATACATCATGCTACGGAAACCTTCAATTTTCGTTGATAGCCAATGTGATACATCTGCTCCATTGATACGGTCTATTGAAGATCACGATGTAGATCCGAGGAATTTTCAAATACGATGGGGCTCAATATCTTCAACACAGCCTGTTCTTTCAGGTCCGGAACAAATTCGCGTATATCACGAATGGATTGGTGTGCTACTATAGTCAACTGACTAGTGATATTTGCTAATTTCTTATTGCAGATGCTGGGAAGCCTCATAATATAGTGTGTTGGGAGTGTCGTCTACCTGATAGTCTGATTGGTTGCCAGACGTGCTGTAGATCCTATCATACAGCATGTCTATTGGACGTGGTCCGATCTGCAAATAACTTCCATTGTCCATCTTGCCGGGCAAGAGCTTGGGATCATGCACCGCCCCAGTTCCCTGTGCCATCACCAGCCCCAAGTACTGGTGGCACAACCCCAAAAGGCTATCCAGACCCGTCATTTGGAAATCTTCCAATCCATGGCGATAGAGCATCAACAGTATCACGGAGTAAATCCTCACTGGCCCCGCGGATGATGCCTCCCTCTAATTTGAACCGGATTGATGAAGTCGATGCTCGCGGCACGCCAGCTGAGTTATTTCCCGTTGCTGAGATGTACCCTCAGCTTCTGGAATATCTAGCGATGCCGGATGTCGAAACGGATCATCATGCCCAATCGTCACAGTTCAAGCATCAACTGGGAATGGCAATGAAAGAGATTGAAACAAATCGGGCATCAATGCGAGAAAAAGCAAGTATCCGAGAGGACTATTCGAAGTTACAACGCGAAAACGCACAAATGAAAGCGTACCTTGATTCCAGGGCCTCAGCACCAGATTCTGGTGCTCCTAGCCCTTCAACGGTTTCACACACCATCATCTCAAAACCAGCGTCTGAGCAAAGGGGGAAGGCTTGGGACAGCATTGCCATTGACCTGTTTTGATTGTTCATTTCTGGCTGCACGAAGTGATTTTTGACTCGTAGCCATCAAAAATGGATAAGTGATCGATGAAGAGTTGCAACCGCAAACATTACATGTTTTGAGTTTTTGATCTACCCGACACCACCACTTTTAATCGCCTCGATATCTGCCCAGCATAATTTCTCGGCATTTTAGATGCATGTTGGAAATCTGGCATTTTCCCAAAAACCCGACCGGTCGATCGCTCATGTCACCTCCAGTCACACTCTCCATATCTTTGCAAAACAGCGCGGAGAAGGTTACATGAAGCGAATGCCTGGGCTCAGTCTCGACTCATTCCTCGGAACTCACGGATCATCTTCATCCCTGGAAGCACCATGTTCCCCGCAGCTCGGGATAATTGAGTCCCCCTCGACCTCAACGATCGACAATCAGATGCCCACGGCATTATATGACGTTTTGTCGGATCCTTGTTCGAGCATCTTCCGTGCAAATCTTCGCCTTGATTTTCGCTCCTTGACCTCTCCCCATGTGGGGAACAAACGAGCGTGCCAGATGCCGGAGCGACTAGATGGGTAGATGTAACACCATGTTGGCCAGGGGTCGGTGTTACGTCTACGGATGAATTGCTCCTGCATATTGTTATTTGGTCTAATGTCCAAGGATGTGACTGGCAGTTTCCTTCGAAAGGCAGTTCACATGCCGATCTGTTCCGGAATGCTTTCCCCGCGACATGTTGCCAATCCACATAAATAAGGAGCTTAAATTCTGAACTGGAACGCGCTTTTTATAAGTGTCAATCTTAAATTGGGTTGCTATTGGATTACTTTTTGTGTATGGCTGTGGATAGTCCCTGAGTCCATTATGCCATCACGACATTCCTCCTTCCGCATGTGGTTCCTCAACGGAATCGTAACAGTCCTTTATACTTCTAACGTGATAGCTACGACGGATTCTTCGGCAGATCATTTCGACGTCTTGAAATATGTCGATCCTTTGATTGGTACCGCGAATGGAGGTTTGTCTTGAATATGATGCGCCTTTCTGCCAGCGAAGGCTGACGGCTCTTGTAGGCCATGTATTTGCTGGCGCGACTTTGCCATTTGGTAGGTCATGCCTATTCGGTGCTTTCATCCAGCAATATTAATAAATGCAGGTATGGCCAAAGCCGTTGCGGACACAACAGGCGAGAATCAGGCTGGCTTCGCTTTTGATACAAATGTTGTGACCGGGTTCTCACACATGCATGATTCTGGGACTGGCGGCGTAAGTTTTACAAACTATTAGAGAGCATACCATCTATCTGACTCGCGTCAAAGGCCCCATCAATGGGAAATTTCCCTATCTTCGCGCAAGCAAATTGCCCACACGACGATATTAACCAGTGCAAATGGCAACAATCGGACAGAGCATCTGTCTGGGAAAGAGAGTCCCCTAAAGCCCGCCCAGGATATTTCAGCATTTCATTGGCGAATGGTGTTCACGCGGAAATGACAGCCACAAATCGATCTGCTTTGTATCGGTTTACGTTCAATGAAAACTTCGGCCAGTCGCTCAGTCCTGTGATCCTGCTGGATTTGATGGATTTACCTCAAACTCGAACAAGTGGCAGTGCTGATGTGGACCGATCAACTGGGCGTCTCACTGGAAGTGGAACGTTCAGCCCGAGCTTCGGGGCTGGCAGTTACCAGTCATATGTATGTGTTGATTTCAAAGGAGCAGAGCTTCGCGACACAGGCACATGGGAGAAAAACCTACCAAACATTAACAAACGGACGCTGACACTCGGGTCTAACGCGCCATCAATTCTCTCGGCTGGTACATTTGCTAGATTCTACGCCCCCAAAGACAACAGTATTCTCGCTCGTGTTGGCGTTAGCTTCATAAGCGTTGACCAAGCTTGCTTGAACGCGGAGCGAGAGCAACCTGACTTTGACTTCGAGGGCACCGTTTCCGCTGCTGAATCTGCTTGGCGAAAGAAGTTGGATACCATCTCTGTAGATACAGATGGAGTTTCATCAAATCTACAAAAGGTCTTTTGGAGCGGGGCATACCGAACATTCATCAGCCCCCAAGACTATACCGGTGAAAACCCTCTTTGGGAAAGTGACGAGCCGTATTATGACAGCTACTATTGGTGAGCCAACTCTGCTTCGAAACAGATTACTAGGATACTAATAACATGGCTCAGTATATGGGACTCATTCCGTAGTATTCATCCAATGCTGACCCTGGTTGATCCTTTCTCGCAATCCCTCATGCTTCGCAGCTTGATCGATACCTACAGACACGAAGGATACCTGCCTGACTGTCGCATGTCGCTTTGCAAGGGATGGACGCAAGGCGGTTCCAATGCAGATGTGGTTATGGCAGATGCGTATCTGAAAAAGGTCCCGGGTATCGACTGGGACACTGCATATGAAGCTGTTGTCAAGGATGCAGAGGTAGAGCCCCAGGACTGGGATGTGGAAGGCCGCGGTGGCTTGCGGAGTTGGAAAAGCCTCGGCTATATTCCTTATGATGACTACGATCCTGATGGCCAAGGTCTACACACTCGGAGTATATCGCGGACAGTGGAGTATGCCTACAACGACTTTTGCATTGCCGAGATGGCACAGGGCATGGGCCACCAGGCTGACTATGAGAAATACACGAAACGATCTGAAAACTGGGTCCATATGTACAATCCTGACCAGAAGTCAAGCATCAAGGGAGTCGACACCAACTTCACTGGATTCCTGCAGCCTCGATACACAAATGGCACATGGGGCTACCAGGACCCGATCTTTTGTAGTCCACTTTTGAACTTCACCTCATGTTACCTCAATGCTGATGGCCACGAGACCTATGAAGGTAGCGCGTGGATGTATACCTTGTAAGTACTTATGCTTTATCCTGATTATATTCATACCTGACGCTTTATTTACAGCTATGCCCCCCACGACATGGGCTCTCTTATCAAGACACTTGGCGGTGCCGAATCCTTCACCTCTCGGCTAAGCTATCTCCATGACTCTGGCTTGCTCTACATGGGGGATGAACAGGCCTTCTTACTTGTTTATCAATTTCACTACTCGGGACGGCCAGGTCTCTCAGCAAAGCAGAGCCACTTCTATATTCCATCCCAATTCAACACGACAGTCAATGGCATCGCCGGTAACGACGATAGCGGAGCCATGGGCTCATTTGTTGTTCTGAGTATGATGGGTCTCTGGCCAGTGCCTGGTCAGGACGTATATCTGATCACTCCACCCTACTTCAAGGAAGTCAGCGTTCGAAATGCCCTCAATGGAAAGGTCGCCACTATCCGCAACATTAATTTCGATCCTAGTTACAAGTCCATCTATATTCAGAGTGCCAAGTGGAACGGCAAACCGTGGACAAAGAATTGGATCACCCATGACTTCTTCACTGACGGTGGTGTTCTTGAACTTGTGCTGGGACCTAAGGAGAGTGAGTGGGGAACTCGTATTCAGGATCTTCCTCCGAGTTTGAGTGATTATCATTGAATTCCTGATTGGTGATTAGGGAGCAACAGTGCCGAGATTTTGATAGTTCGAGATTATCATTACTGGACTACATACGTAACTTGAGCTTGGACAGCTTAGCCATAACTAGGCCTAATATGGACATTTGCTAACATTCTTCGCATTCGCACATCTTTGACTTTACATAAAGTAGTCCCTTGATCTATCAAATCACGAGGCAGCATCACTATTCCCTAAACCTAAGGCAAAGTGTATCCTCCATCAATAACGAGGTTTGCACCAGTCATGTAGCTAGACGCATCCGAGGCACAGAACACATATGCCTAGACAGAGTTGTCAGTTGATTTCTAGGAGGGCTAGATCTGTGGAATCTTACCCCCTTCAACTCGTAAGATTCGGCCATTCTCTTGGCAGGAATCAAATCGAACCACTTGTCGCGCCATTCCTTGGGAAACGTATCCAGAATCTCGGTAGCGATGTATCCAGGCGAGATGCAGTTGACTCGACAGTAGTCGACCCACTCGACAGACAAGCACTTGGCGAGCTGAACAACACCCGCCTTAGATGCATTGTACTATACAAGGATGAGCGACATTAAGAGGGATCATTTCTAATAGAGAAACATACCGCCGCTTGCTTCTGTGGGAGATTGACCAGAGTCGCACTGACAGAGGCCGTGAAGATAACATTTCCACGACCTTGTGCCTTGAATATCCGGCCAGCGGCTTGGGCAGAATAAAAAGCACCATCAAGATTGACCTTCATGATCTCGCTCCATTGGTCAGATGTGTAGTCTTCGGCGGCAGTGTTCGATGCAATGCCAGAGTTGACGACCATGATATCAAGTTGCCCAAAATCCTTCGCGATCTGCTGCACAACCCCCTCGATCTCAGACTGGATGGCTACATTGGCTTTGTACGCTGCTGCGCGTACGTTGTTAGTAGATGCAATCTCGGCTGCAATTGTCTCGGCTGTATTGGATGTGTGATAGATCAAGGCGACCTTTGCAATTTATTAGTTTGGGTTTTTTTTAGAGTATCAGGTAGTCTGGTTTACATTGGCACCGGCTTCAGCTAATCCTCTTGAGACTTCAAGACCGATTCCACGAGCGCCCCCTGTGATAGAGTGTTAGCAAGCCGCTTTTGATGCTTGGGAGATACCGTACCAGTCACAACTGCGACTTTGCCTGTGAGGTCGAAGGCCTTCATGACATGCTGATTTGGGGGCTGTGCGAGGACCATTTTGTATAGCTTGTTGCTTCTCGAGATAATAATATGAACACAATCAAAACTTCAACGGAGAAGTTGAATCTGAGACGTGTTCCCCTCTATCCCCCCGCATCGGGTCATCTCCGTGTTCTCCAATCATTGTGACTTCCTCCTGCAGCTCTTGCAGCCAAACATCGACCAGACCTTAAGGCAATTCCTGGCGAAAGCTATACCAGTCTGTTTCGCTCAATATTCAGTAAGGCCCTTAATTCTTCCGCTGTTGGTTCTCTTTTTTATTGCGTTGATGTGAATCGTTGGCACGGGTAGCTGCCATGGTTGGGTGGTAGGCATCGAGACGTCGGTTCACTTTCTTGAGTCCCTTGAACAGCTGCTTGTTCTCCCGCGTAAGCTCATAAGCCCAGAGGAGGGCGAGGGCTTCGTTGGAGTTGGTATTTTCCATTGTCAAAGATGAGGTCAGAGAGGCGGAGAGGAAGAGAAGGAAGCAGAGAGATGGTAGGATGGAGATTTTGAATACAAGAAAAAAAAATAGAATAGTCGGCCGCTTATACGGCCTTGTGATGTATTTTTGATGGTTTTTTTTTTAAGTCTCCTCAGATATTCCTATTAGATATACTGGGTATTGTCTCTTGTGAACTTTACATTATTCCGGTAAACCTACTGGTGAATTTATTAGCTTCACCATATATCTCTTGCAGCTTTGTAGATAACCGGGCTCATCAAGCAGAAGAAAATAATGCAAAGAAGCGCCAAACCTCGCGCGCTTTCATAGGTTTTTGTATCTCCGAATGTTATGAGCAACATAAAGTCTCAACCTGCCAGTTTCCCAGCTTGTCCCCTGCATCCTTCGGATTTCTCTCCTTACTCGCTATCGGGGGGAATTTCGTCCATGGAATCGTCCTCATCCTCAGTCTTGGCCTCGTTGGTCTGACCCTTTTCCTGATCCTTATCCTTGTCCTGGTCCGGGTCATCACTTTTGATGGATGCTTCCATTGCGTCAAGCTTCTTCTTCAGACGCTTGAACCTCATCATAGCGGCATTGGTCTTGATGCCAAAGTGCTTGGCGACGGCTGGGAAGTCAATCTGTGGGTTGGTATTAGCATAATTCATGGTGAGATGAATTCAAGTGAATCGAGAAAAACACTGACGTGAACACCCGAGACCTTGTGGCAGGTCCACAGGAATAAGATCTGTCGTTTCAAATCAGAGGACTCTTTGGGTTCTTTGGGCTTGGCTGGGCTTTTTCCAGCCTTCGTGGATTGCCTTGGAGCCATGTTTCTCGGGGAATGAAGGTGTAATAAGCAGGTGATTTCAAGTGCAAGACGTGAGCTCTTTGTGATAATTGACTGTTGTTTAGAAGAGGCAGAGAAGGAAGAAGCAAAGTGAGAGGTCGAGGACGAGCTTTTATAGTGGCACTTGATAGCAAACAACCAGCAAGAAAGCCTCACTCTCAACATATATGGACATTTGTATAATACGATGGTTACCTCAAGCAGCCCTAGCTGGTATGAAGGGCTTACGCTGCAATGTAATAGTGTGCATATTCATTCATTTTGATTCGAACAGCCTTTCCTCTTGTACATACATTAGTCTATCAAATTTGGGGTATATGACCATGATCAAAACAAAAAGCAATTTAGAAACGCTCGACTAGCGAGTAATCAAACACCTTATGTCTTCACAGACTCACTGTTCTTGACCGGATGTAAAAAGATAGGAGGAAGACAGAGTCGAGGGTTTTCCTTCTCCCACTGCACACAATTAGCACCAGAGTATGTCAAAGACCACAATAGTAAGAACCTACCTCTTTGGCGCTGTCATATCCCATCCAGGCTCTATATAGTCTCTCCGCAAATTTAGAATCAAACATAAACGTCGTGTTGTAGAGAATGTCATCATGTTTGGCCCAGCTCCAGATACTGTCAACCCCAGCGTTGACCTTGCCAGGCTCACCCGGGTTGGCGCGACGGTTCAATTCCTCAGGATCCCATATGGCATCATGGTACACCGGTTGAGGGACCTGGACCGCCTTGAAACCATAGTACAAAGCCCAGGATATAGGGGACATCTCGGATGCGAGACCAACCCCCAATTTCACCTTATCGTTATGCGTCAGACTGAGAAGTCGTGCCGAGATGCGCGACATTGCCACGACAGCTGCCCAGCGTGGAGTCTCTTGATCTTGAGGGAAATTGAAGACACGGTCACGGAAAGGCCAGCCCGTACCAACTGGGTTGAAATGGGGCAACCAGGTGATCAGATCGGCTTCTTCACCCACGCCCCAGGTCCCTGTCTCATTTGCTGGGTGTGGCACAGGAGGCATAATGGCTTGTCCTTTGATGTCAATGCCTTCTGCGGGCCGAGGGCCCCAAACAGTGCCGTTGTCATGGCCAAGCATTTCCTGGTCCACCTTCTTCGTGAACTCTTCCCAGGTGCCGTGGACAGCAGGAATATAGAAGTGGGAGTTACGCTCCCAGAGATACTTTCGTGGTTGTTGTTTCGCAAACTCTGTTGCCTTGTGCAAAAGGTCGTACATATGGCCGGTGTATCGCGAGTCCATCTCAAACTGCCAGATGTAGTCGTACTGAGGGTGTAGTCGTGAGAAGATCTGCGTGGGCTGGAAATATTGCAATATCGCTCTAAGAAAATGTCAGCAGGGTAGTCTATGCCCAAGGGCTTCGAACACATACACATGAACCTCAATCGCAGGATACCAATCGTTTAACATATCCGCGTTAAACCATACCGCCAGACTGCGCAGCTCCTGTGGCAAATATTTCTCTTCGAATTCCTTCCAGGCAGCGTGATCAGTCTTTTTAGGCAATTTCTCGCCCTGGCAGTCGATCATGAGAATAAGCTCATATTCCGCACCTGAGTAGAGTGCCAACTCCATAATCATCGATCGAATGTGATACAAGTCGTTCTCGGTGTATTTCATACCGAGCCAAGAGCGCAATATAACAGCTGTCCGGGATTGGATCTTGCTTGTTTCGTTCAAGGGCTCGCGAGGCTTTACATCCTTATCCAGTGACTTGTACAGAGCGACAATCCTCTCTTCAGATGGTTGCGTGCGATATCGATCGCTATTGCGCTGCAGACACTCAGATTGCAAATTAGCCCAGTCGACCTTCTTCCAGTCTATTTCGGCAGTCTTGTTGGAACCAGTTGTATTCTGCGAATCGTGGATTTGAGTGCTTTGATTGCCCTGGAGATAACCATATGCGCCATATCGGGAGTAGCGATCGGCACATAGACTCTTGTTCAAATTCCACGACTCATATGATCCAAAAATTGGTGTTGGAAAATCTAACCTCTGATTAGTTTTCTTTTGGCTCTTCAAATATTCCTCTTCGCACCTGAAGTATTCCAACGAAACCCGCTCATCATCATATCTTCATTTCTGCGGCTCAGGGTTTGCCCGCCGGGTCCAATACACGGCTGGTAAGAACCATTTGACGACGTCCCTTCCACACTATGATAGTGTGGATAGGGGTCGTTGATCACTTGAGACGAAATTCGAGATTGACTGGCATAATCTCTCGGGAACGGGTCAATAGATTGTTCTGTAGGAGAGTCTTCTGTAGGGGGCGTAGGGGGTGCTGTCGGGGGTGCTGTCGGGGGTGCTGTCGGGGGTGCTGTCGGGGGTGCTGTCGGGGGAGGGCTGATACAAATCAGAATGGGCCAATAAGAGAGGAGAAACGAGGGATCTTTTACTTTGATAGCTTCACCCGCAATGGAACTACTAGAGTGTCTCTGGAATAAGGAATAATCAAAAAGATCACCAGACATAGAGCGGCGACAGCAAACCAACGCCTTGAAGAAGCGAAAAACCACCTCGCCACGGAGGAATCCATTAGAAGCTAGAAACTGCAAAGTTCAAACATTTAATCTGGGGGCCTCTCATGTTTTGTATTGATTCTTGATGTCTAGCGGCTTGGCTCGGCTTCATTTCTGTCTGTTTGGCCAATAGAGGGCAAGGCACGGGGACTGCCGAGAGACCCAGGAAAACGAATACTCAAGATTGATACTATTTCTATATTCAGCTAGAAAGTCCTTTAGGGCTTGTTTGTTATTCAAAGTTGAAGCATCAGCATTGTTTTCGGTTCTTAGCGGGATCCGGATCCTCCGGGATCTGTCTTTGTGATCTTTGTAGCCCTACGTCTTAGAGAATCCAGATCAGAATATGTACTCTTGGGGATATCGCTATGTACTCAAATAATACGGACAAAAACACAGCTCCAATATAAACCCGTGACAACAATATATCAAACAGGCATTCCAATATGGTTACACGTATTTCTTCCTGGGATTTCAGTCCGTCCCAGCTCGTCGACCCCATCCACTGAAGAATCCCCCGCCATTGTTGCTGGGAGGTGTCCCCAGTGTCTTCGGACCTTCAGTGGCAGATTTATTCGCCAAGCTGATCCGCGACTGCGATAGTCCAACAAAGGAATGGCGGTTCTCAGAATTTGCCTGGGTCTTAATCATTTTCCGCAATGAGTCCAACTTGCCCTTTACTTCCTCAAGTTCTTGTCTAGCAACCGCTTCTGCCGTCTTGGCAGTAACCAACTCCATGAGCAACGCGTCGTCAGGAGGAGGCTTATTACTCTCCATCGACAAGACTCTCTGCAGACCCAGGCTGCTTGTCCGTTTGTTGTATGTGGGGCTTTTTGTCGAGTTGGTGCGGGCTAGCTTGAACTCGCGCAGACCACTAGTGGGAGACTGAGACTCCCCAGAGTCAACCGCAGAAGAAGACGTTGTGTCTAGCGGCGTTTCGGATATAGGAGTTTTGAGGTTACGCAGCTCCCGATTCATGCGCTCGAGCCGCTGTCGGTCGCGATGGCCGTCTTGAATGCGGCCCCGGGCTTCCCGTAATTGCTCCTTGAGGGACGAGTTCTCCTGTTCGAAATCGTCGATGCGCCGGGTGAGGTTCAAGCAACGACCGGCTTCCACCTCGTGCATTTCCTTCCATCGAGCAACATCGTCATTGAGTTGGAGCTTGGTTTGGGCGATTGACACACGCTTTGGTTTGACCGATTCGAAACGTGTGTGCGCTTTGGTTATTAATTCGGTCGGTTGTGTCTCAGTCGGCTGTTCTCTGATTTGGTTCAACATCTCCTTGGCCAGAGTATGGTCTTCCTCCCGCTCCTCCCTCTCCTGCTGCAGCTCACGTGTGAGATTAGCTTGTTGGCGCTGGAGATCGCTAAGCGCCATCAAGAGTTCTTCAATCTGCGTATGGAGGTCGCGATCTTTGTGATGCGAAGACATGTTGGATTTAACGCGCGATTTTTGACTATCGGCGCTAGCCGTACCCGCTGATAGCTCAGTGGCAGTGGTACTTGCGTCGGAAGTGGTTTCGATAGAGTTGAGAGTGGAAGTCAGACTCTGCTTGGAGGTAGAGCGACGAATTGTACTGTTCTGACGTGACGGGCTAGTATTTGGATTGAGTGACTTGATGGAGTTGTGGGAATTCGACGAGCCAGCCCATAGTCGCCCGAGGAAGCCAGAGGCCGTTGCCTGCAGCTGCGGGGACGGCCCCGTCGGTGAGCCTTTAGATTGGTGGTAGCTGGCTTCAAGGGTTCGAAGACTCTCGTTCGTGACGAGAGAGGTGAGAGACACGAAATCATTAACAAGATCATCAGCATTGAAGGCGTATCTGAATATCAAGGGTTAGCGGTGTTCTTTGTTTCCAAGACTCGCTTTGTGCGGTGCCAAAAACTCACGTGTCCCACAAGCTTCGAGATAATAACAGTTGCATCACATCTTCAAATTCGCTGCAAGCCAAAATTCTCTTCTCGTTGCGCTGCATCAGGGAAAGTGCAACTCGCATCAAAGTCTCGCATGCGCCTTCCAAAAAAATAACATCGTAAATTCGGAGAAGCATCGGCAGCGGGCATGCCACCGCAAAGAATGATAAGAACCACTGCGATACGTAGACCGGCTCAACGTGCAGTGCTTCCAGATGTTGGAACAGGACCGGCCTGTGACGTGCTAGAAGATTCTGGAACTGATAAACATGAAGATGGAGACCCGAGAGGTCTGGAAGATAGCAACTTCGGAGGTTGTAATGATCCATGAGGCTACAGTACGTGACACATTAGTATATATTTCCCAAGTTATATCATCGTCTAAGGAGACTTACCGGACAAGAACACAAAAGGCTTCAGCATCTGACATGTGCATGAGCAGAGGGCCTACCACAAATCCAAGGCCTTGGCAGTAGCCAATCTTAGTATCGTAAAGACTGAAGCATCGCAATACTCGGCCGAGCATTTGTTGGCCCTCGCCGTTCGGGTCGCGGAACATTTCAACATTGGGAAAGCTGCGACCAATGTCCTTTCCAATCAACCCATCATATGGACTACTTTCGCCCGAAAGTCTCTGGAATTCATTCAACAGATTAGGATCGCGTGCGCCCGCTAGGCTAGGCCACACCACCCCTCGCAGTGGCGGAGGCACACCTCCTTGGATCTTATTCGAGGTCAGTGTCGGCAAGCGATGGGCAGTCTGGTGGTAATCGGCAACAAGCGCAGCCCAGAACTCTAGTTCGGTCATGGGAGGAGGGGGTAGCTGGGAGTATCGCAGCTCTGCCCGAGTGGGATCCTTAATGAGTCGTTTGATCTGGTGTAGAGACTCGGAGCGGGATTGCCGCTGGTGTATCTTGCCATCCGGAACTTCTGTTATCCCAGATTTGGGATTGGTCGCCAAAGCGTTGTTTTCTTGTTCGAGTCGAGCGAGGAGTAGGGCTGTAGACTAAAATTAGGTTAAGAATGTTAGTGCCCATTCCAGAATTCTGTGACAGCTTGTCACACTTACTTCATCAGACCCCTCCCCACGCGGTTCTCGTTCTTCTGTCTTATCAAGATTCTCCCAATCCGCCTCATTGTCAAACATTTCGCCTGTCTGCCTCCCCCTGTCCACGCCTGGGGTTTCGGGAGTGGGGGTGGTTCTCGCCGCGTCCTGTAGTGGCACCGGTCCAAAGGAGTCCTCACTCTCCTTCTCAAGATGGCTCATCTCCACTGGAGTTGGAGGGATGTCCAGAGTGCGCCAATCCGGTTGGGTGTGCTCTGAACTTGACTGGTTATCGGATAACGCGACGGTGACCATGGAGTCATGGTTAAGCGCGTGAGCGCTGGGAGATGCTGACTCGAAACCTTCCATCGTGACACGATATGGAAATAGAGGAATGGTGTTTGGAAGGGCGCAGACGCGTTATTGTTGACAATCTTGATATCGGAGGATAGCAGGGGGTATTTCAGGCGGGTTTCAACTGCATAATGCACACACACACACACACAATTCCAAGTATTCAAGAAAACCCAATTCTTTCCTGCAGAAGTGGACCTGGATATCTAGACTTGTATCCAGTACAAGGAGGAAAGGCTGGAGGAAAAAAAGGGAGTCAGGAGAGATCCCACTTTTGTTAGCCCCCCTTTAGCTTTCCCCTCGTGGAGTCTCGGCCCCGTCGATCCTCCTCATACACCGACTGTTTGACCATTGAAATAGATATATTATGAATTGTTAGAAGAAATATATTGTATAACTATTGTATCAGATTAGTGTTAATTTCATAGACGTTTGCCCAAGGTTCCCCCACAGTAACCGAATTGGTATCGGAGGGTTTTCGAGTATATTAATATTACATAGTGCTAGTATGCTTGAAGTCATGATGAGCACTAATGTACGAATATGTACGGAGCACACTCCGTACATACGTCTCGAGTCCCGTCATCTCAACTGCATATTGCCTGCAGGTACAGACTAAGTACGGAGTACTCCATACTATTTGGAAGATTAAAGGTCCAAGGGGCACCGTTATTGTACGGCCTTGTATTTTAAATACACCCACAGGTCCACCTGTAACACTTTTGTAGTTTCCATTGGCAGATACTTTATATGTGGCTGAATTGATTGGTGCCATCCTGGGCATATATTGAAATACCATTACCACCCCCTGGCTTGTCCGTTTCACCTCAATATTGAGGCTGGCCAACGCTGTGCTTAAACCATACATTGGTTCCACTGACTCAAAAGGATTATATACAGATTTGATGTCTACCTATATTACTCCGTATAAGGTTCTGTACCACTGGGGCTCACCCCATTGATCCACAGAGTATAGTCCATGCGGTCCGCCTGTCAATGGGAGGGTTTGACTATATATTCTAGTTACTAGGCGTTTGGTTTATTTTCTGCGATAACTGCATCGTATATTTTTGAAGTGGCTTGATGGCTCCATATCTATATGAACCCCAATACCTATATATATCCGCTAGAAAGCAGATTGGGACAATGCATAGTGCCATGCATCACAGCGTGTGACTTTATTTCAATCAATGGCTAACTATTACCACAATCATTCATTAACTACCTAACTGTTAATACTATCAATGAATACACTGTACTCAGAGTCACGCAAGGGTTACATACGACCCCGCGGCTGGTTTTATCTATACTTTACTTACTACGCACAGTATCACAGGTGAGTATATCTCTTTATGTATTCATAGTCATGAGTAGTCTACCAAGGGCACAATGTCACCCAGGTGGTCGGTTTATATCATTGAAGGGTCCCCTATACAATATAAATTGGCTCCCTATGCAGACTATGGGAGATTTCTCATACCTCATCTATACGGAGGATAAAAAAATAGAATTTGGTCAAATCTGATATATAAAGGAGATTATTGCTCTATTTTTACCCGCCAAACTATATTTAGATTTTTCACTATTTGTACTGACTTCAATTGTGACATCTAAATAAGAATAGAAATGAGAGATCTGTCATCTCATGGATATTTCAGTTATAATCCACACATCCATAGATAGATTATGTCTTTACTTTATATTTCATTGAATTGACATGAAGCAAAACATGCAAAGTGAGGGGAAGTTGTTGTTTCCGTTCATTTGTTTGTGAATTGCCTATTCGGGTCGTGTTTCCAGGCGGTGAGGAAGAATAATGATCCGAGTGGCTACAAACTGCCCACCGCCCCCTGTCAGTCGCGACTTCCCCGGGCAAAAAAACAACAGGCGCTTCCCCTCCGCGTAATCTCTCTCTCTTTTGCTTCTTGCTTCAACCTTTCCCGGCTTGAGCATGTCGGATCTTAATTGATCTGCTCTGCAACATTGAGACGTAGCGTCATTCGTTCGCTCCAAATTTTGAGGCCTGACTTGGGCTCCTTTTTTTCTCTAACTGCGTTTTATCGCATTTTATTTGTTTACTCACATTCATCATGGATGACTCTATGATGGAAGACTCGGTTTTCGAGGATGACGGAGGTAGCTCTGACTTTGCTCCCGAGCCTGCGCCAGTATGAAATACCCCCCAATATTCCAAACATAGACTCGACTGTGATTACTGACATTATATGTCCCCCAGAAACCTAAAGCCAAGGCGGCTCCTAAGAAAGCTGCAGCAGCCAAACCTGCCGCCAAGAAGACCACACAGACCACACTGAAGGCCAAGCCTGCTGCGAAGCCAGCTGCTAAGAAGAAGGCCAAGGCCGACAGCGAGGACGATCTGTCCGATATTCATATGTCCGATGCTGATTCTCAGCTCTCCCATACCCCCCCTAAGGCTAAGAAGGCTGCTGCGCCTAAGAGAGCTGGCTCAAAGCCTCTCGCCGATGTCGAAAATGAGTCCCACGGAGGAGACGCTGCTGCCGACAGCGCGAAGAGTGGAAATGCATCAGAGAAGTACCAGAAAGTAAGTTTCTGCAGCCTCTAGCATGATGTAATTTTGGCCAGATACTTACCATAATCTAATATAGCTCACTCAACTTGAACATATTATCAAACGTCCCGATACCTACATTGGATCTACCGAACGCACCACGCAGCAGATGTGGGTGTACAACTCCGGAACCGAGTCGATGGAGTATCGCGATGTCTCTTTCGTCCCTGGTCTTTACAAGATCTTTGACGAGATTGTGGTCAACGCCGCCGATAACAAACACAACGACAAGAACATGAACGAGATGCGGATCACAATCGACCGCGAGGCCGGTGAAATTAGCGTGTGGAATAACGGACGTGGTATCCCTATCGAAATTCACTCCAAAGAAAAGATCTACGTGCCTGAACTTATCTTCGGCCATCTGCTCACTTCTTCCAACTATGACGATAGCCAGCAGAAGGTGACTGGAGGTCGCAACGGTTTCGGTGCCAAGCTTTGTAACGTTTTCTCGACAGAATTCATTCTCGAAACTCAGGACTCTCGCCAGAAGAAGAAGTATAAGCAGACCTGGACCGAGAACATGACGAAGATGGGCAAGGCCAAGATCACAGATGCCAAGGGAGATGACTACACCAAGGTCACTTTTAAGCCAGACTTTGCCAAATTCGGAATGGAAGGCATCGACGATGACTTTGAAGCCCTTGTGAAGCGCAGAGTCTACGATTTGGCGGGTACCGCCGATGTTGCCGTCAAATTAAATGGCACACGCGTCCCCGTTCGCAATTTTCGAAAGTACATGGAAATGTACACCAAAGCCATTCGCAAGGAGCGTGGTGATGATGGTCCTCCCTCAAAGGATGAGATCATTACTTGCAGCCCCGATCCTCGATGGGAAATTGGCTTTGCTGTTTCGGATGGTTCCTTCCAACAAGTCTCATTTGTCAACTCCATCGCGACAACCTCGGGTGGAACGCACGTCAACTACATCGCCGATCAGATCTGTACCCGCTTGGCCGATCAGGTGAAGAAGAAGAATAAGTCTGGGGCAACTCTGAAGTCGGCACAGATTCGGAACCACATCTTCATTTTTGTAAAGGCCTTGATTGTCAACCCGGCCTTCACCTCCCAGACCAAGGAACAGTTGACGACAAAGGCCAGTCAGTTCGGTAGCAAGTGTCCTCTTGATGAAGATTTCTACAAGAAGGTTTTGAAGACTGAGGTCATGTCAAATATTCTGCACTTCGCGGAGCAAAAAGCCGATCAGATCCTGAAGAAGGGTGATACCGGCCGACGCACGCGTATGAACAACCCGAAGTTGGTCGACGCCAACAAGGCTGGTACCAGAGAGGGTCACCACTGCACTCTCATTTTGACTGAGGGTGAATCAGCCAAGGGACTGGCCATGGCAGGCAGAGCAGTCGTTGGACCAGACTTGTTCGGTGTTTTCCCCCTGCGCGGAAAACTTCTTAATGTCCGCGATGCTTCTTTTGACCAAATTTCAAAGAACGTGGAAATTCAGAGCATCAAGAACTTCATTGGTTTGCAGCACAAGAAAGAATACACCGAGACCAAGGGACTTCGATATGGCCACCTCATGATCATGACTGATCAGGATCATGACGGTAGTCACATCAAGGGTTTGCTCATCAATTTCCTTCAAGCACAGTTCCCCAGCTTGCTCAAGATTCCCGAGTTCCTCATTGAGTTCATCACTCCTATCATTAAGGTTTGGAAGGGTGACCCGAAAAACCCGACCAAGCAAAAGTCATTCTTCACCATGCCCGAACATGATGAATGGCGTGAAGCTCACAAACACGAACGCGGCTGGGAACATAAGTACTACAAGGGTTTGGGAACTAGCACCACGGAAGATGCACAGGTCTATTTCCGCGACCTCGATCGTCATCTCAAGGAGTTCCACACTATGCAAGACGGTGAAGCTGGACTCATCGAGCTAGCTTTCTCCAAAAAGAAGGCAGATGAGCGTAAAGAGTGGCTTCGTCAATACAAACCTGGCACATATTTGGACCATTCGGTGGCAAAGATCACATACACCGACTTCATCAACAAGGAGCTCATCCTGTTCAGTATGGCGGATAACCAACGTTCGATTCCTTCCGTTGTCGATGGTTTGAAGCCAGGACAGCGCAAGGTCCTTCACACCTGTTTCCGCCGCAACCTGAAGAAGGACATGAAGGTGGTTGAGCTGGCAGGTCATGTATCCGGAATGACAGCCTACCATCACGGTGATGTCTCCCTTCAACAGACTATCGTTGGTCTTGCTCAGACCTTTGTTGGCTCCAACAATATCAACTGCCTAGAGCCCAGTGGAAACTTTGGTAGTCGACTTCAAGGTGGTGGCGATTGTGCCAGTGCTCGTTACATCTACACTCGCCTGTCCCCATTTGCACGCAAAGTTTTCCATGCGGCCGATGAACCACTGCTGACGTATAACGAAGACGATGGCAAGAAGATTGAGCCCGAGGTCTTTGTGCCTGTCGTTCCGATGATTTTGATCAACGGCGCGGATGGTATCGGAACTGGTTGGAGTTCTTCTATCCCCAATTACAATCCTGAGGACGTTGTAAACAACCTTAAGCGCTTGATGGCTGGCGAGCCTACTCAGCCGATGCAGCCTTGGTTCCGTGGGTTCACTGGTGAGGTTGTGGCCATTGGTGGAGATCGATACAAATTCAGCGGTATCATCAGGGAATGTGGCGAGAAGGAGGTCGAGATCACCGAATTACCTATTCGAAGCTGGACACAGGATTTCAAAGACAAGCTTGAGGATATCATTAAGGCTGAGAAGGTGCCATCCTTCATCAAGGATTACAAAGACTACAACACCCACACCAAGGTCCACTTCATCATCCAACTCGATGAGAAACACATGAAGGTTGCTCTTACTGAAGGCTTGGAAGAAAAATTCAAGCTGACCAAGACGATTGCAACCACCAATCTGGTGGCTTTCGATCCCGAAGGCCGCATCACCAAGTACGCCACTGTCGATGACATTCTCAAGGAGTTCTTTGTCGTTCGTCTCAAATATTATGAGCGACGCAAGCAGTCCCAGCTTGCCGATCTACAGAGAGAGCTAGAGAAGCTGAGCAACCAAGCTCGCTTCGTGCAGATGATTATCGATGGCAAATTGGTCATCTCCAAGAAGAAAAAGCCTGTTCTAATCACTGAGCTAAAGGACAAGGGCTTCAGACCAATTGCCAAGGTGGCCGAGGCTGCTAAGATGGGTGAAGATGAGCCCGTGGTAGAAGAAGGAGAAGGAGAAGGAGAAGAGGAGCTGAATGACGCTCAAGTGCTATCCAGTTCATTCGACTACCTTCTGGGTATGCCTATGTGGTCGCTGACCCAAGAGCGGGTGGAGAAGCTCCGTCGCCAGATCGGTGAGAAGGAAACAGAGGTCGATGTCTTGATTAAGCTGTCTAAAGAGGACATCTGGACCCATGATCTGGATGAGTTCATCAACGAGTGGCGCTTCCAGCTTGAAGATGAGGATCGTCGAGCCCGCAAGGTGGCTAAAATGGACCGTCGCAACTCGACCAAGCTACCCACTGGTGGTGGTCGCGCTGTGGCTTCGCGCAAGCGTAAGGCTGCTAACGGCGATGATCCAGACGATGAAGACTTCGGGGCCCCCAAGACGAAGAAGGCCGCTGCGGCCAAGAAAAAAGAGCAGCCCAAGAACAGCCTGATGAATTTCCTCAATCAATCTTCGAACAAACCAACCCCATCGCCTGCAGCAGGTGGAACTGCTGACTCGGATGATGAATTCAACATGGACATGGAGATACTTCCAAAGAAGAGCCGTGCTACCTCAAAGCCTAAGGCTCTGCCTAAAGAAGAGGATGACTTTGTCGATATCGACGACATTCCCAAAACTTCGCGCGCATCAGCTCAGCCAACTGATGACACAATGGATGTGGATGTGGATGAGGCGCCAAAACTCAAACCGGCGGCCAAACCGGTGGCCAAACGAGGACCTAAGCCTAAGGCCAAGGTCGAAGAGGACTCGGATGACGATTTCCTAGAGATTGCCAAGTCCGAGGCTTCCAAGCCCGCAGCGTCTTCTCGCGCTCGCAAGCCTGTCAGGTACTCAGCGCCTAGCGACTCTGACAGTGACAACGGTGATGATCTTCTTGGAGACGTTAGCATGATGGTCAAAGGCATTGGTGCTGACTCGGGCGCCGATTCTCGACAACTCTTCTCGGAGCGCCCCCGTTCGGAAAGCAGTGCCAGCGTGAAAACTGCCGCGAAGTCTTTCAAGGTCAACGACGATTTTGATCCGGATGAGACTGACTACAGCAAGCTCATTCCTCAAAACTCCCCACGGCGCTCCATCCAGGTCAAACCCAAGGACGTCAAGGTTGATGACAACGATGAGGACGATGAGGACCAACCAGTCAAACCAACTGCTCGATCCAAGGCTGCCCCCAAATCCAAGGCTGCGCCAAAGGCTGCCCCTAAGGTCGTAGAGGTTGATGATGATGAGGAGGAGGAGGAGGAGGAGGATGAGCCAGTCAAGCCAACTGCTCGGGCCAGGGCTGCACCAAAGGCTGCTTCCAAGGCCATAGAGCTCGATGATGACGACGAGGACGAGCCGATCAAGCCAACTGCTCGGGGTAAAGCCGCACCCAAAGCTAAGGCTGCCCCGAAGGCCGCTACCACCACGGCAGCAAAGGCCCGTGGTCGCCCCAAGAAAGAGCCAGCTCCCAAGCCCGCCCCCAAGTCTGCTCCCCCACCTTTATCTCCGGCGGCCAAGGGTTATGCTTCGAGGCAAGCCAAGGCAAGCAAGAAGATTGCAGATGATTATTCGGAGGATGACATCGACGCAATGGCTAACGACATTTTGGATTCCCCAGCGGGCAAAATGAATGCGGATATCTCGGAGGACGAGGAAGAGCCCGCTCCCGCCCCCCGTCGTGCCGCTGCAGCCCGTCCTCCTCGTCGTGGCGCCACACAGCTGAAGAAGTCCTATGTCATTGAAGATGATAGCGATGAAGAAGGGTCGGCCGATGACTTTGATGAGGACGAAGATGAGAGCGACTAAGTAGTGGAATAGTGCTCGAAGGCCCGTTTGTGATGTTCTGCTTTTGTTTTGCAATGCTCTCTATTTTGTTTTTATTTTCTTTCATCTCCATGTCTTAGTTTAGTAGTTTACAGAGATCTGGCAGAGCCAGTGCATGCAAGGCAAATACGGGATGTTTAATCTTTAATATTTTCACTCGTAAATCTGTCAGGAGCGTCTAGTATGTTATGTTCAGTCTGCCTCGTGTTCTCTTCATGGATCCTTATTACATTCGCTTTATACGAAAAATGCTGTTGTTGGCAATGCTGATAATAAGGCAACATAAGGCAAAGGCTTCAGAAATAATAACTTCATGTCTCGAGTTTCCATTAAATAGCTAACGCCGCCCAGTCTGACCCATTGCCCGTCATATGAAGAAAACGAAGTTGCATTGTAACCTCGAACAGACAGCCCGAGGAGAGAGCCAACTAATCCTTCAAGATCCTCAATCAAATAAACAGCACATCGACTTGAACATGCAATCCTGCAATCCCTCAACTCCAGGTAAACTCATCAAACCACACAAATATTCCTCACAAAATGCATAGAGACAGCACCACCACACAGAAACCTTCAGCTCGGAGACCATAAACGCCATTCCATGTCAAATTCGTAGCGTAATCAGTCATCAAAGCGAAGCACGACGTCGCTTACGACTACGAGATTCGTCACCATCAAGAGAGCGAGATCCAGAAGGTGAGGTCATTCCGTCATCATCCATTTCGGTCGCGCTTTCAAGCTCATTCATATGTAGACGAAGAAGAGCTTCAGCAGCTTTGACCTCACGGGTGAAGTGAGGCGATGATTGAGGACACGCAGCTCGAGATTTCCGACTAGGATACTTCTTAGTCTGAGATGCGGGACTTGTAGAACTGTCCTTGATAGACGAAGCTCCGCCGAGAGTCCTTTTGAGAGGAGGTCCACGATAGTCCTCATCGTCAGCATCATCCATTTGCCAATCATCATCCGAGTCAGTTAGGTCATCAAAGTCGCTTTGCATAGCAGGCACCTCTGGCGCATCGTTGGGCTCGTCGAGACCGAGCTTGTCAGTTTCCATATTTCCATCCACAGAAGGACAGTTTGGAGTGGAATACATGTTCGACGAGCCATCGCTGTCGGTGTCACTGTCTTCACTGATACCCCCAGGAACATTCTCTGGGCGCATAGCATCTGAGAGAGCACGGAGAATAGTGCGAGGTGATTCGATGCGCGAGCGAGGCATAGAATTCAAACTGCGCGGGGGGTTGATAGGCGTGAAGGTAGACATTGGCGACTGGCTCTTGGGTGACATAAAGTAAGGTTCCATAGAGGAGTCCCGGGCACTGGGGTTGCTCTCTGCGTATTGGGTACGCGGGATCTTGAGCGGGGGCAGTGTCAAGGAGTCTTTTCGGCCCAATAATCCTATACCGTTGAGAAGAGTATGGGTTGAGGAGGGCTTGTTGACTGCGGGGGAGCTGGCTGCATTGCTGGACTTCGTCTCCAAAGAGCGATAGTAGTTGGAGGTGTCGGTGGCACGCTGCACAATCTCTGATGGGATGACCATGCGGCCGTGAGATTTGCGGTCCGTTGGGGGGATGCACATGGCTGGGAAATCTGTGCCAAACAGTGGGGTCAGGGCGTATCGGATTCTCCAGCAGAAGGTCGTTGCCATAGCTCTGGCGGCTTCGTAGGGCATCCAGTATCCTATGTGAAGAGCAAACAAAGTGTTAGATCTTGCTATCCAATGAATTAGTTGGTAGAGTTCTTACCTTGAGCGGAAAGTGCCCCGCCGGTGATGCTGTGACAGATATCGCGGAGGCCGGGGTTCTGGTTAAGCATCTTGGCTGGGGTGGTCTATAACGAGTTAGAAATCCTGGATATATATAAGAGCTACCTGATAGACTTGCCTTGGAATAGCCATTGCATTTGAAAAGGTGTGTGATCCGAACGATACCGATATTATAGTCCCACATAACATGCCATTCCTTTTCTTCGCCAGGTATCCGGAATGTGTATTGAAAGACTAGATGGAAGTGTCAGACGTGAAGATTAAAGCATGTTCAACGGCACATACCATGGAAACTATCTCGGCCTGTCTTTTCTTGGAAGGTTTTCTTGTCGCTGGCATACGGGATCTGACGAGGATAGTCGGCAATATTGCCTAGGGGGCGTAATGAGAGCTCTCTGTGAGCCTTCTCAAGCTCTGCGTCTCTTTCCTCGCAAGGAGGGTAGCGACACTCGCCTTGGATCTTGCCACGACGGAAAATTGGGGCGTCCTTGGCCATCTTCTGCCGCTTCTCGCGGGCAGGGAATGGATACGGAGATCGCCTTTCAGGCTGAGGATTCAGAAGGGATTTGATAGATAGCATTAAGAAGTTCAAGTGCTATGCTTGAAAGAAGGGAAGAGTTGAAGAAGTACGAAGTCTCCGGGAAACAGGAGGAGCTTAATGTCTCTTGGAACAAAAGGGAGTTTTCCAGAAGGACTGAAAGACAGTCAAACCTGCTAGAAGTAACAAAGTAAAGAGAGACAATCCAAGACCTTTGTTCGAAGGTTTGTTTCGTACAGCTTCTTGAGTACAGGTGTGTTTGTTGGCAAATACCTTTCGAGGAGACAGCGGTGAATAGAAGAACTCGGGTCTGAGAGTGTCTCTCAGAATGCAAATGATCTTCACCGATTTTTTGCCTCTCTATCTCTCTCTCTCTCTCACGCTCGCATATCACAAGGGCCCTTGAAGTTGGACGAGTTCACGGGCTGTTTGTCTTTCCGCGTGGAAGTGAAAAGTTCCAATGATCTCCGACTTTGGACTGATGATGCAGTGTGCATTGATTACTATGCCCCTGGAAGCAATTACAAAACACAGAGAATTGTAGGCCTGTATCTCTCTCACATTTCGAGGCATAACCTGTTTCACATTCACAGGTATGACTACCCAAACCTCTCCCCAAAGAGATCTGAAAGGAAAGCATGGCAGCAACCGTTTCAGGGACCATGTGGATATCCTAGATTTCCTTTTGGAAACGCAGAGAGTCACTGCTGCATGCAAACAGCCTATTACAGTGATAGGTACGTACAAAGGTTTACTATATCATACACAGGTACGGCTATGGATGTCCTAGTATCCCGGGTCAAAGAGCTCAACCGTTGTCCTACCTTTTCTTTTCTTCGGAATCTTTATGGAAGAAGTCATGCCAGATCGTCCTTGACATCGGACTAGAGCTAGGGTACTGCAGCAACCGGAGCATTATGACACCAGTTTAATGGTCCAATAAGAGGCTACATACCCCATGGTGGCTCGACAGGAGTATCAAAAAGGTCTCAGACCCACGGCAAGCTGCAGGGTAACTTACTCCTTGTATGACGGGAACGTGCATTACCTGGCGAGTCCGCGAAGTGCATCGGAGAAAAGCTGTGCTGCAAAGATAAACTTCTGACAGGATCAAAGATTCTGGGAAAAGTGACAGAATCTTTACTTAGGTGCACCCCGCGCTTCCATGCCTATACAGTGCGCACTAGACTGTACAAGCGGTCTGCACATTTGACGGGATAAGGCTGAATGATACAAACAAATTCCAATGTTAGAAAATAATAGAGTGGTTATTTACTATCTATTGACAGCTCTATACTTCACATCTTCTCCTTTTTCCTCTTCATGATTGAATACCTAATATAAGAACCTTGGCACTGTCAACTAGACCGCTAATTGAAGTCTTAAGAGCACGCGTATAACAGAGATATTGGCCGCTCAAAGGCACGAGAGACATGATAACGACCTCAAAGAACATTCCATGCATACTTCTATGCAGCAGCCCGACACGTTGGTGGCTGTAGCCCACTTTTCCTGGTCGTATCTTTTTCTTTTCTCTGCTTGAACCGACTTATACCGTAGTACCATTCTGACATCTCCCAGTCAGTTTCACAACCCGCTATTGTACCCACCTTCCAGTCTAGTTGATTCTGTACAAGACTCCCAACAGGTACAAGGGGTCCATCTGCCAATCGGTGCCGGGCCGGGGCAGCAGCATTACAGAGCACTGCAGAAAACGGTGCATATAGATGTCGGACGTTATATAATCTGGTCAGAGACTGTAAAAGTCGAGGACTGAGTGAACTAGATGTCAACCCAACCGGGCTAATTTTCCCGGGGGGGTGGTGGGCTCAGTTGCATTGGATTCGGTCTGCAAAGAGTCCCAACAGCCGAGACCAAGAGAGTTCAGAAACGAGGACTAGTTTCCAATGTCTTAGACACTCCGGTGCTGGCTGAACGGGTCTATTAAGCCCCCAAAGAGCGGTAAGCCTGGACATGCGTGTCCTCCATCTGCGACGCGTCTCAGACCCCAGGCTTCTGGAAAAGGGGCAAGAAACTATGTCTCAATTGGGATGTTGCTGTTAGGGTTTAGGCCTTTTTCAAGCGCTTATTTTCCTCCTTCTTGGTTTCCGTAAAGTATAATTGAGCCCCCTTTGTAACATTGACTCTTTCAGCTTACCCTTGGAGGGCTTCCTCTTTTCACATGTTTATCAAGAAGTCGGAAGACTCATTGTTCAGATCAGAGCCGAACAGAGCCTTGTAGATGCTGTGGTATCATGACAGTAGGGTCTCAACTGCGAACAAGGAACAAACGGAGCCTTCATAGTCACATGAGCCTGCAAGACTCGATACTAGATCCATGTTCAACCAGGCGAAAGACTCACTTCTATTACGAAGAGGTCCAGACCTCGACCCGTTGAACACAGAATACAAACCGGACCCGACCCCCACTTCATTCAACCTGCGATTTCACAAGATACTTATCACCCGCAGATATCAGACCACACTCCGGAATCTGTACCACGGCCCTCGAATCCGGGGTATATGGGGCGTGAGGGAGGGGGAAACACAGTTCCGAGCATGACTGAACAAGGCAAGTCTGAGAGAGAGAGGGGAAGTACAGTAAAAGGGAAAAAAACCGTCACAGGCTGGCCCGAATCGTGATGCGGCGAATAGGGAGCCGGGTTGGTGAACCGGAATGAAACTCAACGGCTGCCTTGCACTCCAAAGCTGTTGGGTCAAGGCCGCTTGCATGGAATGAGCAACTACCCAAGTGGGTTTTGGTCGAGGCTTTTGAGATGGGAGTCACGACACACGGATGTGGCAGGGCGTGAACAGGATCTAGTTTCCTGGTGAGTAGTACTGATGAGTAGTACATATACAATATTTCTTGACAGTTGCCTAGACAGTCGCCAAGGTCCCTGCGGGAGGCTCGAGGACGGGCACACTGCAGGGATGTGAGTGGGGATATATGGAAAGCCAAGTTATCATAGATTTTATGTAAATGTAATTCCATTAGAAACAATATGAACCCGAGAAAGACATAAACAAGGGGTGGAGAAAAGAAGTGGACGGATCAAAATGTCCAGTAGGTTGAAAAGGGATAAAATATCGAAAAGGGGAAAACAAAGAGACATGACAGCTCATCGCTCAAGAATCCTTATTTTATTGTTCATCGACACGAGGATTTGGCGATCAGAACCCATTCCCAGGGATTCCCCAACAAGAACAGGTGGCTCAAAAATCGATCTCACGTGCCATTCGGCATAGCAATAATGGCCAAAAAATGATATCGTTTCAACAAAGAATATTCGATTGACGCTCAATTTTGAGGTCAATTAATATTCTTAGTTAAGATGACCTAGCATCATTGAGACCTTGTTTAAATAGCCAGAAGAGGCTCACGGTCACCAGCCTGCTCTGCTGGCTCCACAGACGCAACAATGTCAGAATCGAGAGCCTGGGCGATAGGAGCGGCCTTGGGGGCCTCGGGGAAGTCCTCGTGCTTGACGACGGGCTCGACATCAGAAGTAACCGGGGCAGTGATGGGAGCAGTGACGGGAGCAGTGACGGGAGCAGCGAAGTCGGCAATGGGCTCGGTCTTGGCAGACTCGGCCACAGTCTCACGCTTGACCGGGCTCACAAGCTTGGTCGCCTCCGGGGAGGTAGAGCGGCGGGTGCCAATGTATTCCTGGGCCTTGGAGCTGTACTCGCCGACATACTGCTTCATCAAGCCGGTGGCGTGCGAGGTATGCTCGCCAGCCATGTCCCGAAGCTGGTTGGTCTGGGAGTTGACGATCTGCTGGAGGTTGGCGATCTGCTCGTCAATGATCTCACGGTTGCTGATGTAGATAAGGGGGGTGAAGTATGTAGTGGTCACGGCAATGACGGCCAAGCCCCAGAAGGGAACGAAGCGGATCAGCCAGTAGCCGGTGAAAGCAGCAGTGAAAGCCTAAGAAATCGTTAGCCTGTTCCTTTTTGGTTCGTCTTCGCTGACAAGCTGGAACCTACCAAAACGGTGTGGAGGACATTCTCAGCGAACAGGATGCGCTGGAACTCGATCAGGAAGAAGTCCACAAGCTGTTCAAAGTCCTCGAGGACAGCCTCAACGGTTTCTTTGGGGACAGTGTAGTAACGGCGGGGGCGGAATCCACTGGCGATTCCCCGCTTGAGGATGACTTGGCCAGCAATCTCGACGGTGGCGGTCGCTGCACACAATTGTTAATCAATCACTCTGTTGACCGTAGGTCACGCGACCAACTCACCTCCCAATGACATGTACAGGAACTTGAAGGCCCAGCGGAGGAGGGGCAGATAACGGGCGGCGAAGATGAAACAGATCACGCTGGCGTAGGAAACGGCGGTCGCACGGGGTTGTTCCCACTATATACACACAGAGGTTAGCAAGCTATCCAAGATTGAAGACTCGGGCGAAAACTCACGCTCAGAAGGCTATGCATCAAGGAGTGGTAGTCTAAACACTTGTTAATATCCCGCTATCCGATCAGTCCAGTCTCATGACGTACGGGTCAATGGTTGACCATCGGTGGTGGTGGTCGAGGGGGTCACACGCGAGTTTTTCAGATCGCGAAACTCATTGCCGGTGCGGAATGCTTCGGACTTCACATTATCGACAATTGGGCCTATCGAGAAATTGGTCAGCTTGCTTCGGTAACTTCAGAGTCTTTGGGGTTGATATGTACCCTTGGTAATAACATCGCTGATGCCTGAACGCAAGAGGGGTCAAGGTTAGTCTCTCGTGGCCTCGGAATCTAGAAAATCGAAAAGAGTATAATACTACAAGACGACTGGGGTTAGCATATTCGTTCTGTGGGATTGAAGCGACCTGTTGATTTTCTTACCTTACTGCCCGTGTTAGGGTAGGTCACGTCACCAGAAGCCATAACGGTGATATTTTTTTTGAGAAGCACTCAGGGGGGGGATTTTAAAAGGGAAATTAGAAAATTCGTAAGAAGCGTATCAACTGAGTCGAGGCGTGAAATCTAGAAAAGAAATTAAAGGGGGGGAAAGGGAACAAGAGAAGGAGAGCATAAGAAAAGATAAGGGAAGATTTCCAAGGTTGTTGTGATGCTGTCATGTGCGTTGCCAAGCCCGAACAGCTCTATGACGCTATTAACCTGCTATTAACCATGAACCTATTAAGCTTGATTATAAGAAACATGAAAATTGGAATTTACTGAAACTTACTGGTAATGCTTAAAAATACTGAGAATATCTTGCAAGTCTATGGCCACTCTACAAACCTGTACATGATTTTTATACACCGGAGTTTAGCGGGAAGAGCTTTTCTCTTAGGGAGGCCCAGGCTCGAGTAAATTTAGCCCAAGGGGACTATGCTTAAGTCACGTGTAGAACGGCTGATCCCTCGGGTTGCTCACGGAGTAGTTCGTGTCTAATTATGTAGTGACCTCGGGACTGTATCCACCGTAGGCTACGGAGTATACATAGGATAGATAATCCTATGGGATGGTTTATACTATAATACTGAGTCCGTTAACAGCGGTATTTCTTCACATTCTAGAGTATCTAGTATTACTAGGTCTCAAAAGTGCATTTAATTCGGACTTTTACGTATAGGGAGAGGAGAGAGAAGTGGTATAAAACTTCCCGAGGTGCCCAGGTGGGCACCTATATTGTCCGAGTAATCTCCCTTATAACACCCGTGGACGACTAACTCGTCTTTTAGGTAACTAACTAGTTAACTAGTTAACTCATCTTAGAGTCTAAAGATATCAAGCCACAATTCGTTGTCGCCGAGGAACTCCTCTAGGTAATCATGCCAAGCCATCAACACCCAGTGTTGGAGCCTAGGTGCCCAGGTGGGCGCACCGGATTACAAATTGTAAAATTTTAGGTAACTTTTGTATGACAACTACATATAAAAGTTACATAACTATATAACTAGTTACTGTACACAACTTCCAAATTAATATCAAGCTTCGTAAGAAGTATGAAGTCTCCAGCGCCTGCTTGAAGCGAAACGGTTAAACTTTTACCCGCAAGGTATACTGTTTTTAAGATGCTCCTGAAACTTCTACATAGTTATAATGGGAATTAATCTTAGTAGGCCGATTAAACCAGTCCTATGTATGTCCAAATGATCATATAATGCTTTGGAGATATCTACCAATAAAACCTTGGGCTGATTTGATCTTCCTTCACAACAAATAAAGTCTGGCCGTCCATTCCCGAATCCATGGAGCGAAGACCTTGAAACAAGTCTGTGATCTGGTTCGTCTGCTCCATCCTACAGAATAGGCTGGTATAGCCATCCGGGCGGATTAGTACCAAATAACGATGGTGCACATGCGTTATTTTATTTGAATTGCCTGAACGTTAAAAGCTGTAATGGGGAAATGAAACATCCAAGCAATTTACAACGATGCATCTCAGATGCCCAAGATTTCCATTCTCTTCAAGAGCCAGATTTCCAACCGCAAAACCCCAAGTCCCCTCGGTTCCTCCACATCCTCCGCACCTCGCGCAGTCCATTCAAAATGCCCTTCCTCTTGGTAATGACTACCCAAAATGCATTTGATCCTGCTCTATACTCCAGCTAAATGGATCCCTTACTCAACATCCTCCTTGACCTTCGACTTGTCCAATCGTCGGAATAGGATCCACAGCAGAACGGTTGCTCCACCCAGCAGCCCCGTCAGGATGGCATACATCGTGACGAGATGTGGGTCTCTGGTGAGTGGAGTGAATGCCAGTGCAAGGCATGTTCCGATCCCAGCCATGGCGAGCCAGATTGCTTGGACCAGCGTCTTCATGCTCTTGGGCGCATTGTTGTAGGCATACTCAGTTCCGGTGGTGAGACAAAATACCTCTGCCAATGCTCCACCGAAGTACGTTGGAACTTGGAGAAAGACCGAAATCTGGTTGGGGAGGGTGCGATCATTGGCAGTAGCACATGCGAGGGGTGTATCGTAGCATGGTCCAGCCTGGTAGATAAGCTTCTGTATCACCGTGGTGTAGACCATGGAGAGAGTCAAGAAGAAGAATCCGACTGTCATCCGTGCAATCGGTCCAAATGAGATTCGCTTCTTTGTAAGGTAAGGATAGAGTCCCTTTTGAATGATAGGCGCAACGATAATCCCCGAGATTGCCCCGACTATCTTCATCATATCGTTCGGAATACCGTATGTGACCATCTGCCCAGCTTGAGAGATCAAGTTGTTGAATGTCTGGTTGTAACATAGCCAGTGGATAGGGAACAAAATCCTACATCTATATTAGCTTGATAGTATACTAGAAAGTGTAGAAACTTACAATACTCGGCAGGTCAGAAGACTTCTCTTGATCTCTTCAATGAACGAGTCTGTCCAGGGGACCTGACGACCGTGTTGATGAAGCTGGGCGTCTGGCTTTGCAGCATCCATTTTGAAGCCACCGGTTATCCCAGATTTCAAGGCAGCACATACCTGGAGCATAATGTTGCTTGTTGGCCTGTCTCGGACTGTTGTATCCACATGTTAGTTAATCAATATATTGCCATGATAGTAAGCACACTCACCAAAGTACTTGCGACCGAATAACATCGGGATCAGAGCTAACCACATAGCGCAGCACGGGATCAAGTAGGCGAGCCAAAATCCGACATACCGTTCCAACAACGGAGTAGCATCGGCCACGAAGCCCACAACATTAATGGCCCTGTTTTCAGTGTTGGTTATTATGGAAAATGAAAGAGATCAATCGACTCACCAGTAAAAGACGTTGTAGATATAGGTAATGGTCAACTCCCGGCTAGCGACAACCCGATCTCCTTTTTGCTGAATCTTGATTCTAAAATCGGTCTCGTCATATTGGTCGGCTAAACGATATCAGCGTCTGAACTGGTACACCCGAGTCTAAGAAATCAGCTCACCAATGAACGGCACCACAGTAGTTTTAAATGCCCCTGATCCAACAGCCAGCAGTACACAGGCAGTTATTACTCCGGGCAAAGCCGCCCCCGCATGAATGGCAACGGGCAGGGACGTTGCAAAAAGAATAGTTGCCCCGATGGCCTCGATGCTAGTATAATGTTAGCCATCAAACAAGTCAAAGAGGTGGGGTAAGATAAAAAAATAAAACTGTCACAGTACATAGCAGCGTATATCATGGTTTTGTAGCGGCCCATCCAGCTATCAGCAATAACAGCAGCAGGCACGGGAACTATATACGACCCGATGATCAGTGCGTTGACGATGTTCGATGCCGTGGCCTGGTGCAAGCCCAGTGCCCCGGGCACCTCCCCACCGGGTGCATTTTGTAGGTAATTCTCTGTAGCAATGGTTAGTCAAACAACGTTATAGTCAAATAGGGAGGTATCACGCACGGAGAGGAGCGGTAGCTCCGTACCAGACAAAGCGTTCCAGAATACCCGCAAGGCATGCTACCCAGAGAAAAACCGGAATTTTGTCGACGACATGAAGGAGATCGCGCACTTCTTCTTCGGTGGCCACGCGACCGTCGTCGCCGCCCGAGGGGGTGGGTATACTGTGAGTGGCATGGATAGCTATATGGCCTTTGGGCTCAGAAGAAAGACGTGAATCTTGTTCTGTTTTCGACAAAGAAAGAGAGGCACAGGCATCAGTATTATCACTCGCGTTACGAGTTTCAAGGGCTATCACCAACCGTAACTCTATATTAGGCTCTGTGGTGATATCCGCAGAGCCATGCATATCAGGCATGGAGCCGGACATTTTCGAATGTAAATTGTTCAGTAGCAATGACAAGCTCAGTATGGTCGAGAAGTTTTTCACGGAGAATGTGAATCTAGAGACAAGAAGGAGGAAGGGCTTTGGGACAGAGAAAAGACGGTCTGAAATCAGGGCAACCTGGGGAGTCGGGGACCGTCGGGGGGCCGTTGGGCCTTCTTAACTGCATTTGGGGACTCTGGATCCTGTGATTGGCGAGGATTGGGGTCTAGGGCAGGGATCAGTTATATATTCGGTCTCCGGACAAAGTGTAGGTGCTTAAAATTATACCGAATCACTCCGTTGGTCCACGGGTATGCGAAGAGAAGACAAGACTACTCTTACGGCAAAACTGCATTAAATCCAGTCCCCCCTTCTCCATACTGTATCAAGGCGGATTGCAGTATCTTTACAAATACCGGAGAATACGTACTATTTTAAATTAAATTTCTTTGAATCGGGATTAGGATTCTAGATTATATATAGGTTAAATATATTATAAATACATATGTTAGTAGCTTGAAGTGTATCCCAAACCCTTGATAGCTGTATGTGGCGAGGCTCATCCACGCCACCAAACATCTCACGTACCTATCATGCCATATATGAGCTGTTTTGTTCATCGCAGCGCTAAGACCAGACACAGGATGGGGCCCGTAGCGATGAAAATGAAAGCGCCAACACCTCAACGTACCCGGTGCTCTAATGGGCTGCACCGGATATATATCGACCACACACAAAAGGTATATAAACACAATAAAGTCATAACATCAATTTTACCCGACATTTAAACTAGCTTAGAGAGAAATATAAAAAAAAAAACAAGTGGGAATATGGTGAGCTAAAGCGAGTGTCTGATAAATCCTTGATATCACACTCTTACCTACTGTTGTACGTCCAGGGCTCGTAATAATGAAGTTTCGCAGACTCAATATACAATATCCATCGACCAAGAAACAAGCAAGTCTCCGTGGCGCAATTGGTTAGCGCGTCCGACTGTTAATCGGGAGGTTGGAAGTTCAAGCCTTCCCGGGGACGCTTATTCTTTTTTTGTGTTTTCGTGTTTTTGTGGGCCATTCGATTCCTAGATAGAATGCCAAAGGGCCGTGGACAAGCACCGCGTCCAAGTAAAGTGAATACCAGAACACATAGCATCAAAACGCAACAAAGCCGACCTCCTCGCTGATGAGGGCGCGCTTAGAAGCCTGGTTAGAGGTTCATCCACTGAAAACTCCGGATAGAGGGTAGGCAGGATTCGCCTGTGTTCCGACTGACGTTGAATACAACCATCTTATCTATCAAGGAAAATATTTGGACCAACTTAGGCGGCCATGTGTTGGAAACCACTCCATCGGCTAAGGCAACAAAGTCAACTAATAAGCTTGAAAAACAAGCTGTAGTGAATATTTCTCTTGGAACCGAAGATCATTTGAAGATAGAACTGCGACGGAAGATTTGTACGGCACAATTATCAGGCAAGCTTCGTTAAAAGTATTAAACATCGAAAGAGTTGTGCTAGTTTCCGACTGTATTGTAGTTATCAAGTTTCGGCATTAGTTAGTTAAAGCAGATGTTAGTTATATTAAACTTCCGCAGCGACCTAATATACCATACATACACATGTTCGATATCCAGAAGCCCGTGAACTTTAACCGATTAACCCGATCTTGCTCTAAAAGTGTTAATGGTCATCCCCTACTACGTGGTGTCTTCGTTTGCTTTAAGTGCTAGGTCTATCAGGTCACTATAAATTCAAGCTTCATGGACATGAAAGACCGATTTAACTGGCAGGAGCTTACAGATTTGATCAGCGAGGATTGAAACAAAATTTCCTCGCCTGGACAGCCTATAGTCTAGCTCAAACTTGCTCGACGGAGTGCCCCGCATGATCGTGACTCGCTTGTTATACGACATCCTCATTACTTGTACTACGCTTCCACGGGGGTCTCCTTGGTTTCCAACCTATATAGCAAGCCTATTTCAGCACCCAGGCCTGAACACCCGCTTGATACCAGACAGATTTCGATTTCTAAGACTACGTTCGTCCTGCAGTCCTGAAGTAGTAGGAACAGTATCTTAAGGAGGCACTACCACCTCAGGTCGTGGTAGTCAAGGGTGCCTAAGGCTTTGTCTTAATTGAAGTCTGTGGGCAAAATGGCGTTATGTTTGGCGAGCTTGTGGCGGGCCGTGGCTGACCTGTTGCAGGAATTGACTCGCTCGATATCGTATGTGTATCAAGTCCCGCTGCGTATACAGCTATGTTTCTCGTAGAAAGTGCTTGATCTTCTTCGGGGTGCTCGGGAGTGCCACCTAGCCAGCATGCCCTTCTAGTCTATGGGAGACGCGTCAATTGCCAAAGACTGTACTCCCTAACTACGATGGATCCGCTTTGGTTCAGTACTCAATTATTCCCCGCTACCAATGGCGGAGGATATTGAAGGCAAAGCATTTTGAGCTACTGGTATTCATATTCATGGACATTTGAACCCGAGCTCCAGTGTCATCCTATACCTGCTGATTTGGAATTAAACTCCAATCCTGTGGTAAAGACGTTTGATATGGATTATATCGCACCCACGCTTATGACCGACATCACGGACTGATTCTGTACCACGATCCATAATTTCATCGAGAATGTGACAGCATGTCTCAGCAAAATGGGACAAGGACCGATCGGAGGCTACACTCTGCCACTTCCATCCGGTAATGGACCCATTAAGGCACTAGAGACGGTGCCATTGGACGCCACGGAGTATGAGCAGATATTGAGCAAGCCTCAGTCCGTCTGGAAAACAATTACCAGCGAGAGTGACGGAGATGCACCTTTCTTCTCCCACTGGGTTAGTTCATAATTCTCTTCTATAAATGCTGCTCCTCGACTTGCGGCCCCACGGTTGATGGTTTACCGCTGCGAGTTTAGACAGGAGACGTGTCCTATATTGAAAGCATTTGGCTTTTATGCCACATCTCAGGTTTTGGTAATTTCTGAAGTATGCGTTACTTATCAGTCATAATCTATTTTCACATTGCTGATGATATGGTTGGCCAGTCCCCGCTAATATCCCAGGCAGCATCCCAGGCAGCATCGCGGGCAATATCGCTTTAGCCGCATCGGGCTCCAAACTCGACCCATAAGTATATCGTACTTAAATGCAGGAATCCCTCTTCAATTTCTATTATCGCAAAAAAATCCAACATTATTGCTCAAAATGACAGAGCCGAACCTCTCTCCTGCTTGTTTTACAAATTACAACCAGCAGACCCAAAGCAACCTATTCTGGCTCATTCCTCCAGAGATTCGCTATGAGATCTTTGCCTATACTTTAACAAGTGCTCCAGACACCACACAACCACCTGAGCAAGATGGATACTGCACCAGACCAGGATATGAGACCCGCCATCGGACCTACACAGAACTGCTCCGAACCTGCAAAAGACTATACATGGAGGCATGGTTCATGCCCTTTCTCTTTTCGGAACATGCATTTTGGATGGCCTCCTGGGAACGCTCTCCTGAGAAAATGATCACGGTGAAGAAGATGCAGGAAGGTTTAGATCTGATTCATGATCGACATGGAGAAGTGCAGGGTAGCCGTATTCGAGTATTTCCTCAGCTATACAGGCTTGAGAGCACCACAGACTTCGATGGAATATTTGCGATGCGTCATTTCCATCCCCAGTCTGTCACGATCACTATCCGTTACACCGACACCTGGTTTTGGGAACACAACGAGGAGTTGCACATCGAAGGAGCCTGGGGCAAACATCTAGTGCTGCCCTCTAGCGTCACCAAATTCTGTATCGACATTGAAAGCATCGAGCGACGCAAAGATGAAGTGGACTACATCGCAGGAGAAATGGCCGACGAATGGCGATTCCAGCGAGCCGATGGCACCAATATGCTCGCAGCCAAGGCTGATACTACGGTGTCCAGATGGACGGGAAGTTCCATGCTTGGGAAACGGCGCTGGTTGCGTGATGAGACGGCGCCTGGTCAGATTCGGTACTATTTTGCGACTGTAACGTGGCGGCCTTCGCAAGAGCCCTTGGATGCTCGGCGTTTGAATTCCCCTCTCCGGGTCAATTGGAGTCGCCCATTACTCCCGGTTCTTGGTTTTGAGTCTATCGAGGAATCGTATTTGGAAAGGGCCGGATTATCTTTAACAACTCCTATGGGCAAAGTGCTTTCTAGGTGCATCGCTGACGGGTATAGCGGTCACACTGATCAGATTGATCAGTATGTGTCCGAGGATGACTCTGAGGATGGCTCTGAGGATGGGGACTCCGACGAGGACTACGAAGACTCCGACTAGGAGGTTTCTCAGGTCTAATTTATTTTTGCTATATATCTCAATACAACTACAAGCTTCAATAAAAAGAATAGAGTACCATAACAAAACAAATGAACACGTGACCCACGCGTTGCTATCGAACCGATTCGGTCTGTTTTGATTCTCGACATCTCCATTCCCCGACTCAGCGCGACTCACAACCCACAATCTCCATGATTGTTCATTTACAATTACTCTCCATACATTAATTCCTGGTTTTTATTTCTCCTGGTTTTTACCAACGGCGCATTGTTTAGATCATGGCGGCAAGCGCGAGGGCGCAGAAGCCCGTCGGCTCAGCGCCATGGATTGCAGCAGAGAAGGAAAACATGGCTGAGCTAGTGGAACAAGAAATGGAAGAAGTGGAATACCCTGTCCGACACGAAATGGACTGGTTAAATGAACATATGACCGAGATCTTCTCCAAGGGCCAGACGTGAGTTGCGACCGCACACTATAATCTGTGCTTCAGTGCTGACAGTAACATAGAAACTTCGCGGACGTGTTCAAGACGCCGGGAAAGATGAGAGGCAAAACGCCTCGAACTGCTCGAAAGCGTATCCCTGAAGAGTCTCGAGTGGTGGGTTTCTCCATATCGAATTGATTTCAACAGTCCTTGTCTAATGTACCCTTGCAGCCCTTGAGCGAAATCTTCTCATCCGCCCAGAAACAATTAGAAAGCCAAGCAAACTCGAGCCCATTCATTCATCGTGTTGTTTCTAAGCCCGCTCCCGTGGCGGCATCGCCTGTGCCCCGCACCAAGACTGTGACGGAGCAAGCTTCGCAGCCCGAATACCCTGATCTCACCCAAAATCTGAACTCATTCCCCACATATAACACCGACTCTGGTTATCATGGCATGCCCGATGATGATGAAATGGTACTCCCTGACGTGCAACAAGAATCACAGGCTTCGACTCAGCCTTCTACCCAGCCTTTCGAACAAGACGAGCCCATGCATATGGATACCCAAGAGGTGGACATTTCGGCTAGTCAACAGACGAATGAAGAATCTTTCCACTCCGCACGGGAAGAGGTTCGCTCCCGCGGAGAGACCGTCGAGCCGAGCAAGAACCCAACCCCAACCCAGGAGCGAACAGCGCTTCCGGCCGAATCGGTTCCCAAAGAATCTGAGACCGAAATCATGTCGACTCCGACTAAGAAAACAAAATCCAAGTCAAATATCGAAATCTTGGAAACGCAACAGAATGAGGATCCTGAACCAAAGGAGAGTGATCCAGTTGTTTCAAACCCTAAGCCAACCCCAGAAAAGGCCCCGGTGGCCCCGGTATCCCTGGTAGCTCCACCTATCGAGACGCAAGAGCCTCACCCAGAGGACGAGGATATGGAAGATGTCGCCGAAGATGCTATGAAAGACGATACAGTTCTCGACAATCTTGATGATATCGGCTCTCCCTCGGATGGTTCTACCCCAGATCGACCATTCGCCCGAAAAAGCAGCCTGAGCTTCGCTACTCTCCCTGCACGGGAACCTTTGAAGACACGAACAAGCCATATTGACCTGGCAAAAATGAGTACTGCTGGGCGTCCTAGTTACTTTGGCAGGCAAACTGGCGGCCATAGGATTCCACAAGCTGCGGCAGAGGATAATGCAAGTTCTAGGGCACTAGAAATCGACAACGAGAAAGAACCAAGTGAAGAAGCGGATCCTGAGCAGGCTACCAGGATGCACAGCAAAAAGTCTACTCAGTCCTTGCATGACAGAATCAGCATGCTAGGCAAACTCCAGCCATCCCGACCCAGAAAGTCAATCCCATCCGCTTCTGGGCTACCAGCTGGTCAGGTTCCCTACCCAGATCTCCCAGCTTCCAAGGCTGAAACCAAGTTTGAAGCTTCGAACCAAGGGGCGTGTGAAACGCTAGCTCCAGAGCCCATGTCGGTAGACGATGATTGGATCAAGCCTCTAAGCTCTCCCCAAAAACCTGAGCTTTACAAGAGCAAAACCACTGATGCCATGGAGAAGCTTGCTGAATTCGAAAAGGCACGAGCAATCAACAAAAAGGATGCGTCGAAAACAGAGCCTGAACGTCCCAAATCATCTACCTCGATGTTCTCTTCGCCCCGACCGCACGGTCACCAACAAAGCGCGTCTTTGACTCACATCCCTGCTGATGCATCTACTACCCCAACGGGCTCGCCAAGGCGCTTTGACGGTCACATTAGTGCTTCGAAGCTGAAACTGCACTCGATTATGAAATCTGCCAAGGGCTTATTCTCAAGCACTGGCAACACACCACGGATGGAACACTCATCGCCTGAGCAGGCGCGCATTCAGCCAATTGCTGACACATTCACTAAAAACACCAAACATTTATCTCAGCCGATCCCTATCACCAGTCCTCAGCGTCCTGAAGGCCGCCGGACACGAAGCTCAACCGAGAAAGAAGAGAAACGGCGCCAGCACGAACGGAAAGAGCAGGAGCGCGAGGATCAAGAAGAAGAAGCGCGTGTTGAGAGGTCTCGGGAACAAGAAAGGCAAAGAGCTCTTCAACTCAAGGCCGCTCAAGACAAGTCGTCGGTCGAGCCAGAAGAGAGAGCCGGCTCAGCCGTGAACAAGACTTCCCAGTCACAGCGCCAACAATCGCGCGAACCTGAATCAGCTCAGGAGTCTAGCTCAAGATTTGCTATCCCTCAGCCGAAGCAAAATGACCGCCGTCCTCTCAAACCCACTCGCGAGCCCATGAAACGTCCAACGCCTCAGCCTATGTCAATTCGTCTTGGAAGTACCATGTCTCGTCAACAATTACCTGTCCCATCGTCTTCAAGTGGACGGGAGTCGAGTGTGTCCGTGACCGCCTCTGCCTCTGCCCCTACCACGAAACCAACTCTGAAAAAGAAGGGTAGCAATACATCCTTGAATACATCATCTTCTACAAGCAGCTTTAAGAGCTCTGTTTCCAGTCTAACACAAGCCCAGCGCAAGGCGCAGGCTGCCAGCGACCGCAAGAAGGAAGAACAAAAGCGTGAGCTAGAACGCAAACGTACTACCCAACAGCAACAGCAGGAAGAGACCCGTCGGCAAGAGATGAGAAGCCGTGCCGAAGCTGAACGGGAGCGACAGGCCGAAAGAGAACGTCAGGCTGAACGGGAGCGCCGCGAACGGTCGGCCCGGGAAGATCCAAACAAAGCAGCCCGTATGGAGGCGATCAAGAAGCGACAAGCAGAGAATGCTCGGAAACATGGGAGGCAAGGCAGCCAGCAGATAGTTAACGAGGTAAGCGCGTTTCAGTCGGGGGATTTTCATACCGCTAACAGTTTCCAGGGACCAATTCTACCGCACGAGCAGACGTATTCTCAGTCTTCTCAGCGAGGTGACTTGGGTGCTTCCCGCCCTCCTTCTCGCTTGGGTAGCTCAATTCAGCCATTTGGTAGCCGCAGCATCAACCCGCCCGCACCTAACCCTGCAAAACCGCCAAAGAGAGGCAACGATGAAACCAGCCAACGGCCAGCGCCGGCTAATCCTACTAACGTGCAGTCAACTGGCGAGTTCAAGCGGCGAAAGACAGAGGATGAGCACAACCCTATGCCGCCTATGCGCACAATGGCGCAGCCTATCCGTCAATCTAATATCAGAAAGGTTAGTAACACTGGATCCCACGTAATATCCTGACGAACAAACAATTGACTTCGGAAATGTATAAAGCCTTCTACCCTTGGCCGCGGACAGTCTTCCATGGCACCTCAGCCAGCCTCTTCCAGCTACAGAAATGCTCAACCTCAGCGACCCGCTCACCCGATAATCACATACACGAACGGCAAAATACCATTTGCGGAACCAAATCAAGCACCTCCTCCCAGTGCACACAAGGCTGCGCCCAGCTCCGCCCAGCGCCCACCAGCCAAGCCATCTCCGAAGTACCCCAATGGTGAAAATATCCACTTGCCGGAAATCAACACTGATAGTGAAGATGATGACGATTCTGACTCCGAGATGTTCCCTGTTCCTCCGTGGGCACAGGCGAAGGAGCTGGAGGGTCTTCTCCGGAAACAGGATGGTATGGAAGTTGACTCGATCTTCGGACCAATTGCACCATTCTCTCTTGAAGAGACCTTTAAGGCGGACAAGAAAATCAAGAAATACCGTGACCGCACCAGCAGTGCGAACTGGTCTGGACCCGATGGACTTACTCAAGAGGAGATTCGGAAGGATGTTGCCGAGCGACAGCGGTTGCGCCTCAATGGTGGTTGGAGCTTCAACACCTAGTGCTCGGCAGGGTGAATTTTTCTTTCTTGGGTTGTAACTCGATCTGTACATTGAACAGCGACGGCTTCTTTCGGGTTATGGATTTGGTGGTGGGCATGGATATGTCGGTGTTATGGGTGTATAATCTACCTCATGGCGTTATTTTGTATGATTCTTGTGGTCACTTTTGTTTATGGTCTTAGACAGCAGCTGCATATTTGCATCCATCGGTGCATTGGGTTAATGAATTGTTATTTTGGCCTACATTGGATATTCTTTGGCATTATGTTTCTAGTGTCACATGGGTGGGATAGGGCTTTCGGAATTAGGCTAGATGTTTTTTTGGTCTCATGTAGCATAATAGTGGGCCATATTATATCAACCAGCATCATTGGTCTAGTGGTAGAATTCGTCGTTGCCATCGACGAGGCCCGTGTTCGATTCACGGATGATGCACATTCTTTTTTTGGTCTTGGTTATCTTTTGAGGCTTCTAATTAGTTCCTTTTTAAATGAACCTACTTGTTTCTTTTGGCTACTTCTTCTCGCGAACCTGTTCTGTATTATCGGTCATATGGTTGGTTTTTTGTCACATTTGAGTAGAAATATATATAATACATAATTATGACAACCGCTTCATCCTTTCTACCTAACCTATCGCCAGGCAGGTCTAGGTACAAAAGAACCTGAAAACGTAGAAAAAACAAATAAAAAATAGTACTTTATTACCCACAGTCCAGAGGGTAGGTGCCTGACATGGTTGTTGACGTACAGCCACATGCACAGTTAGACATCTACCACGAAGATCGGGACACACTCCAGAGCTCCTCGCTTCCAAAAGAAAGAGGTATTATATCTGGTGGGCCAACCAGATACAGAGCAGGATTAGGGCTGTAAATGAGACCGATCAAAGACTTTATTAATGATCACTAGAAAAGGAAAATGACCTCACCCTAGCAGAGCATAACCATTTGACAGTCCAGCTTATAAATAATCAACTTGGTTCTACACAACCCTACTTCAACTTTAAGGAAGCGAAAGAATAAATGGCACATGTGCATTGTTTATGATTTTATACTCGGCCGGTACTCGGCCACATGAGATGGGAATGACAAACATAGAAAAAAAAAGAAGGCAAATACGAACCCCAGTCCAAACCCCACGCCCCTGGCAGCGCCGAGAAAAATATAATACAAGATTCTCTAGCCCCTACGCAGTAAATGTCGACATTGAGCCGGAATTTACTGCATATCCGGCTCGATATCACTAACTCCTTCCTCGGCAGCCTCATCCATGGCATCGGGGTTGAGATTGACAGCGTCGGGTGCCACACCGACTTGAGTTTCGTAGGAGATGGTGCGCCAGCCAGATGCAGTGGTGAGGTCCTTGACATATTCGGACATGGGGAACTGTTAAAATGTCAGGATGCGGTTCAAATTTTATTTCTTGGTGAACAAGTGCAGTGGGAGAGACTCACGTAATGATCATTCTTCTTCATGGTAACAACCCATGGAACGTTGTCAAAGGTCACGGCGCGAATACGGAAGTATTCGTTATCAGGGATTTTGCGGACTTCCCGAATAAAGCTGTCCAGGTCTGGAGTCGAGACGCTGTTGACAGCAGTGAGGAAGTTAGTGGGTGCAAGACCGTAGTGGTAAGCGGGGGAACCACGGCTCTGAAGACTGGTGTTAGCAGTGCATTTAAATAGACGTAACTGAGGGATCGAAACTCACTCTCGCGCTCACGTAGATCTCGCTGTGAACCTTGGAGATCTGTTGGCGAACAGCATGGTGGGGCTTCTGTAGAACAGCACCACAGAAGGCAAGGGCCCGATCTGTCTCAATATCACGAGTTGGCACGGTGGGAACGCGAATGCGCACTTCCTCGCCATTGCGGATGACCAACGCATCCAGGAATTCCTTTTCATACATGACATCCAACTCTGAAACGCGGGTGATGAGCTGGTCATCCAGCGTGAGAATAATGTCGGCTTCTTGGAAGCTGGTACTAGCGTCGGGGACGACGCCTGCAGGAGGGCTGTCAACTTTGCGCACCATGAACAACTGGTGTCGCGACGGGTTGGCTTCGGTGACCTTGTTAATCCACTCCTGCGAGACGCCCATGATGCGAGCCTGGCTCATCTGTACAACATAGCTTTCCATGTTCAGGATTCGCAACGTTGGGACCTCTCCTTGCTGGATCTTGGAAGTGACGGGAAGCAGGTATGGGGTGGCAAGGCCGAGGTGGTATTCGACATCCTTGTGAGAGCTTGCAGAGCGCTCACCGAGGTAGTTTAGCCACAAGGCCTGCACCACACCGTCTTCGCCGACGAGTACGCCGTTTGAACATTGTGCACTGAGTCCAGTATCCACGGTCACAGCGTCTAGGTTGATTGCACGGTAACGGGGGGCAGCTGCATTGGCGGGGATCGACACAGTTGTGATATCAGTGACAGTGGTTTTGGCCACGACGATGCGGTAGTTTTGGTTAAAGCCGACAAATATGGTATCTTGGCCTTGCTTGATATAGTTCGTGCTGAGCTGGGCGCTCTTGACCGGAGCCTTGACGAGACTAGGGTCATATTGGATGATGCTGTAGTTCTGAAGCGGATGCAGGAAGACAACCTTAGCACTGACAATAATTGAGTCGGCCACAGTGATGTTGATGTCGCAAAGGTCATAGGGGACAATGGCTCGTGATACCACCACTAGACCCTTATCAGCATCGATGACCAGGCCAAACCCAGTCTTCTTTGCTTGCGGGTATCCATCCAGCTTCAGTGGCATTATGCACGATACACGCACGAAGCTACGGACAATCTCTGCTGCAGCAGGTTGGCTGATACCGTCTAACTGGATAAAATTGGCCTCTCTTGGGACAGGAGGCTCAGCAGGAATAGGATCGGCGAGATCAGAGAAATCCCAGAGACCAGACTCGTCGTTACGGACAGCCATCCGCATCTTGGGATGCCAGTGACGGTCAACGTAGATGATGCTAGTTCCTTTCGTGTGGAGGTCGCGAATATGACGGTAGGAGATCACCACGCGAGTGCGATCGGGAATGTTCTTCATGACCTCTACGAATTCATCGAGGTTACGGATGGGCCGCTTGTCAATTGAATCAATGATCCACCCTGCCACGGTATTCTCCAGCTTGAAGGAGCCTGCCGACTCGCAGACATAGACTCCGCGAGTGGCAATGGCATAGAGACGTGACTGCTGGTACGACAAATCATGGAAGCTGGCGCCAGCAACTGTCACGAAGCGATCGGGAGTGATATCATGGAGATTACCCACTTGACACTCGACCTCAACATCTTGACCGCCTCTCTGAACCAGCAACTTGACAGATTCACCGACACTCGAGTCTAGGATATCGTCGAGACGAACAAACTGTGTGAGGAGCTCTCCATTCACCTTGATAAGCACGTCTCCCTCTAACAACTTACCATCTGCGGGTCCCTCTGGAAGGATGATCTCGGCCGCAAGCATGTTCGTTTCAGTAGGTGCTGCAGCACGAATAGTAGCTTCCCACTCCGGAGTCAGACCAAGACGGCGACACTCGTCGAAAGGCCTCAAGACCCACTGTGTTTGAATTGTACCACGAGTGACAGGCCGACCTCGACGAATACACTCTAGTGCACGAAGCGGGCGGTCCAGCGGCAAAAAGTAGTCTGTCGCAGCACCGTCAGCTCGACCACCAGCCTGCAAAGCAACTGCATGGCCAGCAAGATTGACCACAGGACTTCCAGAACTACCACCACTAGCCGCAGCTGCGGCCTGGATGTAGTTTGTGTTGAAATCACAGTAGCCCTCTCCATATTCAGGCGCATTGCGGTCCAGTCGACTGATCACACCGGACAAAATGCTCAGCTTTTCTCCAGCATCGTTACCCACGACACGAATTTCTGTGCCCACTCGCGCTCCATCTGGCTGGAGCTTAAGCTCAGTCACTGCCATATATCGGATTTTCGCGGGGTCGAACTTTAAGATACCGAAATCATGAACGGGATCGCGGTATACAGGCTGGACATCGCACTGTGATTTAGCAATTTGTTAGTAACCAGACAAGGGATTTGACCAAACCATAGCGCAGGATCGACTTACTTCCTCGTGATTGTCAAATATACAGTATCCCCAGAAAGGACCAGCACCAACAACGTGGCGATTGGTCAATATGTAGCCGCGCTCTGCATCCACCACGAAACCGGTTGCTTGACTGGACATGGAGAGCTCTGTATCGAACGAACAGGTCTGACAGAAGTGAATAGAGACGGCGCATTTCACGACCTTCTCGATGGTAGCCTGCCATTCAGGTGAATCCGCTGTGGCGGGGATGACAGCTGGCGAAGGAGCTTCATCTATATCCTCCTCGATCTCATAGACGGTTCCGTTGGAAGGCGTTGCGTCGTCGGGAGTCAATATCGCGGGTCCAGGTCTGAGTTGCTTGTTTGGATGCTCGGAAGTATTGGCCGCCGTGCTGCGCTTTCGCTTTGAGCCCATCTCGCCCTTGACATCCATAGTGAGGGTATCTGAGGCCTGGGGGTATAGACGCGGTTTTAGGTGGTTGGCAAGAGACGAAATCGTCCGGGAGCCTCTTGAGGCTAACGGGGCAGCAAAGAATGAGGTATAGGACGATTGGAACAGCTGAAGATGCGGACGATGCGGAGTTAAGGAATGTGACGCAGATGACCGATCAGCGGCTGGAGACAAAGGAGTGCAGGTTTGGTTTGAAGCTTGATAAGATGATAAAGACGAGATGGCGGGAATTCGCAAGCTCCTTCTGCATACAACCGACAGAGAACAATACATCCACTAAACAATTGGGGGAAAATGTGTACGCGCCTTGATCTCCAGGCAAAACGTCCACCCTCCATCACAGGTCTTAAAGGCGGCGAAGTATTAATGCCATATGATTGGCGGAGAGCTTTAACTGGCACGTGATGACTTACGGGCGACGTGAGGCGCCACTTTCACATCTCAGAATTACTGCCGGCAAAAAACCTAGACTATTTACCAATACTTGTACATGTCTATTATCTTCTATAAGTTCTGACAGGTCAGAGTCGTCTCCAGAATCAACATTAGAGATTACGTCAATTCTCGTATCCAGAATTGGAAGAGGCTTCACTTTGAAAACAGGAAATTGCCCAGGCCGAGAGAAGGCAGAGAGAACAGGCGGTAATCTCGGTAAGGAAATGGCGTAGTTGCACGATGTGATCCCATGGGTGCCTCATGCGTTCAACTGTTAAATAACTCTGAATACCTCTTTGCTTGATTTGCATGTGGATAGAATGCATAAGACGTTACATTCAATTAATGTACAAATTTGGTCTGCTTTGTAGCTAGATTTATTTCTCAGCAAATGCTCCCTTCCAAAGGGGGGACTCTGGGGGTATTTCCTAGTCAGATATCACAGAGACTATAGCTGCTTCAAAGTTCTCAACTGGTCATACATTCGGTATTTTAGCCGGTAGAAATGAAGCGCATGGTGGAAGGTCCATACTTCTGCCGGTATGCAATAGTGTTGAAGGGACTGGGCCGGCGCCTCCCACAAAGCTTGCATTGGTGACTCGAACCATGGTCGCATGATTCGCGGTGGCGGACGACTCGATAGATTCTTGACATGTTTTCTTACGCGGAGGACTGCATGTTTCCCCATTAGTTGCCTCAGATAATAGACTCATTCATAGCGCCAGGGCTAGGTCCACCATTTCCTTGCATGGATGGAGGACTCGGTCTTTGTGGTGTAGAGGCCTTTGCAGACCGCGAGAATAGCTCGTTGAGTCTGGCATATAGCTCGTTCACAGCGGGAAGGTTGGGAGGTGGTGTCATGATCGCTGGCGTTGGGGGCACGACGCCGCCCGCTTTCTTCGCTCGATCGGCGATAGTCGCGAGGTAGGCTAGGTTGGCTTGTAGGCGTCGCATGCACTCAATGTATTCGGGGCTCGGTTTCTGACTGGCTTTGGATGCATCCGGTTGCTCGGACGCCGGTGAGTTTGTATCCGGGTTGGAAGCGGGGCCAGCCTTGCCGGCGGCTTGAAGGTTCACCACCTCTTGCAACAAGGCCGAGTTGATGTCGAGGAGGGCGGTGACGCGGGCCTTTTCACGCGCCGCAAACTGAGCTTGAGCTTGGGCTTGGGCTTGCGCCTGAGCCTGATTTGGAGCCGCAGGAGAGGCACCGGTTTGGGGCGAGTTCATTTGCGAAGGGGGTTTGGGCTGTGTGCCGAGTATGTTGTTCGCTGATATGGAAGCCATGTTTTGAGAGAAGGTCTGCGCTACTTGAGATGGCATGTTTGCGCTGGATGTGCCGTGAGGGGCGGCAAATTGACTCATGGGGGTAGGAATGGGAGCCTGGGTGTAAGGCGCTGTGAAATTATCCATAGGTGCTGCTATTATCATTAAGCATGTGGTCAGTCCAAGGTATTTCAACAAAACAAAGCGACCTGGATGGTAGATAGCAGTAAACAGGAGACAAATGGTCAAAGCCAAACAGTGCCAAGATTCAATGTAGCGGCAGGGCTAATTTCATTTAAGCCGTAGGGTCTTAGGGGGCGGGTGACACAAGCATGAGGGGGCTTGAGTGGAAATAATCCAATCCGATCTTGAGCCCCATGAGCCCTTCGATCTCCCCAAGAATTTGAGTAACAATTCTACCCCGCTGGGGTAAAAGTGACAGGTGCCCCGTGCCAATGATAACAAAAAAAAAAGGGGAAGGGGGAGACGAACCGGAAGATTGTTGGGGGAAACCTGAAGGCATCATAGCTCCACCAGGACCAGGCTGCATGGGCATAGCACCAAAATGTTGAGCGGAGGGTGTCTTTGATTGGGGGTATGGGGGAGCGGCGTTAGTGTAAAAAGGCATCTGTTGGTTTTGGGGGCTCTGTGTCGGGACGGAATAGCCTGCAGGATAACCAGTATTGGGGTCCATTGTGTATTGAGGGACCATCACGGTTGAGGGTGGCTCCAGGGATTCTTTTTCGCCCTGTAATACTCCTTCTCCTCAGCGATCCCCTCGATTTAGGGAAGCTACTGTGGCTGAATTACGCAGGCCGCACGGACGAGACGGTGAAGGCCCAACAGCGCTTGTTGACCAGGAATCCAGGGATGGATGGGGTGAGATTTTGGCGCGACCTCGAGGCTGCTAGAAACCAAAAAAAAGACAGTGGTGATTGGCTCAGTCAAGAGGCAGGGATGTATTGTATTGGCAACCCGGCTTTCACCAGCGAACTGGGACTCGGAGCAAGACAGATTTTGGTGCCCAGATTCAGAGCGATCAGCCGTGGGCGGGCTAATGCAGCGGAGCCCTTTTGGAATGGTGGAGACACAGGCTCAAATAATGCTGGAATGATAATGGCAAGATCTCAAGTTGACTTGAAACTTGACTTCGTGATTCAGATCTAAGCGTGTACTTGATGTTTACCGGAGAGAGTCACTGGCGTCCACAATGAAAGTGACATTCGAGAGTCACGGGGTTCGATATATACTGCCTCAGGCAATAGATATATTGATGCCTGAAATATATGGTGGAAAACCATTGTGTTAACCAACTAGTAGTTTTCACCAGCGAATGGGCCACACGGGCGAGTGGGCCATTCGCTGGTGAAATACGTTAATTAATCTCGACATCCAATTTACTTTTTCATAATATACAACCGGCTTATGATTCCCCTGTATTTGACGACATACGAATTGAATAGTCTCAATATATATTAAATTAGGTTGAGATGATATCAGAGACGCTGTAACTAGTTATAAAGATATTGCTACCATATCTTTTTGCCCGTTTTCCTTTCTAGCCAGGTGTGTGGAAATATGGTCCAGACAACTGCGGAATACTCGTGGGAAATAGTATGACCAAAAAGCTAAACGATATAAATACATTATTCAAGTGTAAACTGTCAAAACTGACCCATGGGCTCTGCCAGCTTCGATAACAGACTGCTTCCCTCTGAATTTCTTTTGCGGCATAACGACTTTCAGTCTCTCATTACACCACCACGCATGCAATCATCCTCTTACCGCCATATTATTTATCACATGATATTGAGGTATGATTCTTATTCTTACTGTTGTTGGACTTTTCCTTATTCTAGACCGACGGCTCACATATACGGGGGTGCCGGAAAAAACGTTGTCCACGGACTTAAGATAGCCGAGTCCCGCAGTAAGGATGTCATAACTAGTTAGGGAGCGCACTCCGTACTAAAATGTTCTTTCCTAAAAGAGGCTAGTGCTTTGTACAACTAGGTATGTATGTATTTGCCAGCAACTGCTTGGCACGTATACTGCGGCGATCAGTATTCACGGTCCCCTTGAATCATGGGGCATTGGGCACACCGTTCATACATGACAAAGGGGGTTTAAATATTACGGCCTGCATACGGAGTACAACCTACTCCGTACTATGTATAATTCTACGAAGGATTACAAACTAACCAACACTGACATGTCAGGAATTACCAAACGACACATCAAGTACTATATTTCTAGACGATCCTCCGTGAATTTCACTTATAGTCAATCAATGTCTCTGAACTCTACCACAAAGGCATGTGATATGGTGCAGGGTTTAGGAGCAGGGGATAAACAGAACCATGGTTAGAAGATGGGTGTGAACAAACCCAAAGGTTGAGAATTTTGTGCTTAGATCAATTGGATAAGTATACTTAGACCACGGTTGTGCATGCATAGTCTGCACGTATATGCAGCACGCTAGAAAGGGGATTGTGGGCCACGGTGAAGCGTCATCTGGACGCCACAGGGTAGATTAGGAGTCCCGATTTCCAGGAAATGCAAGTCGGATATGCGCAATTCGTGCGAATAGGATAATGGGGCTGGGAAATGGCGTGGATTGCCAGCCCCTTAGCCTGCCAAGATCTCATGAGAGTATCTAGTCCAATAGATGTTACCCAGGGATAAGTCCAAACTCTAAACTCAATCTCATTCCCGTCGATTTACCGTGGGACATCTATCATTTCAAGATGCCCATGTGGCTGAGGCGTGACGCTCATTTAAACTCGGACTTGTCAGCTGGATGTTCTCCGGTATGATTTATTGCCTTTGCACGTCAGCGGCTTTTTGAAAGCAGAATTAATATGCTCTGAAGCCTCGAGGGACGAACAGATACACTTTTCTTTTTCTCCACAGGGAAACATCCAAGAATTGATCTTATCGTGCATTCTAGAATTGTTTGTGAATAAGTCAAGTCCAAATTAGGCAATCTATAAAATCCATACATCTAGTCCATACTAGTGCTATACCAGATCGTATGGGAAATACGGGTGGCAAATTGAACCGTGGCTCATTCCATATTGGATCGCATTCTTTAATCTGCCAATCCCAGAACCCCATTTTAGGGTGTCGATCCAATTATCCCGGCCGTGAAGTTGAGGTTTTTCAGGCGAGACCGAGCTAATCCCGCTCGGCCGGTAAATATAGGAATTGCTAGGTGGCTTCGGTGTTTGCTTAATAAACTTCGTATTCCACCAGCCACTGATGACAGTTTCCGTTTTTGTTTAATAAACTTCGTATTCCACCAGCCACTTATGACAACATAGTGCATTGGTCAAATAAAGCTTCATATGCACAAACCCTGAGATATGGAGAGATATCGGGCATCCCCTATGCATCATCACGTATCTTACAGTAAACAGTATGATCCAGCACTTTGGTCAGTATTCTCATTCTGCGGATTAATCCGTGAGGTTACAAGCAAGGAGATGTATACTCCGTACAAAGGTACAACTTCGGAATATTGGGCGCAAGGCAACCAGATGGGTAGAATCCGCCTCAAAACGTCCCGCCGATCATTATTTCATTTTCCATGACATTTTTTTCTATTCATGTCTGATGCTGGTCTAGAATATGGGTGTGTGATGTACACCGAGAGTAGTGGGCTATTTATCCATTCTTCCTGTTATTGGTCCACCGAATATCAAAATACCAATTGATATTCATTATCACGTCTCACAAGGGCCTTGGGGCTGATTATTATTCGCATGCAGCAGCACGGTTTTCTAGGTTTCTTATTGTGCGGCTAGGGTATGATATTACCAGACATATACGGAGTACTCCGTAGCATGCTCTACGCATGATTGAATGGACTGAGTGTTTGGAGTGGAAATGGCTTAATTACCTCTAAATGAAATAGTCGTCGATATACAATTGAATACAAAACAGAGCTTGCAATGTCAAGTTCAGATAGATGTTCGGGGAATTCACCTGTGGCTATACACCGAGATTGTGATAGGCCAGTAATAGGGAAACAAATTCCGGATTGAGATCAGGCCCTAAAATACTCCGCTGTCTGTTTCGATACTGTATTAGTTTTGGTGCTTTGTAGATCCATCCTTTCCTATTCTCCACAGGGGTTTGTTTGCAGTTGGGTCTCTCCACTTTCGACGCGCTATAGTTAGCTGCTATACATATGGAGGGAGTGTCGGAGCCGAAAAGGCCCAGCTGTTTATAAATTTATGCGTAAGCACCATCATCTCCTTCGGTACTCACTGATCGGCAGTCGCAAGCTGGCGAGCATTGATATTGTGTATGACGAAAGTCGCAGCATATGGTCTTTTGCTTCTCTCCCAAATTTCTTATAGAAACCCCACTTCTTCTCCCCTTTGTGACTTGGGAGGTAAACTTGACAAGTTTGCTCGTACAAAATCTGGGGTCAGCCTTTTGGGTCCATGCCATAGGGTATTTACATCCTGTTCATGTGATCGACCTCGACAGAGCTGACCCTAGCCAGGCCCCCTGGAAAAGATGTCTAGGCAATCGCCAGAGGAACATGAATATACCCATTTTGCTATGATCTACATCGATAGGGATGGGAATCTTTGCCAAAGGGCCTCCGAGTCCATTTCGGAGAGTCGTCAGACCATCCTTTCTCCTCGGGTCACCGGTGAATTCCTCCGAGCAGTGGCGATGTCGAGAGAAACCCACACACATTCTCAAGGTAAGGTTTCTATTGACCCCACATGATGTGTTTTACTGACCTGGAAAGTTTCTCCCGAGGTCCAAGTGCCTTCTAGCGGGGCTCAATCGCAGGAGTCCGTCGCATATAGTGGAATGAGCTTAGGTAGTCAACAGAGACCGTCAGGTCTAGGTCAACCAGAGTCCGCATTCCGGCCGACAATATGGCAATCCAGCGAGTCCTGGTCTCTACAACCCAGCCCACAACCTAAGAAGAAGAATTTTGGAGGTCGGAGCCTCAACTTGGCCTCTCAGCAAAAAACCACAATCTCTGTAAAAGAGAGGGGTCTTATGCGACTCTACTATGAGAAAATATTTCAAAACTTGCAACAAACAAACTGCCGAATTATCGCAAAAGCCTACATCAAATTAGTCGAACCGCGCAAACAAGTTAATTACCCATACAATGGACGGAAGATCGTGGAAGGGAGGACTCAACAGCTCGATCCGGAGGCAACTAAGCCACCGTGGTGGCCACGTGGAGTGAGCCACAGAGAGCCGGATCATCTTCCAAAAGTTGGTAAGAAAAGAACTATCATTCTGAATATCCTACCATGCTGACAATGATCAGAGCGCATTCGACTTTTGGTATACATTCTCACCGAGATGCGCAAAACCCACGGAATCACAGCAGCCAGATTAAAACAATGCGATCAACCCATTCGTCGTCAAATTCTCCCAGTCGAGCGTTTACAAATCTTGGACGAAGCATATCGAGTTCGTGAGGAGGAGGAAAGATTTCTCGATGGGGTTTCAGGTACATACTTGCCCCCATTATCTTGTAAACCCTCAAAGGCTGACAGATATCAGACGGGAAACACGTGTGTATAGCTCGCACCAATCTCCCTCAAATAGCAGAAGACACATCCAGCGGACAAAGCTCGCCAACCGAACCAGGCCCTTCCCATAATACCGTCGAGTCCGAGTCCAGCGACGGAATATCTGGCATCGATATAACCAGAGCCACCTCCGGAGACCTCCCAAGCGCTCCATCATACAATCCTTCCCATCCCTATAACCCAGCAATGCACATGAGCCCAAACATGCAATACCAGCCCGCCGGCCCTGCTACAACCATGTCAGCACCATCGTTGGAATTGCGACCAAAACACGAACCACTATCTGCTGGGACGCATTTGATCGATCAGACACGTCCCGTTAGCCTCGCGCACTATCCATACCCTGGTGTTTCTGGAATTCAACCAACACCGATGGAGTTCTATGGTACACCTGATTTGTCTCATGATACAGGTGTTCCAATCACCCAGACCTCGACAGGCAACTTGTCGACAGAACCAATGATGCCATACGGCCACCCCTACTATTTCAACTATTGAGCGCTTAAGCATGGGCCGGAGCACACATAATGTCTTTTTTACGATAATGAATTTTGTTCGGGTTGCAATGAAGCGAGACAACTTGAACTTGTAATCAATTGATCCTGACTTTGAGGGGGAAAAAAAAAAGATCTAGAGAAATACAAAAGTGGATGAACACACGTCGACCTAGTTTCCCTTCAGCACTATGAATCATTGCCCTGTAGAACTAACTACAGGCACTGCGAGTACCATTCACTGGCGACTTTACAGGTTCCGCTGGCGCAAGTTGTGCTTCCAGTCCAGTTCTTGCCACCACATTGACCGTAGAGAGGGGCGCCAGTAGCACCACCACCACTGGAAGTAGTTGTGACAGTAACAAAGGTAGTGGTAGCAGTAGCGGTAGTGTCGGGAGTTACACCCAGACCAGCCAAGATACCCGCATAGGCGGGCTTCTTCACCAAGTTCGCATCCCAAGGGAGTGCATCACCCTCACCATCGAATGTGCTAGGAACCCAAGAGTACTTGTCAGTGTAATCCCAAATAGTAATGCCGATACATTTGGCATTTGCAATACACGCCGCAACGGTATTTTTGTAATCGGAAGACTGCTGGGTGAGCAAGGCAGCAGTTGATGGCAGAGTCATACGGATGTCAAGTTCGGTATAGGCAACCTCGACTCCCAGGGCTGTAATCGCGGCCAAATTGCTAGTCTGTGCGCTCTGGCTAGGGGTGCTGCCGACAATGAAGTGTGCCTGTAGGCCGACACCATCGATCTTGGCTCCGTACTGCTGTACGAGCTTGACGATTCTTTGGGCACCGGTTGACTTGGCACCGGGCGATTCGATATTGTAGTCATTGTAGTAGAGCTTGGTGTCTGGGTCTGCGGCAGCAGCGGCGGCGAACGCGATGGGGAGGTATGCTTCGCCGATGGTTCGATAGAAGACACTGTCACGATAGGTGCCGTCCTCGTTGAGAGCTAGCAAACTAGGTATTAGCTATTTGATAATATCATTCATTACCATATGTATGACTTATGGCTTACCTTCGTTGACAACATCCCAAGCATAACATTTGCCCTTGTAGTGAGTCACCACGTTGGTGATATGGTTCTTCATGGCAGCAATTAGAGTCACGTTGGTCCATGTGCCACTTGAGACTATTTACTAATTAGACCACTATTTAGGCAAAGACACGCAAGATAACAAAACTTACCCCAATTGGGCAATTGGCTATGCCAGACCAGAGTATGGCATCGCAGCTTTTGGCCATTTGCAGCAGCAAGGTCGGCAACGACATCTCCTTTGGTATATGAGAAGGTGTTTTGAGATGGCTCGATTGAATCCCACTAGCGATGATTAGCGAGGACCTGAATAGCACGATAGGACTTGTCTAACCTTCTGCGAATTGCCGGGAGTGATTTGACCAAAGTCGTCTGTGTTGCTCAATTGGGCAAGGTATGGGGCATCAGTCAACTCGGGGTTATCCGTGGCTGATCCGAAGTATAGCTTTCCCTTCGCAACAGCAGCATTGTGCAATCCAGCTCCTTGGGTCCTATAAGAAATAGATATCAACCACTGTTAATTTATGGGAATTGAAAGGTGAAGCATACAGTTGAGGAAGAACACTGGCCAATGCCAGGGCAATAGTGGAATAGTGAACCATGACGAGGTAATCAACGCCGATTTTTGAATTTATCCTAGACCTGAAATGAGGAATTGAAAGGATCAAGCTCTTTTTATAGCCGGAGCTACACAGCGACAGCTAAATTGTCAGGGGCATTTTCAGCATCTCCCCCGTGGCTCGGTAGTTTTCATATTTTACGGGCCGATAGCCCGTGGCGTAACTAGTTGTCGCGGCCTTTTGAAATAGTTAAATGGGCTAGGTCGCTGCTTAGATGCCTAAGAGCACGAATTCGTGCATGAAATTCATCGCTTTAGCCAGGGAAACAGACACTGGGCCGGACGCCACATGGTGGACGGGGTAAAGACGGATGACGGAGCAAATTCCGTATTTTCTTCACGGCAAAAAATGGCGCGTCAAACTCTCCGGAAGTGAAGCTGAAGAAAGGACTAAAAGATGACCGGGTAAATTCGATCTCCACTTCCACAAATCCGGGGAATCTTCACGTCCACTCTTTTTCCCCTTCTCGAGTATAGCTTGGCGAATCAGAATCAACTTGGTAGGCCGGGATGAACATGTTTCCCACGATTCAGGCTAGACAGGCCATCCCCTCTTTTAGATGAACCTACGTTAGCGCTGAGCATACACCATACGATCAATGTATACCGGACAGGATTTCCTCCGACTCGGCTTAATTAGCCCATTGAAAAGTGCAGCGAACGCGATTTGAAGCTTCGGGGAAACCCTCAAACCGTCACACGCCCAGTTGTTTTCCTGAAAGCATATGCTGTGCGGCGACAGACATATTGCCGGAACTCGTTTTCCTGTGGTGCATGCGTGTATGACAGTGAACATCTAGATTCAGCTATATTTCTAGGGTATTGCCTATGAGCTTGGCACGATCGGCTATTGCCCCTTTGCCGACTTCATCCGACATCCCAGACCAGAACATGAAAGAGATGCTGGAAACAGAAAGTAGTAGTTTGAGAGTGAAGACATCAAATCCTCAATTTTCAGCTTTCCTGACTTTCCTTCCGATCTTTTCCATATCAATGTGCCCGGAGACCCTGCATATTTATCATCAATATGCGATGCAAATTGCGATCCATATTGCACAACCAATGTCATTCATATAGCAGCTACGATCGATCTGAGCCTACATGTACGAAGATTTCCACTTGGTCTTGGAGTTGGATTATGATCAATGGCCCACAGGACCTTTAGCTTCCAGAGGAGGCGGAAACGCCTCAATGATATCTATGAGAATCTGAAAATGCGTCTATGTACACAAGGCTGGCGCTTTGAAGGGGTATCAGATTTTATAACGTCATGTTGCTCCGTGGTAGGACCAGAGGCCAGAGTCAACAGCGGTTAGGTACCACCGCTGTAGCCAAATCCAGACCATCAGGTCGATGGGCAGGGGGTAGCACCCCTCCCATCGGTGTGATGATTTTGTGGACGCAAATTCCATAGAAATGCACGGGATCGGTTCGAAATTGGGGGGCGGCTTCAAATTAATGAAATGCCGCTCAGCCAGTCTTCCGAGCCTTCATCTCCGCAATGTATTTACTGGTCTTGGAAAGAGGCACGATATTGATGGTGACAATCTCATCCACAACCTCGACCTTACCACCAGAAAGAATCTGTAATAAAGGCAGCTTCTTGCCAGCCTTGATCAAACCACCAGTGACAGTCTGCATATAGCATTCAACACCTTCGATGGTGTATTCCTTCTTGGTATCCCAAGGAAGGGGGAAGATGTAATCCAAATGGTCCTCGATCGCGTTCATCTCCGAGAACGACTTGATAAAGTCTGACTGGGCATCCATGGGATAGAGGAAAACGACCGGGAACTCGATTGTGCTCTCTGGCGAGAGAGGATCAGGGACTAGGCGGATCCTGGCATCTTCCAAATCAGGAGGCTGATCGGTTTTGCGGGTTCTGATCATACGGGCACGCAGAGCTGTGCTGAGGACCATATTCTTCTTGCGCGCCGTTTCTTCTTCGGCTCTCTTCCTCGCGGCAGCACGCTCCAAAAGGGCCTTGCGCTCGGCAATCTTTTTGGCAGACTCTTGAAGAGCCTTACTTTGTGGGTCAATTGCCAATCCTCGGGTTACAGAATCTTCGGCCTCGGCGATTTTGTCCAACTTGAAAAGTGCCAGCGAGGAGCGATAGAAGGCCTTCACGTTTTTGGGGTTGAACTTCAGAGCGGCAGCACAGTCGAGAGTACAAGTACGGTAGTTTCCTGCAGAGGAAATATATTAGCCAATGTTCCGTACAGCCAGGACGATAAGACATACCTAGTTCCAAGTTGCACAATGCCCGGTTGATGTAAGATGCCTCTTCCAACTTGCGCAACAGCGCCGCCTCTTCCACAGGATCTTCGGGTGCCTCCCACTTATCAACCTTGGCGTTGATGACAGCAATAGCCTTTGTGTAAAACTCCTTGGCGTCAATCCACTTCAGTTCCTGTACGGCTTCATTGCCTTGTCCCTTGAAGCTGTTCGCAACCTCACCCCTGGTACCTTCGTTCTGCAGAGCCTGCAGGGCATCTAGGAGCACGTTTTCACCCTCTACAAACCCATATATGTTAGTCAAATGAAACGACCCTATTCAAGGAATGATCTAACGTACTCTCGTCGCCTGCATTCTCAATGTCGGTCATGAACAGAGGAGTTTTATTCATCATTGCTATCAACTCCTCTGAAGAATGCGACTGAACGGCCGCAATAGCCGGGGGAAGTTCAGGTGCATTGGGATCGGTTTGGCGTGCCTTCAGTCCCTCCTCGTTGATTGGGAAGGGAATTTCATTTGTAGGAGCGAAGAAGTCAAACCCAGGCTGGGCGACCTCGGGTGGAGCCTTGTTGAGATCAAGTGCCTCATCAAAGTCATCTGGAAGTTCTTCGACGCGCGCCATCTTGAGGGTTCGTCACGGGAAAATGTATTGCACTTTCGGAGATTTGGAGATCGTCCAGATGCTTAGAAATGATGCCCACACTGCAAACAATGCAAACAGGAGGGGGACTGGTCGGCCCTAAGCCCTATTACCGGATTAGTCGGAATGTAATGATATTTAAAGATGTAAGATTATTATTTGCCAAGAAGGAAATGAATCAAAAAGAGGTAAACAACTATAGGAAGATTTTTTTTGGTTTAAAATCAAACATTCCACGATGTACTGGATGTTTCTAGTCTGACAATTGCATGTGGAGAGCCATGTAGTGCCTCAGGCCTCAACTTTTGATAGCCTTCTAAGGTTGGCAGTCTATCAATTTGTTGCCGTTGGGTTATATTCCACCATATTTGCTTCACTATTGGAATAGTTCTATCAAAAACCTCCTATAACAAGAAACAAGGCATATATTACACTGTTTGATACCCGAGAAGCTATTCTACTATGCAATGACAATACTACCTAGTAGCAGTACCGGAAACCTCAGCCTCATCTTATATACTATGTACCCACAAAGACAGCCCCACAGGAATTAGACTACATGCCTCCTTAGCCCTGTGACAGATCTCCGCACATCGGAGGCTATGTTGTCGGCGAAAACCCGACCAAATCAAACCCCGCATCAGTCGGGTGAAAGACCGAGCTCCGATATAGGCTATATATAGTCCTGAGTGCCGATGGTATAAACTCATTGATTTATCCCAAATACTCCTTTGTAACAACAAATATCACAGTACCATGGCCAAAACCTTCAACATCCTCGTCCTACCCGGCGACGGCATCGGCCCGGAAATCATGGCCGAAGCTGTCAAGGTCCTGAAGGTCTTTGAGACACCCGAACGCAAGTTTGAACTGCGGCAGGAGTTGATTGGAGGTTGCAGCATTGACGCTTATGGCAAGTCTGTGACTGAAGAAGTCAAGCAGGCTGCTCTGGACTCAGATGCAGTGCTCTTCGCTGCAGTTGGAGGACCGAAATGGGATAATCAACGTCGTGGCCTTGATGGTCCCGAGGGAGGGCTACTCCAAATACGTAAAGCCATGGATATTTATGCAAACCTACGCCCATGCTGTTCTACATCGCCGAGTGCCTCTATCGCCAAGGAATTCAGCCCGTTCAAGCAAGAGGTTATTGAAGGTGTTGATTTCGTTGTCGTTCGCGAGAACTGCGGAGGTGCCTACTTTGGCCGCAAGGTGGAAGAAGAAACATACGGTGAGTTGGGCTGAGATCCAGCTGTATTGAATCGCGATCTAACCTTTTTCTTCTACTACAGCGATGGACGAATGGGGCTACTCCGAAGCCGAGATCCAACGAGTCACACGTCTATCCGCTGAAGTGGCACTGCGACACAACCCCCCTGGCCTGTGATCTCACTAGACAAGGCAAATGTACTAGCTTCTTCACGACTCTGGCGCCGGGTAGTGGACAAGACTATGGCAGCCGAGTACCCACAGGTGAAATTGGTGCACCAACTGGCGGACTCTGCGTCATTGATTCTAGCAACAAACCCGCGATCCCTGAATGGCGTTATCCTGGCTGACAATACCTTTGGCGACATGATCTCTGACCAAGCTGGGTCTATTGTGGGTACACTGGGTGTATTGCCGAGTGCCAGTCTCAACGGTCTGCCTGGGGATAAGACGCTGAAGACACGACCTTACGGGCTGTACGAGCCTACACATGGATCTGCTCCGACGTAAGTGCCAAAAACATGATTAGAAGGGCTGTTCTAACTTTGCTATAGTATTGCGGGACAAAATATTGCAAATCCGGTTGCGATGATCCTCTGCGTCGCACTTATGTTCCGATACTCTTTGAGCATGGAAGATGAGGCTCAGCGTGTGGAGGATGCGGTGCGCAAAGTGTTGGACTCTGGGATTCGGACGTCTGACCTTGGGGGTAAGGCTGGGACTAAAGAAGTTGGCGATGCGATTGTGTCTGCACTATAAAGTATGAAACGTTGGAACATATGATTTGATTATGTATCAATGAGTGCTTCAAAGGACGAAGCCCCAAACATATGCATCAAACTGATCAATGATAAAGAGAAGAAATCGATCAAAGGCAATGTTTGTTAGCTGAAAACTGGGGTTGAAAGAACTTTAGATAATACATTACATGATTTTCATATTCTTCTCAGATTATAATTACATTGGCATCATCTGAGAGATTTTCATTCTTCCTCCATTCTTGCTCCTCCCCATGTCTACAAACCCACCTCCCAAGCCTGGAGCTTCGTCACAACACGAGTCTAACCGCACACTCAACATGTCAGCCCAAAACCCGAACACCCAGAACACCCCATCTACACCAGCGATGGCACCGCACCAACCAATCCAGATACCAAGCACACCAGGATCCTGTGCTCTACGTCTCGAAAACCTAGAACAACAAACCTCCACCATGAAAGGCGAGTTGATGGCATCAATCGCGGCCGATATCTGCGCCACATTTATAAGCATCGCAAAGTACTCCGAAGAAGGCACACTACAGGCAAAGCATACAGGCGTGATCGACAAGGTGATCCAGACAATCCGCGACACGGACGTGAAGTATCGACACTTGCTCGATCGACAGGTTCGCGGACTGCGCAAAGAGAGGAAGTGGATCCGGAAGAAGTATTCGCGATTGGCCGGACAGGCGGATGGACTGGGTCGCACGTATCAGACGAAGGCGCGGAAGCTGACAATTTCCCTACGAGAGACGCGAGGGGAGGTGGTGCGTTTACAACGTGAGCGGGATCTGTTGCGGGCTTGCGTGAAGAAGAATGAGACTCCGAATGACAACGTTGATGGGGAGTTTGAGGTTGATGCGGGGGAGAGCGATGGAGAGTATGAGATTGCGGGCAGAGATGAAACTGTCAATGAGGTAGATATTTGATTTCTCTCAGTGTATCATATTGTTTCCTATGATGAATCTTTGTTTTCTTTCAGCTTTCACTGGAAACATTTTCTTTGTTCAGCCCTGACCTTAAGGGCAAAAGAGGTCTGATTTTTCTCAAATATGACACCCATTTCAACTGTATATTGCCAAAAGTATAGTAATATGCATCGGATTTGCCTAAATATTAGTATCAGATCTGAGTGTCCAAGTCGGCTTTAGAGTTCCGAGGTCTGAATCGGCATTTGATGGCGAATGTGATTTTGTTTTAGCTGATATTGTAAGGCGAATCACTTAAGGGTATGAAATCTAGACCATCGGAAGTGAGAAATGCATCGGAAATAGTCGCCACAATCACAGAGCAAGACAGTGCATGTCGTCCAAGTCCAACCTCGGCATCTTCAATCGGCGCAGGTTGATTCGGCCCGCGGGATCCACCGACTTCCATGTGGAAAGTCTGGGGGTCCCTTTTTCTGCTTCTTTTCTATTCCCTTTCTGCTCTTCTTCTTCTTCTTCTTTTCTTCTTCTGCTCTTTCTGATCCTCAATCCTTTCACTTGAACCCATTCCACGGATCCATCTCGACGACGTTGAGTTTGTTCAATTTCTTCCCGAGAAATCTACTTCGGACCGCCTTATCGGCCGAGACCAACAATGAGCACTCACGACTATGAAGCCGTCCGCAAGGACATCGCCGACATCCTGAAGAAGCCCGGATATGATGATGGCAGTGCAGGACCCGTCTTCGTGCGCCTCGCATGGTAAGTAAATGCGATTCTCGAAGCCTTATCGTTTCCCGGTCGGGGCCTCGGATCACCGGCGGTGATAAGCCCTTTTCAATGCAACGTCGCTGACCATGATCTTAAATAGGCACTCGTCTGGCACATATGATGCCGAAACCGACACCGGTGGCTCCAACGGAGCCGGTATGCGGTACGAAGCCGAGGGTGGCGATCCCGCCAACGCCGGTCTGCAGCACGGACGGGCATTCCTAGAGCCGATTAAAGAGAAGCACCCCTGGATCACGTACTCTGATTTGTGGACTCTGGCCGGCGTAGTGGCGATCAAGGAGCTGGGTGGACCCGATATCCCCTGGCAAGGCGGACGAACAGATCTGATCGACGACAGCAAGCTGCCACCACGCGGACGGTTGCCAGATGGAGCCCAGGGCGCCGACCACCTGCGGTTCATCTTCAACCGCATGGGATTCAACGACCAGGAGATTGTAGCGCTGACGGGCGGACACAACCTGGGTCGGTGCCACGGCGACCGCAGTGGATTCGAGGGCCCGTGGGTGACCAACCCCACGCGGTTCTCGAACTCTTTCTTCAAATTGCTACTCCAGCTTGACTGGAAGCCTCGCAAGATGGCGTCGGGTAATACACAGTTTGTGTTTGAGGATCCTGATGCCGAAGAGGACGAGGAGCCGTTGATGATGCTGCCGACTGATATGGCGCTCTCGACAGATCCGGCATTTGCCCCGTGGGTTCAGCGGTATGCCGAGGATAAGGAATTGTTCTTTGATCACTTCGCCAACGTGTTTGCCAAGTTGCTTGAACTTGGTATCCGACGTGATGCTCAGGGAGCTGTGACCAACACCGACGGCACTCTTGGTGGGTACGTCTCGGCACCGAAGAAGAGCAACACTGCTACAGGCCCGCCCCGGGCGCGTCTGTAGAGTGACATCTTTTTGTTTTTTTTCTTACCTTGTTTTTGGATTAATTCCCCACTGCGTTAGTAGATCTGGGACTGCAAAATGCAGGATTTGGATGTGTAAATAGATCATAGATCATAGAATGTGATTATAACTGGATATCTGTTAGTAGGTGAAGTGAATTTATAAGGATGAAACAGAAACAGAAAAGAGGGAAAGGGGAAATCTGGGGAGTCTGGGGTAGAGACTGCGGGGAAATGCCATATTACTAAGTAGACTTCTGTATTAAAGGGAGTAATTATTACTGTAGAAAGGTACTATATGTATATTAAATATGTACTTCGGAGTACTATCTCGCATTATACAAACTCGGGCCTCGGGTATATCAAATAACAGCCCCCTGATTGGCAGATGGCTATGTTGAACTAGTATCAATGGTGTATAGTTATTAAATGAACTAAATGAAACAAAATATAATAACAAATCAAGGCAGCTCATCTTCTTCAGCTTCATCAGCTTCATCCTCATCAGCGTCACTGTCACTACCACCAGGCTGCCATGTCGGATCGTTGTCTTTCTTCCTCGAATTCCTTAGTCCCCGTCTTCTTGATATCTTCGGCGTCGCCTCTATCTGCTTCTTCTGTTCTTCCCGTTGTCTTTGCTGTTTATAGTATGCCTCTCTCGTCCATTTCGGGTCTTTCTCCGGCAATTCTTCACTTTCATCTTGCTCTTCCTGTTCTCTCTTCTTATCGAGCTCCATTTGCCCTTTCCCTTCCTCTCTCTTCTTTAGTTCGAGCTCCTCTTGTTTTTTCCGCTCCTCTCTTTTCTTTCGATCTTGATCCTGCTTCTTTTGCTTTTCTATCATCTGTCGGTGGCGCTCCTCGTTTCTTTCCCTCTCCTCCGATTCTGCATCACTATATCTCTTCCTCGAGTTGAATTCATGTATATTCTTTGAATGTAGGGCCTGCTTCTGCATCGGATCTAAGACCTGCTTCGCCATAGCGTAGTTTGCCATCGCGGACCTCTTGAGTTGATTACCGTGCGTACTGTCAAAGTGTCGATTTCGAATCTCAGCCATAGCCTCCTCCGCATCTGGCATGGTAGCATTTGACCATCCAGTGCCTCTGCAATTGCCTAGTTGGGGCGATTGCGGCGTTGGGGGAGACATAGGCAGCTCGGGGAAATCCAAAACTCCTTCCTCACCAGGTAGACCTGAAGGCCACCTTTCAGGATGTTGACCGAGCCAGCGCGGATCCTGCAGCATCGACTGGAATATATGGCTATTGGTCTCATCCTCAGGTTCCTCTTGCTTGGTGCTCACTTGGTTCTCAAGCCTCGTCGCGGTGAATATTGAGGACAAGTCGAATTCCGGAGGTGTGTTTGTGGAAAAAAGCAATGGATCAATGAGTGTTGGGTCAATGACTAATGGATCAAACAGTGCCGGATCAATGTGACTTAGGGGCAGATCGGGTACAGCAGGCTTTTCAATGGTTGGTTTGGGGGGTGGGTTCGGTGTTGCCCAGCTGGGGTTGAAACTGCTGAAGCGTTCGCCGTTGTGTGAAAGCAGACGAGGCCATGAATCCGGCTGTCGCAGAGGAATTGATGGTTTCCAAGGGATGTGTTCTTCAAGAACGTTCTTGTTCTCGCTCACGCAATTGTTCAGCTCAAGAATCGCGTTGTTGGCCTTTGCCAAAAGGTCGGGGGTGGGATTCAAGATGCGCTCATAGAAAATGAGAGGAATAGCCTTACGGTGAAACCATTCAGGGGGTACTTTCTCTTCCGGTTGAAATGATGTAATTCCACCGACAATTACCCCGGAATTGACTTGGCTATCGTACATCATAATATTCGAAAGATCTTTCTCGCCTCGTTTCGTATCAGTCCAGAATAAACGAGCATGGGATTCGTTGTTATATATGCCGCCAAGCCAACGATAGTGTGCGATCTGCTGCTTGTCTTCATAGTCTATGTAATTAAACTTGAGGTTCTCTGTGTGATTTTTAATTCGCGTCTTGATATCTGATGTTATCACCAGACGCAGTGGGAGTTGACCGATCTTTCGTTCTCCAGTAACTCCCATCGGATCACCACACTTATCACATTTGAAAGACTTTCGTGGGTAGAAACATCGCTCGATCAACTCTTGCAAATCTACTCCTCTTTCATCACCTTGTTGGTAGCCAGGTAAAATGCAGGACCCTTGGTGAGAGTTGTAGAACGGAACGGCGAACTGACAGTGGCAAGGGGTCACTCGCTCAACGTGGTGATAGCGGAATTGAGCGAAGCTTCTTGTGGCCGCCGACCATACTGCCCAAGGAGGAATCGGTTCTCCCATCTTCAAGCCGCTTGAGCTATCGATGAACATCCGGAGCCACTCGTCACGCACAAATATAGAAGTCTTGTCATCAAAGGTCTCCCAGCTCGCCATTGTCACTTCGATGAATGCTTTTTCAAGAGGTTTGAACTCAGCTGCCCGATTGTGTGCGCGATCTATCTTGGTACAACCAGCATCGAGTAGCATCGCCGCTACAATAACAGCATCCGTGGCACAAGACATAGAGTCCCAGATAGGACCGCGGCCACGGACCGGGTATGATCTGCCATTTGGATCCCAATCGAAGGTTAATGGCGACAGCTTTACAGTCGACGTGGTGGGGAAGGCTCCAAGTTTCATCGAGAGCAGATCCCTGTAGGACTGGGCGGTCCGGAGGCAAACGGGTTTTTCAGTAGACGGAATGCTGGGATCACGGTCCAAGTCAGCATACACGATCTGCATCACAGCTCGTTCTATGGCGTCTGTAATTTTTCGCGTGTCAACCGGGCGTGGGGGTTTCGGAGTAATGGGGCTTAGACGGTGCACTCCAATCGGTGCCACTTTAGAGGAAGGTGCCAGACTAGGCGTCCAGGTGAAAGTTGTGATATCCTCAGCCGCAAAGACGGGTTCTTGAAACGGTGGAGTGGGAGAACGAGGGCGACCTCGGTAAGCAGGAGCGCCGGGCGAAATTTGTCTCGCGCGCTTGCTACGAGATTCCTTCCCTTCATCTACACCTCGTTTTTGGCCTGGCGCAGGACCTGGTATCTTCGTACCTGGCGGATCAGTCAATGAGAAGGCCGGTGTAAATTCGACTCCCGGGTTCATGTGTTGTAGCAGATGCATACGAAGGACTTCCTCTTGCTGTACCTGGAGTGTTGGCGCTGGAGGTGGTGGGGGTGGGGGTGGTGTGAACAAGCTGTCAGCTGAGTACATATACTGTTGAACAAGGTAGTCGGGCATATCTGGTGGCACGTCCATAGGGCGTATATATGCATTCATGATACGTGTGCTCACATCCGGAGCAGTATTGTACCACCTACTGAGTGGCTTTGGGCGCGGATTGAGGTCGTATCTCAAGAGTCGTGGCCCAGAATCTCGGTTAACATTGAGCATTTCGAACCAAGTCTTCGGACGATGACGTTCTTGCATGTAGTAGATGAGCTTGAACAAAATCATCTGCTGGGCCTTAAGAGTTGGCTGCTTTCTCGTTGTCTGGGAGGTCTTGTGCGATTCCTCATAATGCATTCCCCAGAAGTAATGCTTCAACAACACTTGCACCTGCGGGAGCCTCAAGGCACGACTATGACCCCCTGCATATTACTGAATTTAATATTGAAATGAGACCAGTCGTCAGGCGGATTAGGAAGACGGGTGAAATCGAAAAGAGGCAAGGGCGGCGGCGGATGCTCGAGGTCCTCCGGCCTTGCTGGGAAATCGGAAAGGGGAGGAATCTCCAGCGGAGAGTTAGGATTACTCATCTTGATGAACTGGCAGTGAAGGGATCACGGTCTAGAAAAATGCCATGATGGGCTCAGTCAAGGGCAATATTCTGATATTGGGGTGTCCTATATTGGAGGTGCTTGGAAACCATCAACGAAAGGGCGAAACGGTGCGAACCAAGCGCTTTAATGGACAACGAGGAACATCCATTGTCCAATATGTCAGCGTGAATGCCATATTTACCAACCGAAAGAAATAGAGTGGCGTATTGTAGATAGTAGGCACGAGATGAAAGAACACCCCGAGCGCCCCGAATCGAATGCCCATGGTAACATCTTGTTTCTTGATAGACAAAGCATTTAGATTCCAGTCAAGGTTCAGCAATCCAAACAAGGTTAGGGCCAAAGCAGCATGAGCGTGGTGGATTTCTATATCTGTCACATTAGCCCATAACTTCTTGGTTGAGGTCAAATCTAGATGATATCAAAGAATCGAGTAAAAATAGACAGGCACTTCCAATATCAACGGCAGTGTAGATCTGGGATTCCTTTCACAAAACAAAGAACATGAGTATCACCGAAGATCTTTGATCAAGTCGAAGGTTACATAGATTGAGGTTCCGGGTCTAGTGCAGGTACGAGATGTTGTACCACCTTGCTTGGCGGTGGGTAAGCCTAACTCAATTCTAAGAAATGCCCATCGAAGTGCAGAAGCGATTAGTATCAAGGCAGAAATCCCTGAGTGAAAAGAAACATATGGGCCAAAGATTGTATGGGCCAGCGGGTGCCAATAGACTTGGAGACGCGACCGGATCACTCAATCAAAGATCGGAAAAAACCATAAAAGAATACATGGATCAAAGGGTTGATAGCGCCACAGAGAAAATCACTACATGGACTTCATGGTAGAGTACTCGAAGCACAAAGACACTTTGACGGTGGCTGATAGCCCAAAGAATTGGGTTCGTCACAGTTTCATGTCGAGGAAAACAAAGCCCCGTCTGTCAGGGCTTCAGGTAAGATACACGTAAATAACACTCAAAAATACGAAAATATAACACTGAAATTAATGGTCATGTGACTTCACATGATCTGATTTATGAACTAGCCGTTTTGGGACTAGCTCCCAACAAGCGAGCCCTCGTCCGAATAAGGTTAGCGTCCCAATTACCCGATCCCACAAGCAAAGTCACTCAGTTGGACTTCCTCTCTCCATCCCTCTGTCGACAACCCATCGCGATCCTCGCCCATCGCCCATCATGTGTACGTGACGACCCCTCCTTTCAATCTGAGACCATTATATGATACGCAACCACGAATTTGCCAAAAGAAAAAGAGCTGGAAACGGTGGCAGAGACAACGGTTCTCGAAATTGAATGTTGGCTAACATGTGGATTTCTCGATAACAGCGCTCGTGACCGGCGAGAAGACGAACTTCCAGTTCATCTTGCGTCTGCTCAACACCAATGTTGACGGCAAGCAGAAGATCATGTACGCGCTGACCCAGATCAAGGGTGTCGGTCGCCGTTACTCCAACCTGGTCTGCAAGAAGGCCGATGTCGACCTCACCAAGCGGTACGTTCGCCACAACCCCCATCGAATATCCAATCATTCCCAATCATCTGTTATCGGAGGAAACCCTTGAAAGAGCAAATGGCGCAGTCTGGACCTGAATCGACATGGACTAGGAAGAGCCGGGGAATATCGCACAACAATCGCAAAAAAATTATACAAGAACAGCAAAGCTGACAAGACACTTTCTATAGTGCTGGTGAGCTCACCACCGAAGAGCTCGAGCGTATCGTGACCATCCTCCAGACCCCCACTCAGTACAAGATCCCCTCGTGGTTCCTCAACAGACAGCGCGACATCACCGATGGCAAGGACACCCAGGTTGTCTCCAACGGTCTTGACTCCAAGCTCCGTGAGGATCTTGAGCGCCTCAAGAAGATCCGCTCCCACCGTGGTCTGCGTCACTACTGGGGCCTCCGTGTCCGTGGTCAACACACCAAGACCACTGGCCGCCGCGGTCGCACCGTCGGTGTCAGCAAGAAGAAGGGCTAAATTATTCTGTTCGTTTTTTTTGCCGGGGGTTCTTGGAGGGATTCCGTTATTTCCGGTGTGTTTCTATGGGCAGCACTCGTGGGATCTTTTCCCCGCTGGGCTGGGCATGTTCCAGTTCAAAAAATTGAAAATGAACCATACCAATGAAATGACCCGATCTCTTTGATTCATGTACTTTGCTCTTGGCCTTGGGTTCGATAGGATCATCCGGTGTGGATCAAGATACCAACTCGATGATCCTATCTAAATCTTCGGTCCTCGTAGGGTAGAATATCTTGCAAGGCTCCGTGGTATGCTTCGGAGAATACTGGGGTAGATGTCCTAGACCGTCAGGGTGGAATAAGGCCCACGCCACTCGATCAATAACTCTGGGGTATTCATATCCATCTATGACTATCTACGCCTATCACAACACACCCCCGCTCACGATAGATGTCTCCGTACACTCCACTCAATATATACATCAAGCTCTTTACAGCTTAGATGTCTTTACGCTTTATGACAGTTTATTACTCGATGTTCAAGTCTATCCAAGATTGATTGAATTCAAAGTTGCCTAGTCGTGTATAATAAACGAAAGCCAAATCACCTAACATCAGTAAGAGATGACCGATTATGCGGCTTTCTTAATTTCTCAGAGTATGAAGTGTAAAATTGAACATAAATAACCAGTCACAAGATCAATAACATGCAGTGTAATGATGAATTCATCAACGCATCGTATCGTAGAGCAACGGGGTCGAGTGTTTAGAACCACTCGCCACCGAGCCAGCGGTTGAAGAACTCCAGGCTAGACTCGGGCTGGTCCATCGGAACCATGTGGCCACCGCCGAAGATACGCATGAAGGTGAAGTTGCCGTGGGACTTGATCTGACCGATCTTCTTGCCAACGTGCTCGTTCTGCACAATCTTGAGGTCCTCAAGCTCGGCGGAAGCGAACTCCTTTTGGCCAGGCCACTCGAGAGCCTCGGACCAGGCCTTGTTGCCAAGCCAGTTGCAGATGAAGTCAGCATCACCGGCGTAGATGAGGATAGGGATCTGCTCAAGGAGACCGGGCACGAGGCGGTGGTAAGGCTTGAACCAATCGCCATTGAAGAGGAAGTTACGGTTAATGTCGAAGTTGCATGAGTCGTAGCCATCAACCTCGGCACCGACAGCCTCGCGGACGCTCTCCTGGCTGAGGTACTCGCTGACGTAGCCCATGCCCTTGTAGCACAGGTTGCTCTCGTCCTCGCACTTGCCGCGAACATCGTAGACGTTCTGGCCGGTGCGCTGATAGGGGCCAAGCATGGCGTTGTTGCAGTAGATCGAGGCCGGGACACAAACCCAGGGGCTCTCGCTGTTGTAGCAGGACTGGATCATGCTTTGGCAGCGGCCCAGGGAGTTGTCCATGGACTGGCAGGTACTCTCGTCCAGAACAGCGGGGTAGCCGCCCTCACCGCAGGCCATGGGGCGGTAGTACTCGTACTGAGTAAGACCGTCGGTAAGACCGTTACCAATGAGAACAGACTTGAGGTTGATGTTGCGCTTCTTGTGGGAGAGAATCTCCGAAGCCATGACAGGGATGTAGTGGCCAGCGTAGGACTCGCCAGCAATGTGGAAGTCCTGTGTAGCGTACTGGGGGAATTGCTTGAAGAACAATGTGAGGAGAGCATAGACATCCTTGCCAGCAGCAACAGTGTCGCTGACGGAGGACCCACTGTAGGAGTAGCCGACATTGATGGGCTGATCCAGGAAGATCACAGAGGCATTGTTGTTCCACGAGAAATCATTATAAATAGGCTTGATATTAGCACCGATGGAGCTAGGACCAAGTTCCAGGAAAAGACCGGTGAGGGACGAGCAGCCGGGGCCGCCGTTCAACCACAGCACAACAGGGTCGTTCTTGGGGTCATTGCGAGACTCGAAGAACCCTTTCGAATGGTTAAATAAACTCTAGATAATGAACGGAGATCGTCCAAACTCACAGTAAAATAGATGCTTATCGTTCTCATTGTCATCCAGGTAACCACTGTACTGCTTCACACCGGGATCAATACCGAGGGCGCTGGGGTCAACCTTCTTGGCGCGGAGGTTGTAAGCCTCCAGCCTACCGTCAACCTCACGCTCCTTGGTGCCGTCAACACCAGTGACCCAGATGTCTTGGACATCGGCGCCACTGACATGATGATCCCAGTGCGAGTCAGGGCGGCGGGTGTGCTTCTTGGGCAGGGAAAGCAAGGGAGCACTCTCCATGGATTCCGGGAAGTAGTTAGAGACTTCCTCCCAGAGTTGACGAGCCTCACCAGAGAGAGACTTGAACTGGTCCTGGAGGTGCTGCAGAGGCTTGAATGCATCTGCACCCTGCTTGACTAGGTTCTCCGCATTCTCCCTGTTATCTCCCAGGACTTGCTGGAGGGACGGGGCAGCGGCCGAAGCAGCTCCCGCCCAGAGAGCGGCAGACAGGACTCTCATTGCAAATTGTGTTTGGGTTTCACAGCAATAGTGATGCTAATGATGGGTTGTTGATGAGGAGCGGGTACCTTGGGGTCTGGAGTCAGGCACCTCTTATCAGTAACCGTTTGCGGTAATGGCTCTCAAAAAATAAGCCAAAGGAAGATGGTCACCTACAGTTTGAAGATACCACAAGATAATAATAATTGAAATGAAGCTGAAGATGTTGAAACAAGACGGTGATGCCTTGGCTTGTGAGATGAGGAGAAGCAGGTCCCAAGGGCCGATGACGCCGGGGATGGTCGATAAGACGAGACAGGCCAATCAGGTGACCCTTGTGGCCTAAGAGGGGCCTGAGCGGGCCCAAGATTGGATGATTCAGCATGAGTCACGGGACTCCAAGGTTACCTTGGCTGGAGGGGCACGAGCTTGTCGACTAAGCCTTTTTGGGTAGATTTCCTGACGCAAATCAACTTTTAATTGTCCGTACTCCGTCTATATATAATCCTTCGATCTGGACAGTGTCATCTATTTGGAAACATTCAAAAACAGATCGTGGATATTGCCATACTGTCAGGTGTCTGTTTTTTTCTTCATATTGACGCAATCAGCCCTCAGCGGCTTCACACACCAAAATGCCTATCAACCAACCCTCCAACCAGATTAAATTCACCAACGTGTCGGTAGTCCGACTAAAGAAGGGTACTCATCTATTTTATCTATGTCGTTTTGACTTTATCTAACTTTTTTGTCTCAATCTAGGCAAGAAGCGCTTTGAACTCGCCTGTTACAAGAACAAACTTCTCGAATACCGCTCCGGCGCCGAAAAAGATCTCGACAATGTCCTCCAGGTCCCCACCGTGTTCCTCTCCGTCTCCAAAGCACAAACTGCCCCATCAGCAGAGCTAGCAAAGGCCTTCGGGGCCGGTACCCCTCGAGAGGAAATCCTCCAAGAGATCCTGCGTAAAGGCGAAGTGCAAGTCGGCGAGCGTGAGCGCAAAGACATCCTCGAGCGAGTGGAGAAAGAAGTACTAGATATTGTGTCAGGTCGACTAGTCGACCCCTCAACCAAGCGCGTGTACACAACTGGGATGATCCACAAGGCGTTGGATCAACTATCCGCGGCCAGCGGACAACAACAGACACAAGCGAGCGGGGAGGCGAATGTAGAGGGCGAAGAGAAACCCTCTCAGCCCAAGAAGCCGCTCTGGACGGGAGTTTCGGCGAACCGTTCGGCGAAGAGTCAAGCGTTGGATGCCATGAAGGCTCTCATTGCCTGGCAGCCGATCCCCGTCATGCGGGCTCGCATGCGTCTTCGTGTGACATGTCCAGTGTCTCTGTTGAAGCAATCTGTCAAGGCTGCTCCAGGTGCTGCGTCGAATAAAGAGAAGGAAGCCCCCTCCGGTGGCTCAAAGAACAACAAGAAGGGGAATAAGGGATCGAAGAAGTCTGCTAAGAGGGATGATTCGGATATTGAGGCTGGTCAGTCTGATGTGGAAGCTGCTCCCAAGGCCCCGAGCACCGTCAAGGATAAGATCATGGCCTTTATCGAATCAATTGAATCACAAGAAGTTATTGGCGGAGATGAATGGGAGATTGTTGGTTTTGCTGAGCCCGGTGCATTCAAGGGATTGAATGAACTGGTGAGCAATGAAACCCGCGGAAGAGGCCGGGTTGAGGTTCTGGACATGTCGGTCACACATGAGGATTGAATTATGACGTTTGATTTACGGGGGTTTGCTGTACATGATGTACCGATATGATTGATGACAAAAATAAAAAATCACCTTAGAATATACTGGATTCCGACATACCACACTGTCTTAGGGGAATGAGCTACAACATAGAGGTGAAGAAAGTCTATTCTCATGGGAAAAAGCAATGAGTGGCAAAGACATCTTGCAGGGAAGGAAAAACATACATGGGCATCAGGTACAGGTCGTGAAAAAAAGCCACTCGACATGGGAGAGCGTGTTTACAAAAAAAGCAAGGATCTCAAGTGTAATAGCCTTCGGGCATACCATCGATGAAAGTAACTAAAAATATGATACAGTAAGACATCTTCGATATAGACAAATGAGAACAAGAAACCCAACGCCGTAAATGAGAGAGATCTGGGGTATTCCTAACAAAAATAAGAAAGCAATTATATCATGACTCGTATTTTGTGCCCACGGAGTAACTCAGATATCCAACCCAGGTATGCCAATTTTATCACATCCAGTCACCATCAAAACCAAATTCTTACTGGGGCCAAGTTCTCTAGCGAGATCCAGTGCCTTGGCTACCGCGTGACTCGAGTCGAGACCAGACAAGATCCCCTCGTGGTGCTGAAGGGTTCTAAATCCATCCAGGGCAACTGCGTCGGTAGCCGTGGAAATTTCAATTCGGCCAGAGTCCTTCCAATGAGCGACCTCAGGCGCCACAGTAGACAGATCCATGTCTGGTGAAATGGAATGTGAGTCAAGGATCTGGCCATCATCGTTTTGGAGCAAGAGCGTACGAGCACCCTGCAGTACCCCAAGCCCACCATCTGTTAGGGCAGCTGCCTTCGCAGCTTCCACGCCAACCAATCGTATAGATGAATCATGGAGGAACGGTCTAAAGAGACCAATTGCACTACTACCACTTCCAACGGCGGTGACGAGGGCATCCGGCTGGCGAC